ATCTATACCGATCATGCGTCGTTACGCACTGCGACTCAGTCGCCGCATCTCTCGCAGAGAATGGCCAGATGGCTGTCATTCTTTGCCGAATATAACTTCGAGGTGAAATATAATCCGGGCAAGCAAAATGCTTTGGCTGATGCGTTGTCACGCAGACCTGATTATGAGCTTGCTCATGTGACGATGTTGTCGTCTTCTATCACCGATCTCATTCGTACGGCGTATGCTAAAGATGATCACTGTATAGCGTTGCTACATGCTCTTGGCAGTGAGGAGTTTAAAGACTCGAACATTAAATTGTCGGCACGATTACGTGCGAGCCTCCATCGATATTCTATCGATGAGGGGCTGTTGTACTATCGTACAGATGTAGCGGATCCTCCGCGTATTGTAGTTCCTCATGACGAGGACCTGAAGCATCGTATCCTCTATGAGGTACATGACACCGCCATCGGTGGTCATTTGGGTCGTGAAAAGACCTATGGGGCAGTATGCCAAAGTTATTGGTGGCCCAAATTATACAAATGGGTGAGCACATATGTGCGTACGTGTGAAATGTGTCAGCGGGTGAAACCCTCGCCCCATTCGGCAGCGCCGCTGGCTAGTTTGCCTATTCCCACTGGGTGCTGGGAGTCCATTAGTATGGACTTTGTATTTGGCCTACCGAAAGATTCGCATAGCAATACAGGTATTGTGGTCTTTGTTGACCGTTTGAGCAAGATGGCTCACTTAGCGGCTGTGCCAGATTCGATCGATGGTGTGGGTACAGCGGAGCTGTTTATCGATCGTGTGTTTCGCCAACATGGCTTGCCAGTGGCAATTGTTTCTGATCGTGATCCGCGTTTTACGAGTAAATTTTGGAAGTCCGTCTTCCAGGTGCTGGGCACCCGTTTGGACATGTCCACGGCGGATCATCCACAGACCGATGGTCAAACCGAACGCGTAAATCGCGTTGTTGAAGATATCCTACGCAGCGTTTGTGCTGAAACGCCTAAGCGTTGGAGCTCTATGCTCCCTGTAGTTGAGTTTGCACTCAATAATTCCGTGCACGCCTCCACCGGCTACACTCCGTTCTATGTCAATGGTCTCACACACCCACGCGTTCCGTTAACGCTACCACCGAGTGGTTCAGGGCTTGGTGGGGGAGAGGTTGCCGATCGGCTTGCTGATGTCAGCCCTAATACTGTTAGGAAACAGGTAAATGCGTTTCTCGCAACGCGACTAAATGTCTTACGACATGTGCAAGATGCAATGGCTGATAGTCAAGATAAACAAAAGGAATATGCAGATGCGAAAGGCAGAGGTTGTATTAATGATTATGAGGTCGGAGACCAAGTATTACTTAATGCTAAAAACCTACCTACCAATGTAGTATCCGCTGTCTTTAAGACGAAGTTGCGTCCGCGCTTTATCGGACCCTTTAAGGTCATTGCCAAGAAAGGCACAGCGTATACGCTTAACTTGCCGCGCAAATTGCGTACACATCCTGTGTTCTTTGTCGCCATGTTGAAACCTTATCGGGATCCGTCCCAAATAGACGCTAAGGCGCTCGCGCCGGGCCCATTGGCATTGTCGCGGGACGGAGCATCTGCACCAACAAGTCAAGTTGACCCTGCATTCGGGTCCGACTCTCTTCCAGGGACTCAAGCCGGGAGTTCATCGTCTGCCTCTCCTCACGAAGGGTCCGCACCTCCTGAACAAGCTCGGCATGAGCTTGTTCCGATACACCGACCTCCTCCTCCTTTGCTCGATGCGCAGGGGAACCTGCAGCTCCATGTGGAGCGTCTACTGCAGAAGCGTCGCCGCCATGGTCAAAACCAGTATCTTGTGAAATGGCGGGGTTATCCCGAATCATGGAATTCATGGGAATTTGAGACTCCCCTTCGGCAGGATTGCCCGTACGCCGTGGACGTTTTTGAGCGTCGTGCGCAGGGTCTGTCTGTTGGCGCTGACGCTTCTCACCAGTAAGGGTGAGGGTAGGCGGGTTAGCGGCCTCGGGCTGTCGTGAACTCGCGGCTGCAGGGGTAGCCGAAACATTGGGCTGCTGGGCAGCAGGCGCATAATGCGTTCGTTGGGATTTCAATTTCCCCCGGGCCTTCAATTTAGCGTAATCATAACGCATCTTCCGCTCAAGTCGAACATCTGCCACATCGGCACTTGCCCGTAGGGCCCACATGCTGCTTAAACGTCGCGCATAATGCGCCCAGCGGCTGAAAGCCGTGTCTTCTTCTTCCTCGGTTTCCCCCGCGAACAGAAGGATGGGAATATCCTTCATCTGAGGAACTGGCGCACCGCGCACTTGCCTATTAAGGCGTGCCAAGTATTGGCTTTGAGTAGTGATATGGGGCTCCAGATATCGTTGTCGAAGTGCCGTGCGTGTGGCAACATCCTCAGGTGAAATGGCCTCAGGCCCAATGGTCCAACCAGAAAGGGAATGCCCAGATGCTTCCTTTAGACGTTCTTCCACCGTAGGTGGCTTGAACCTGTACTGTCGGTGGTCCTGCAGCCGCGTCATGTTCTTCGTTCAGCGCTTGGCGCCTTCCTCTTGGTCGATGGACCGCTGTTGCTGCTCGTCGAGTGGATTGGTAACCGTTACCGTTGATGATACGTCAGGCGGGTCACGTAACGCTGTTAGCGCATCTGCTGCACCACGTTCAGGGAACGGATTCGGTGCATGACGAGTGTCATCTTCACCCGTGAGGGTGGCTAAAGGGGACCCATCGGGTCCCACAAAGACGGTGTCACTTTCGTAATCAACCGCTTCGTCAAGGTCGTCCTCAATAAGGTCCCTAAGAGTCTGTGACTCACTGCCGGGAGGCGTCATGTTGTGTGCCGTGAACAAACCGTGAGGTTTTAAAAGTTCGCTAAAGCACTATCTCTATGAGGAAAGATGTCGAGTGACATTCTATGGGAACGTCAGTCTGGTGGGGGAGGGTGTAACGGGGTTACACGACGGTTGTAACGTCTTTCCGAGAGTTTACGCTTAAACTCTCCTTTGTATTGCATATAATGCATTATTATACTTCTCGTTAGAGAGGTATTAAGTATGAGCGTTATAATACGGTATTCGGTAATACCGTATCTTATCGATTGGGATTCGATAAATCACTAACGCTGTATTAAGTACATCATACACAGATGTTTAGACGATACGTCGTCCAATAGCAATGTCTGCATATAATAATTACTATAATAGTAATTAATCTAGTGTAGTGTACTTAAAGTAGGACTATTCATAATATCTTAAAGCATAAATAAAATCAGTTCTCCTTTTGAGTTTAAGATCGCAAGTCGTTCTGACTTGTTCTCTTGTGCACTTCGTGCGTTGGTTCTCTGAACCCCTAAGCTTCTAGCTTGTTCTTGCACTCTGTGCGTTGGTTCTCTGAACCTTAAGCATATTGCTTGATTGATTAAAAGTCTCTTTCCTAGTTCCTTAGAACAGGGTGACTTTAAGTCGTTTAATTAGTTCCTCAGAACTAAGTGGCGTTTAGCCTTCACTCTATCTAGTTCTCTAGAACTAAGAGGCTTCCAGCCGAAAGTCTTCCTCTGGCTAAAGAGCTATGTAGCTCCGCTACAGCTTCATTCGCGTAGAAAACAAGTTCTGGGCAGAGGGCAACGTGTGGACTCGCCTAGGCATCCTTCACACCCAGCTCGGTTTGCTACACTTGCGCTCCTCGCACTCATTCACTCCCGACCTCAAAGGATCTCGCCTTGTTATATGCTTATTCAATCAATATTCAGATCACTTGGAAAGGTCAATCGTCTCTGTAGCAATATAAATAAATTAAACAAGTACGAATTACAAAGCGTTTCAGATTTGAATAGTGGTTCTCGGAGCTCAAAATAGACGTGCAAACTCGTCACATATCTCTTCGTAAAGAATGGCATAAGCGCAGCGAGTAACTTGATCTTGAATTGGCAATCAAGATCAGGTTATTCGTTGCGCTTATGGAGCACACAAGATCCTGAACAACATTGTCGACACGAGGATAACACAGACGCGATCATGCTATGATCCAAAAAGTCAGGGCGTGTCTCCTAGTAGAGACGCTCTGAACGAGATTCTCCGAACGAACATGCTTACTACGAATTTTTTTGAATTTATAGACATGAACTTTTGACACGTTTTAGTTTCTGAAGGATACAAGATTCAAGACAAATATCGACCGACTACCAGGACGACCACAGCAAGCCCTAGAGAACGCTCAAGTCTCATAGTAGGTAATAAATGCTCTATAAACCAGTACATTGGGTGAGGTGCCATTCTGCGCCATTCCTGCACCAAAAGGCTGCGATTGGACAGCTCTAGTTAAAGTATTGGTGAGACTTTGGAAGCACAGTTCAGTTCGCAACCTGGTAGCAATTCAATGATAAGACCAAAGAACAAGTCATGAAGAGGAATGGCATGTCGAGAAGAGTGTCGTACCCTCCTTCTCTCTCTGCCATAGTGGACAAAGGCCTTGCAGCTCAAAGAAACCATCACCTCGTCAATCGCACGCTTGAAGTCATGGTAATCTTACGGAACAGTATTGTATATCTGTCCTCATTGAAGTATGTAATGTACAAAATATAAACACGTTCGTTTTTCCTCTACACATTACAACCTTCCTTGAAACCCGCTGATAGTGCCGATGCATTTATTCATCCAAGGTGATTGTATGCTTTGCGTGAAGTACATGAACATTTATTCTAGCCGAGCCTTTAACATATCAGGCGTAAAGGTGGGAAGTGTCATAGTCCCTATACGAAGAAACAACTTCATTGACGACAAAACGTCGCCGAGCAGTAGGAAAAGTGACTTCATCGGGTCGGTTGGTCCAATCTGATGTCAGTTCCTCATTTACCACTTGGCTAACGGACGCAATTCTCAACGATTCTTCATGGTTCACTTGGCCCTGCCGACTTTCGCCGTAGTGTCGTTGCTATTCTCAACTACTGACGCCCACCAAGTTGTGCGAGATCCGGCGCCCTCCTACATGCCTGGGTATAAAGGAAACAAGATGGATCCGATTGCGTTCCTCGAGAACCAGAATATAAAGACAGGACCAAGCTTCAAGGAGTGGCGCATAAAGAACAATTACAAGACGCTCCGCGCTTTCATGGACGACGAGAAGAGGGTACAAGGTGGACCGAGGTGCCAGCTTCGCTTGTGGATGGACCGACATTAATGGAAAAGCGCGGCCTATTCCGAAAAACGGCGATATGCGAGTGTCGGGCTACACGCACGACGGACCGTGCGAGGTGTGGCTCGACAACAAGATGGTAGCCCAAGGTGATAATTGCCATAACGACTTTCCTGCCAAAAAACACTGTATCGACTATTCGTCGTGCAAGGGCACGTGCGTACTACATTGGTACTGGCTGGCGGAGCGCTTTGTAAAGAACAAGCACTCGTGGCAGGTGTACAAAGCTTGTGTCCCTCTGACGACTGGAGGCCAGCCAGTGGCACCTCCTAAATGCAACTCATAGGTGCTGCTTCGCCACCATATTGTGTGTAACTGAGTGATGTTGCTGGAATGACAGCAAATCGCTCGAGCTGTTCATTTTTTGTAGTACGTGAACATTTTGCATAAGGATTGAGTAGCTAGTCAATTTTTCATACACTTTTCAGTTTGACGTTTTTTCGGTATATTTATGAAAAGAACGTGGGAGTTCCCTTATCTGGAGAGGATACAAATGAAATAGTCGACGTTGATGTTGATAGCGGTGTTTGTCTCCGTGAATGCTTCCTAATGTCAGGCTCCAACGATGTTTGATAGCGTCATTTGTAACTGTAGTAGTCAGAATGCTAATCACTTGGAAGTCATTCACTCGTGGCTCAAGATATCACGTTGTCACGCAGCAACGTCTTCAACAACCTGTACTATGTGAAAAGACTTTTATCAGATATGGTCACGTACACGTATTTTACATCTCTATTGTGCGTCGAAATGTGAAAGTTAACGCCGGGGCTCACTGGGATATCGAGTGCTTACAAACTCACAGTGTCATTACAGCAGGTTTTCGTCAAGTGTCGATAGGGAGCACGTCGCCACGACAATTCCGCTGCCATCACGACATGCGTAGACTTGCCTCGAGCATAGGACTGAATCATCACGCTTTCGAGGTAACGCTTGAAAATACAAGCAGCCAAGCAAAAGTTCTGTCGGTGAGAAGCTGAATGGCTTCGGCTCAGAACATGACTAAAATTTGTCGCGATCTAGTTTTGAGTCGGGTTCCACATTGTGCAAGCGTTGTCGAGTAGATGCCGGCTGCTGCACCAAGCCCCACCTGGATCTCCTGCTCGAGATGGCAAATCCTTCGCTTCACATCATTCCGTTTTCGCTTACACTAAGCCAGTGCTTCCTGAGGGCGTGGGATACTAGCCGTCTTGGCATCACTGACTAAAATCAACCATATCTCTCACGGCAGCTATACCTCGCCTTTCATCTTATCACTGTAAGTGAACCTTCACCTACCAAGGTCCTATGCCGCTGCTTCGGCTGAAGTTGAATGTAATTGTCTGGTAGACTTGTACCAATTCCATCATCCATATTGTTCTAGCAAGTTCGACGATATCATCAAGCCAGCATTTTATCCAGTGTCGTATATGGCTTTCAAAAGACGGTGCTTTTGCTAAGTCCATGACCGCCTGTCATGTACTAGAAGAATTCAGCACAAGTGAAGGAGTTTACCCAACGATCTAACCTTACAAAACCACTGATCCCTAGCCTACTGTATATATTCATGATACCTATTTTTTGAACCAGGTTGCTTCAACAAAAGTTATAACATCAATAGTACGAAGGAGATACATCTTAAATCGGTGTGATTTGAGTCTCGTTTCTTCATACTAATGGTGAAGTCCATTGCGAACAGTTACCGTTTTTCGGGACTCTCACCGTTGAGTTGACGTAGTAGCGGCCGTCACGTGGAGAAAAAGGCGAGGCTTTCCCAATCGCGTACCGAACCATTTTTCAGTTGTAGATAAGCGAATCACTTGCTGTATTCCGTGTCTCTCAAGAGTCAAGATTAGCAGACATCGGGCACCCTTGTGACAATTGCTGGAGATGGAGAGGAGTTGACATGAAGGCCAAGTGATTTAAGGGTTGCAGCGGTATGAGGTTTTCAGTTGGTTAGTGACGTACTGCTGAGCCTACGTAACGCGCTAGCTCGTGGCATTTCGACATTTCCTCGAAGAAAATGTCCAAATGCCATGTTTTGCCTGATCTGTGCTGGGCCCAGTGCTGGTATAAAGATGATCTAAGTGAGGCTTGTACATTTTCCAACACATTATTAGCGCCGTTCGTGAAGCCGACAGCACTCCTAAATTGATCGTATTTGATCGGATCAAAGAATCGCATACAGATCTTTCTCGAAATGATATTTGAGGCCTTCATTCGCGTAGAAAACAAGTTCTGGGCAGAGGGTAACGTGTGGACTCGCCTAGGCATCCTTCACACCCAGCTCGGTTTGCTACACTTGCGCTCCTCGCACTCATTCACTCCCTACGTCAAAGGATCTCGCCTTGTTATTGCTTATTCAATCAATATTCAGATCACTTGGAAAGGTCAATCGTCTCTGTAGACAGCCAAGTACGAATTACAAAGCGTTTCAGATTTGAATAAGTGGTTCTCGGAGCTCAAAATAGACGTGCAAACTCGTCACATATCTCTTCGTAAAGAATGGCATAAGCGCAGCGAGTAACTTGATCTTGAATTGGCAATCAAGATCAGGTTATTCGTTGCGCTTATGGAGCACACAAGATCCCGTACAACATTGTCGACTCGAGGATAACACAGACGCGATCATGCTATGATCCAAAAAGTCAGGGCGTGTCTCCACATAGAGACGCTCTGAACGAGATTCTCCGAACGAACATGCTTACTACGAATTTTTTTGAATTTATAGACATGAACTTTTGACACGTTTTAGTTTCTGAAGGATACAAGATTCAAGACAAAAGCGCAGCGAGTAACTTGATCTTGAATTGGCAATCAAGATCAGGTTATTCGTTGCGCTTATGGAGCACACAAGATCCCGAACAAAATTGTCGACACGAGGATAACACAGACGCGATCATGCTATGATCCAAAAAGTCAGGGCGTGTCTCCACATAGAGACGCTCTGAACGAGATTCTCCGAACGAACATGCTTACTACGAATTTTTTTGAATTTATAGACATGAACTTTTGACACGTTTTAGTTTCTGAAGGATACAAGATTCAAGACAAATATCGACCAGCTACTAGGACGACCACAGCAAACCCTAGAGAACGCTCAAAACTCATGGTAGGTAATAAATGCTCTATAAACCAGTACATTGGTTGAGGTGCCATTCTACGCCAGAAAAAGGCGATGATTGAACATCTATACTATAGTTAAAATAGTAATGAGACTTTGGAAGCACAGTTCAGTACGCACCCTGGTAGCAATTCAATTAAAGAACAAGTTATGAAGCGAAGCGATATGTGGAGAGGAGTGACGTACCCTCCCACCCTCTCTGCCATAGTGGACAAAGGCCTTGCAGCTCAACAAATTATCAGCACGTCCATCGCACGCGGGCAATAAAGTAAGAAAGAGACGATTACATTCGCGGTGACGCGCCGGGTTAAAACCTCTGCCACGTTCATCGGCAGTTGCACCAAGAAGGACTCAGGGACTAGACAAGAATTTATGAAAAAGTTTTCTAAACGTGATAATGAGCGGCGTTACAAGTTGTATCTAGTAAACCCAACCAGCCAATCATTTGAAGACTGACAAAATACGGGAAAAATTGAATTGCTCGGAAAACTGCAGATAGCATTTTCGCAATCATTTTCGTAATAACCTAATCATATGGGGCTCGCTGTCTGCGATCGTAGTCATTTCTATTGCCATGTATTTATCGACATTTCACACTAGTTAAAGTCATGGTCACATTCTGTTATGTGTATTGAAGTATGTAATTTACAAAATATCTACACGTTCGAACAAGTGCTTCTCCCTCTATACATTACAACCGTCCTAGAAACCCGCTGATAGTGTCAATGCATTTATTTATGCAAGAGTAAAGTACATGGGCATCTAATTTAAGGCGTAAAGGTGGAAAGTGTCATAGTCTCTATAGGAAAAACAGCTTCATTGACGACAACACGTCGCCTGGGTAGGTAGGAAAAATGCCTTAACGGGTAGGTTGGTCCAATCTGCTGTCAGTTCCTCATTTACCACTTGGCCAACGGACGCAATTATCAACGACTCTTCATGGTTCGCTTGGCCCTGCCGACATTTGCCGTAGTGTCGGTGCTATTCTCAATTGCTGAAGCCCACCAAGTTGTGCGGAATCCGGTGCCCCCTTACCGGAAGTCATATAAAGGAAGCACGATGAACCCAGTTGCGTATCTCGAGGGACAGAATATAAAGCTAGGACCAAGCTTTAATAAGTGGCGCATCGAGAACAATTACAAGACGCTCCGCGCTTTCATGGACGACGAGAAGAGGTACAGAGTGGTCCCAGGTGCTGACTTCAAATGTGGCTGGACCGACAGTAATGGAAAAGCGCAGCCTATTCCGAAAAACGGCGATATGCGAGTGTCGGGCTACACGCACGACGGACCGTGCGAGGTGTGGCTCGACGACAAGATGGTAGCCCAAGGTGATAATTGTCATAACGACTTTCCTGCCAAAAAAACACTGTATCGACTATTCGTCGTGCAAGGGTACGTGCGTACTGCATTGGTACTGGCTGGCTGAGCGCTTTGTAAAGAACAAGCATTCGTGGCAGGTGTACAAAGCTTGTGTCCCTCTGACGACTGGAGGCCAGCCAGTGGCACCTCCTAAATGCAACTCATAGGTGCTGCTTCGCCACCATATTGTGTGTAACTGAGTGATGTTGCTGGAATGACAGCAAATCGCTCGAGCTGTTCATTTTTTGTAGTACGTGAACATTTTGCATAAGGATTGAGTAGCTAGTCAATTTTTCATACACTTTTCAGTTTGACGTTTTTTCGGTATATTTATGAAAAGAACGTGGGAGTTCCCTTATCTGGAGAGGATACAAATGAAATAGTCGACGTTGATGTTGATAGCGGTGTTTGTCTCCGTGAATGCTTCCTAATGTCAGGCTCCAACGATGTTTGATAGCGTAATTGTAAATGTAGTAGTCAGAATGCCAACCACTTGAAAGTCGTTCACTCGCGGCTCAAGATATCACGTTGTCACACAGCAACGTATTCAACAACTTGTACTCCGTGAAAAACCTATATCAGGTATGGCGTATTTTACATCTTTGTTTGTACGTCGAAATGTGAAAGCTGACACCAAATCGCCGGGATATCGAGTGCTTACAAACCCGCGGTGTCATTGCAGCACGTTTTCGTCAAGTCGATAGGAAGCACGTTTCCGCGACAGTTCCGCTGCCTTCACGTCATGTGTAATGACTTGCCTCAAGCACAGGATTAAATCATCACGCTTCGGGGAGACTTTTGGAAAAATACAAGCAGCTAGGCGCAAAAATTGTCGTTGAGAGGCTGGATGGCATGACTCAAAAAAGAAAAGTTTTTGGCTCAAAACTAAAATTTGTCACGATCTAGTTTGAGTCGGGTTCCACATTGTGCAAGCGTTGTCGAGTAGCTGCCGGCCGCTGCACCAAGCCCCAGCTGGATCTCCTGCTCTAGATAGCAAATCCTTCGTTTCACATCATTCCGTTTTCGCTTACACTAAGCCAGTGCTTCCTGAGGGCGTGGGATACTAGCCGTCTTGGCATCACTGACTAAAATCAACCATATCTCTCACGGCAGCTATACCTCGTCTTTCATCTTATCACTGTAAGTGAACCTTCACCTACCAAGGTCCTATGCCGCTGCTTCGGCTGAAGTTGAATGTAATTGTCTGGTAGACTTGTACCAATTCCATCATCCATATTGTTCTAGCAAGTTCGACGATATCATCAAGCCAGCATTTTATCCAGTGTAGTATATGGCTTTCAAAAGAGATACTTCTGCTGAGTCCATGACCACCTGTCATGTACTAGCAGAATCCAGCATAAGTGAAGGAGTTTACCCAACGATCTAACCTTACAATACCATTGATCCCTAGCCTACTGTATATATTCATGATACCTTTTTTTTGAACCAAGTTGCTTCAACAAAAGTTATAACATCAATAGTACGAAGGAGATATATCTTAACTCGGCGTGATTGAGTCTCGTTTCTTCATACTAATGGTGAAGTCCATTGCGAACAGTTACCGTTTTTCGGGACTCTCACCGTTGAGTTGACGTAGTAGCGGCCGTCACGTGGAGAAAAAGGCGAGGCTTTCCCAATCGCGTACCGAACCATTTTTCAGTTGTAGATAAGCGAATCACTTGCTGTATTCCGTGTCTCTCAAGAGTCAAGATTAGCAGACATCGGGCACCCTTGTGACAATTGCTGGAGATGGAGAGGAGTTGACATGAAGGCCAAGTGATTTAAGGGTTGCAGCGGTATGAGGTTTTCAGTTGGTTAGTGACGTACTGCTGAGCCTACGTAACGCGCTAACTCGTGGCATTTCGACATTTCCTCGAAGAAAATGTCCAAATGCCATGTTTTGCCTGATCTGTGCTGGGCCCAGTGCTGGTATAAAGATGATCTAAGTGAGGCTTGTACATTTTCCAACACATTATTAGCGCCGTTCGTGAAGCCGACAGCACTCCTAAATTGATCGTATTTGATCGGATCAAAGAATCGCATACAGGTCTTTCTCGAAATGATATTTGAGGGCTTCATTCGCGTAGAAAACAAGTTCTGGGCAGAGGGCAACGTGTGGACTCGCCTAGGCATCCTTCACACCCAGCTCGGTTTGCTACACTTGCGCTCCTCGCACTCATTCACTCCCGACCTCAAAGGATCTCGCCTTGTTATTGCTTATTCAATCAATATTCAGATCACTTGGAAAGGTCAATCGTCTCTGTAGACAGCCAAGTACGAATTACAAGGCGTTTCAGATTTGAATAAGTGGTTCTCGGAGCTCAAAATAGACGTGCAAACTCGTCACATATCTCTTCGTAAAGAATGGCATAAGCGCAGCGAGTAACTTTGAAAGAAGAACAGACCGTCTATTTCAAACATTAAGGATTGGCAAGATGTCTGGAGTGCTTCTACCAGGACTTCGCCATTCTTCGCCTCGCTGGCTCAATCTGCTGGCTCGAGACGTCGGGCGTCACGGGGGACACTCCGAAAAGGGCACGTGGAATCGGGTATCCAGCCCGAGGTGTAAACAGTGGCTCAATGATCGCAACAAGCGCCGGGCACCACACCGATCAGTCCCGATCGACCGCTGATGCACCTGGACGGGGCCGATCAATTCACGTTCTTGGCAAGTTCACTTCGTGGGACCGAGATTCGCGCTCAGCGATCGAATCGGCGTCTTGAAGGCTGACGTAGAATAGCAGGAACTATTGGGGAAAGAGGGAATGATAACCGCGGTCGTCGATCCTCTCCCCCCGGGGGTAACAGGGTTGGTGCTCCCCTTACGGTTCGCACGCTGCGCTTGCCCCCCATAGCGCACGCAGCAGAGGGAATACCTCCCCCTCTTATCCTGGGCCTCCCGTTGGAGGGACTTACCGCCCTGGTCGGAAAGGGCCGGTTAACCGGCTCTTTGAAGGTCTTCGTCTCTTGGCCGTTGTTGCTCGAAGGCGCGAATTGGGAAGTGACGCAGCGAGTAACTTGATCTTGAATTGGCAATCAAGATCAGGTTATTCGTTGCGCTTATGGAGCACACAAGATCCCGAACAACATTGTCGACACGAGGATAACACAGACGCGATCATGCTATGATCCAAAAAGTCAGGGCGTGTCTCCACATAGAGACGCTCTGAACGAGATTCTCCGAACGAACATGCTTACTACGAATTTTTTTGAATTTATAGACATGAACTTTTGACACGTTTTAGTTTCTGAAGGATACAAGATTCAAGACAAATATCGACCGACTACCAGGACGACCACAGCAAACCCTAGAGAACGCTCAAAACTCATGGTAGGTAATAAATGCTCTATAAACCAGTACATTGGTTGAGGTGCCATTCTACGCCAGAAAAAGGCGATGATTGAACATCTATACTATAGTTAAAATAGTGGTGAGACTTTGGAAGCACAGTTCAGTACGCACCCTGGTAGCAATTCAATTAAAGAACAAGTTATGAAGCGAAGCGATATGTGGAGAAGAGTGACGTACCCTCCCACCCTCTCTGCCATAGTGGACAAAGGCCCTGCAGCTCAACAAATTATCAGCACGTCAATCGCACGCGGGCAATAAAGTAAGAAAGAGACGATTACATTCGCGGTGACGCGCCGGGTTAAAACCTCTGCCACGTTCATCGGCAGTTGCACCAAGAAGGACTCAGGGACTAGACAAGAATTTATGAAAAAGTTTTCTAAACGTGATAATGAGCGGCGTTACAAGTTGTATCTAGTAAACCCAACCAGCCAATCATTTGAAGACTGACAAAATACGGGAAAAATTGAATTGCTCGGAAAACTGCAGATAGCATTTTCGCAATCATTTTCGTAATAACCTAATCATATGGGGCTCGCTGTCTGCGATCGTAGTCATTTCTATTGCCATGTATTTATCGACATTTCACACTAGTTAAAGTCATGGTCACATTCTGTTATGTGTATTGAAGTATGTAATTTACAAAATATCTACACGTTCGAACAAGTGCTTCTCCCTCTATACATTACAACCGTCCTAGAAACCCGCTGATAGTGTCAATGCATTTATTTATGCAAGAGTAAAGTACATGGGCATCTAATTTAAGGCGTAAAGGTGGAAAGTGTCATAGTCTCTATAGGAAAAACAGCTTCATTGACGACAACACGTCGCCTGGGTAGGTAGGAAAAATGCCTTAACGGGTAGGTTGGTCCAATCTGCTGTCAGTTCCTCATTTACCACTTGGCCAACGGACGCAATTATCAACGACTCTTCATGGTTCGCTTGGCCCTGCCGACATTTGCCGTAGTGTCGGTGCTATTCTCAACTGCTGAAGCCCACCAAGTTGTGCGGAATCCGGTGCCCCCTTACCGGAAGTCATATAAAGGAAGCACGATGAACCCAGTTGCGTATCTCGAGGGATAGAATATAAAGCTAGGACCAAGCTTTAATAAGTGGCGCATCGAGAACAATTACAAGACGCTCCGCGCTTTCATGGACGACGAGAAGAGGTACAGAGTGGTCCCAGGTGCTGACTTCAAATGTGGCTGGACCGACAGTAATGGAAAAGCGCGGCCTATTCCGAAAAACGGCGATATGCGAGTGTCGGGCTACACGCACGACGGACCGTGCGAGGTGTGGCTCGACGACAAGATGGTAGCCCAAGGTGATAATTGTCATAACGACTTTCCTGCCAAAAAACACTGTATCGACTATTCGTCGTGCAAGGGTACGTGCGTACTGCATTGGTACTGGCTGGCTGAGCGCTTTGTAAAGAACAAGCATTCGTGGCAGGTGTACAAAGCTTGTGTCCCTCTGACGACTGGAGGCCAGCCAGTGGCACCTCCTAAATGCAACTCATAGGTGCTGCTTCGCCACCATATTGTGTGTAACTGAGTGATGTTGCTGGAATGACAGCAAATCGCTCGAGTTGTTCATTTTTTGTAGTACGTGAACATTTTGCATAAGGATTGAGTAGCTAGTCAATTTTTCATACACTTTTCAGTTTGACGTTTTTTCGGTATATTTATGAAAAGAACGTGGGAGTTCCCTTATCTGGAGAGGATACAAATGAAATAGTCGACGTTGATGCTGATAGCGGTGTTTGTCTCCGTACGTGAATGCTTCCTGATGTCAAGTTTAAAGATGTTTGATAGCGTCATTTGTAACTGTAGTAGTCAGAATGCCAATCACTTGGAAGTCATTCACTCGTGGCTCAAGATATCACGTTGTCACGCAGCAACGTCTTCAACAACCTGTACTATGTGAAAAGACTTTTATCAGATATGGTCACGTACACGTATTTTACATCTCTATTGTGCGTCGAAATGTGAAAGTTAACGCCGGGGCTCACTGGGATATCGAGTGCTTACAAACTCACAGTGTCATTACAGCAGGTTTTCGTCAAGTGTCGATAGGGAGCACGTCGCCACGACAATTCCGCTGCCATCACGACATGCGTAGACTTGCCTCGAGCATAGGACTGAATCATCACGCTTTCGAGGTAACGCTTGAAAATACAAGCAGCCAAGCAAAAGTTCTGTCGGTGAGAAGCTGAATGGCTTCGGCTCAGAACATGACTAAAATTTGTCGCGATCTAGTTTTGAGTCGGGTTCCACATTGTGCAAGCGTTGTCGAGTAGATGCCGGCTGCTGCACCAAGCCCCACCTGGATCTCCTGCTCGAGATGGCAAATCCTTCGCTTCACATCATTCCGTTTTCGCTTACACTAAGCCAGTGCTTCCTGAGGGCGTGGGATACTAGCCGTCTTGGCATCACTGACTAAAATCAACCATATCTCTCACGGCAGCTATACCTCGCCTTTCATCTTATCACTGTAAGTGAACCTTCACCTACCAAGGTCCTATGCCGCTGCTTCGGCTGAAGTTGAATGTAATTGTCTGGTAGACTTGTACCAATTCCATCATCCATATTGTTCTAGCAAGTTCGACGATATCATCAAGCCAGCATTTTATCCAGTGTAGTATATGGCTTTCAAAAGAGATACTTCTGCTGAGTCCATGACCACCTGTCATGTACTAGAAGAATTCAGCACAAGTGAAGGAGTTTACCCAACGATCTAACCTTACAAAACCATTGATCCCTAGCCTACTGTATATATTCATGATACCTTTTTTTGAACCAGGTTGCTTCAACAAAAGTTATAACATCAATAGTACGAAGGAGATACATCTTAAATCGGTGTGATTTGAGTCTCGTTTCTTCATACTAATGGTGAAGTCCATTGCGAACAGTTACCGTTTTTCGGGACTCTCACCGTCGAGTTGACGTAGTAGCGGCCGTCACGTGGAGAAAAAGGCGAGGCTTTCCCAATCGCGTACCGAACCATTTTTCAGTTGTAGATAAGCGAATCACTTGCTGTATTCCGTGTCTCTCAAGAGTCAAGATTAGCAGACATCGGGCACCCTTGTGACAATTGCTGGAGATGGAGAGGAGTTGACATGAAGGCCAAGTGATTTAAGGGTTGCAGCGGTATGAGGTTTTCAGTTGGTTAGTGACGTACTGCTGAGCCTACGTAACGCGCTAGCTCGTGGCATTTCGACATTTCCTCGAAGAAAATGTCCAAATGCCATGTTTTGCCTGATCTGTGCTGGGCCCAGTGCTGGTATAAAGATGATCTAAGTGAGGCTTGTACATTTTCCAACACATTATTAGCGCCGTTCGTGAAGCCGACAGCACTCCTAAATTGATCGTATTTGATCGGATCAAATAATCGCATACAGATCTTTCTCGAAATGATATTTGAGGCCTTCATTCGCGTAGAAAACAAGTTCTGGGCAGAGGGTAACGTGTGGACTCGCCTAGGCATCCTTCACACCCAGCTCGGTTTGCTACACTTGCGCTCCTCGCACTCATTCACTCCCTACGTCAAAGGATCTCGCCTTGTTATTGCTTATTCAATCAATATTCAGATCACTTGGAAAGGTCAATCGTCTCTGTAGACAGCCAAGTACGAATTACAAAGCGTTTCAGATTTGAATAGTGGTTCTCGGAGCTCAAAATAGACGTGCAAACTCGTCACATATCTCTTCGTAAAGAATGGCATAAGCGCAGCGAGTAACTTGATCTTGAATTGGCAATCAAGATCAGGTTATTCGTTGCGCTTATGGAGCACACAAGATCCCGTACAACATTGTCGACACGAGGATAACACAGACGCGATCATGCTATGATCCAAAAAGTCAGGGCGTGTCTCCACATAGAGACGCTCTGAACGAGATTCTCCGAACGAACATGCTTACTACGAATTTTTTTGAATTTATAGACATGAACTTTTGACACGTTTTAGTTTCTGAAGGATACAAGATTCAAGACAAAAGCGCAGCGAGTAACTTGATCTTGAATTGGCAATCAAGATCAGGTTATTCGTTGCGCTTATGGAGCACACAAGATCCCGAACAACATTGTCGACACGAGGATAACACAGACGCGATCATGCTATGATCCAAAAAGTCAGGGCGTGTCTCCTAGTAGAGACGCTCTGAACGAGATTCTCCGAACGAACATGCTTACTACGAATTTTTTTGAATTTATAGACATGAACTTTTGACACGTTTTAGTTTCTGAAGGATACAAGATTCAAGACAAAAGCGCAGCGAGTAACTTGATCTTGAATTGGCAATCAAGATCAGGTTATTCGTTGCGCTTATGGAGCACACAAGATCCCGAACAACATTGTCGACACGAGGATAACACAGACGCGATCATGCTATGATCCAAAAAGTCAGGGCGTGTCTCCACATAGAGACGCTCTGAACGAGATTCTCCGAACGAACATGCTTACTACGAATTTTTTTGAATTTATAGACATGAACTTTTGACACGTTTTAGTTTCTGAAGGATACAAGATTCAAGACAAATATCGACCGACTACCAGGACGACCACAGCAAACCCTAGAGAACGCTCAAAACTCATGGTAGGTAATAAATGCTCTATAAACCAGTACATTGGTTGAGGTGCCATTCTACGCCAGAAAAAGGCGATGATTGAACATCTATACTATAGTTAAAATAGTGGTGAGACTTTGGAAGCACAGTTCAGTACGCACCCTGGTAGCAATTCAATTAAAGAACAAGTTATGAAGCGAAGCGATATGTGGAGAAGAGTGACGTACCCTCCCACCCTCTCTGCCATAGTGGACAAAGGCCCTGCAGCTCAACAAATTATCAGCACGTCAATCGCACGCGGGCAATAAAGTAAGAAAGAGACGATTACATTCGCGGTGACGCGCCGGGTTAAAACCTCTGCCACGTTCATCGGCAGTTGCACCAAGAAGGACTCAGGGACTAGACAAGAATTTATGAAAAAGTTTTCTAAACGTGATAATGAGCGGCGTTACAAGTTGTATCTAGTAAACCCAACCAGCCAATCATTTGAAGACTGACAAAATACGGGAAAAATTGAATTGCTCGGAAAACTGCAGATAGCATTTTCGCAATCATTTTCGTAATAACCTAATCATATGGGGCTCGCTGTCTGCGATCGTAGTCATTTCTATTGCCATGTATTTATCGACATTTCACACTAGTTAAAGTCATGGTCACATTCTGTTATGTGTATTGAAGTATGTAATTTACAAAATATCTACACGTTCGAACAAGTGCTTCTCCCTCTATACATTACAACCGTCCTAGAAACCCGCTGATAGTGTCAATGCATTTATTTATGCAAGAGTAAAGTACATGGGCATCTAATTTAAGGCGTAAAGGTGGAAAGTGTCATAGTCTCTATAGGAAAAACAGCTTCATTGACGACAACACGTCGCCTGGGTAGGTAGGAAAAATGCCTTAACGGGTAGGTTGGTCCAATCTGCTGTCAGTTCCTCATTTACCACTTGGCCAACGGACGCAATTATCAACGACTCTTCATGGTTCGCTTGGCCCTGCCGACATTTGCCGTAGTGTCGGTGCTATTCTCAACTGCTGAAGCCCACCAAGTTGTGCGGAATCCGGTGCCCCCTTACCGGAAGTCATATAAAGGAAGCACGATGAACCCAGTTGCGTATCTCGAGGGACAGAATATAAAGCTAGGACCAAGCTTTAATAAGTGGCGCATCGAGAACAATTACAAGACGCTCCGCGCTTTCATGGACGACGAGAAGAGGTACAGAGTGGTCCCAGGTGCTGACTTCAAATGTGGCTGGACCGACAGTAATGGAAAAGCGCGGCCTATTCCGAAAAACGGCGATATGCGAGTGTCGGGCTACACGCACGACGGACCGTGCGAGGTGTGGCTCGACGACAAGATGGTAGCCCAAGGTGATAATTGTCATAACAACTTTCCTGCCAAAAAACACTGTATCGACTATTCGTCGTGCAAGGGTACGTGCGTACTGCATTGGTACTGGCTGGCTGAGCGCTTTGTAAAGAACAAGCATTCGTGGCAGGTGTACAAAGCTTGTGTCCCTCTGACGACTGGAGGCCAGCCAGTGGCACCTCCTAAATGCAACTCATAGGTGCTGCTTCGCCACCATATTGTGTGTAACTGAGTGATGTTGCTGGAATGACAGCAAATCGCTCGAGTTGTTCATTTTTTGTAGTACGTGAACATTTTGCATAAGGATTGAGTAGCTAGTCAATTTTTCATACACTTTTCAGTTTGACGTTTTTTCGGTATATTTATGAAAAGAACGTGGGAGTTCCCTTATCTGGAGAGGATACAAATGAAATAGTCGACGTTGATGTTGATAGCGGTGTTTGTCTCCGTGAATGCTTCCTAATGTCAGGCTCCAACGATGTTTGATAGCGTCATTTGTAAATGTAGTAGTCAGAATGCCAACCACTTGAAAGTCGTTCACTCGCGGCTCAAGATATCACGTTGTCACACAGCAACGTATTCAACAACTTGTACTCCGTGAAAAACCTATATCAGGTATGGCGTATTTTACATCTTTGTTTGTACGTCGAAATGTGAAAGCTGACACCAAATCGCCGGGATATCGAGTGCTTACAAACCCGCGGTGTCATTGCAGCACGTTTTCGTCAAGTCGATAGGAAGCACGTTTCCGCGACAGTTCCGCTGCCTTCACGTCATGTGTAATGACTTGCCTCAAGCACAGGATTAAATCATCACGCTTCGGGGAGACTTTTGGAAAAATACAAGCAGCTCGGCGCAAAAATTGTCGTTGAGAGGCTGGATGGCATGACTCAAAAAAGAAAAGTTTTTGGCTCAAAACTAAAATTTGTCACGATCTAGTTTGAGTCGGGTTCCACATTGTGCAAGCGTTGTCGAGTAGCTGCCGGCCGCTGCACCAAACCCCAGCTGGATCTCCTGCTCTAGATAGCAAATCCTTCGTTTCACATCATTCCGTTTTCGCTTACACTAAGCCAGTGCTTCCTGAGGGCGTGGGATACTAGCCGTCTTGGCATCACTGACTAAAATCAACCATATCTCTCACGGCAGCTATACCTCGCCTTTCATCTTATCACTGTAAGTGAACCTTCACCTACCAAGGTCCTATGCCGCTGCTTCGGCTGAAGTTGAATGTAATTGTCTGGTAGACTTGTACCAATTCCATCATCCATATTGTTCTAGCAAGTTCGACGATATCATCAAGCCAGCATTTTATCCAGTGTCGTATATGGCTTTCAAAAGACGGTGCTTTTGCTGAGCTTTCGTGACCATCTCTGAGGCGTAAATGGTGCTACGTCATATTCTTTCCTGTGCCGTCGATAATAATTATGTGAAAGCATTTGACTGACCCGTGCCACAACTGCCGCGATGAATGACATTGTATTGCCGGCGCCAACGTAATCCTCCGAGCAGTCAGGGCCGCTGAAGCAAATGGTCAACGGTCTTGTCTCATATCGATGCTGCTGCCGAACCTGGTGTCAGGATCAGCAAATTCGCCTAAACACGCTTCCAGGTAAATTACTTATCAACTGACTGATGTATTCATTATTACGGCAGCAAACCAAGTCAAGCTGCATCATGTCAAACCTTCTAGCGTAGCCATAACGTCAAGTAGCGAAGCGCGGACAGATTCATCGCAGGCGTCAATCTGCGTACACATGCGCAGTAAGCTGCATGCCTCTTTGGTCTGATCTTGTGTTTGCTTGAATTGCAACTCCAGCTTACTGACCTTCTCGAATAATCTGCTGCACTTCTCTTCTGCGACAGGATAGTATCGTTGCACAAACATCTGCAACGCTTCTTTCTCGGCAACATGGACCACCAGATCACTATCAATATCTATGTTTCGATTGTCGCATTCCTTTGACGGTTGTCCAACGCTCTGATGTTCTTGCTTAACCTGCTGCTTCTTTAAGGCTTCATTCTGACTTTTCAACACCGTGATCTCACACTGCAACTTGCTGGTCAATTCCTTCTGTTGCGACGCCAATTCTTTCGACTCCATCAGTTGCTTCTGCACTATAACCAGTTCCTCGCTCATGTCATTTTTTTCGCAATGTCGAGCGGCTGACAATTCTGCCTTTTCTTGCTGTAGCTGAGCAACCTGCTTTTCAAGCTGTTCGTTTCTATTGCGATTACCCTGTAAATTTTTCAGCTCCTGCTCTAGCTCTTCTAGCCGCATCGTCTTCTCGGACACAGAATCCATCGCCGAGCTGAACTTCATGTAAAGAATCTTAAGCTCTTCCTTGCGCTGTTTCATCATTTGTTCAGCCCTTGCCAACGCTGCAGTGGTCTCCGCCTCTCTATTTTTACCAACCTGTAACATATCGTGCAATTTCTTGATTTCTTCCTCCTGCGTCACATATTGCTGCATAGCCTTCAACTCTCTTGTCTCCATATCTTCGCGCAGCTGGCGTGTCTCCTCTACCAGCTTCTGGTCATGTAGCTGTAAGTTTGCACGCTCTTCGTCCACATACGCTAACATTTGCGTTTGTTCCTTCACCTTTTCTTTCAGCTGCTTCAATTCCGCATCCATCGCTTTTTTTACCGCTACCAACGTCTCAAACTCTTTATGAAGCACCGCGCGACTCGATTGTATAAGCTGTTCCTGATCTGCTCTCAACGACGACAATTCCATCTCCTTTTCCTTCTCCAGGGCTCGTTTCTGACCCAACTGTGTCTCCAACTCCACTACTCGGTCGTTCATCAATTGCTTCTCCATTGCTTCAAACACATCAGTGTCTTGCGCGTCCTTATAAATCTCCTTCAAGCCATTCACCGCGTCATTCTGGAGCCAAAAGGCCCAGTGCAGCTCCATCTGGTTGATCTTTAATTCGTCCTGTAACGTTTTTATCTCAACTTTGGTCACAAGGTTCTTCACGACGTCCTTCACCTCGTACAACTCTCTTTGTTTCACTTTCCTTGCTAATTCATGACTCCATGATGCTAATGTATCCTGCCAAAGTTTACAACTCTGTAACAAATTGTCCACCTCGATGGTTGTTTGTTTTGAATAAAGTACCGTATTCCTTACATCCTTAGACTCTCCCTCTCTTGTAGTAACGTCTCGGTACATCCAAGTCTTGTCATCCTCCTTCAAGTCCCTTTGACTTGCATGGGTTTGTATGAAATCGTTACAGAGTGATTTATTCTTATTTTCCAAGATATCTCGATCCTGCAACAGCTGACGGTTTTCATCCCGTACCATCTCAGTCATAACATGTAACGTAGTATCACGAATGGTGCCATCTTTACAAGACAACCGACGCTTTTTTTCACCGAATGAAACACCCGTGGAGGTTTGTGGGCGCTTTTGTCGTAGAGTAGACGATAGAAGTTCTTGTTCCATGTGTGTGTGGCGAGTCAGGAAATGACTTGATATTTGTAAGAAGGGGAGAGACAGAAATTGGTGCTTTAATATCGAGATTATAAATGTCTGTTGTTTGTTGGTACTTTCACTTTTAATATTTGTGTCGCAGTCATGGTTTTGAAAAGATATGAATTATCAAAGGTCTTTATACACCGCATAGAACATCTTGAATATGTATTACTTACAAGTTATCAACTAAAGAAGTTTTGGTGTGAAGACGGCAATTAAGTGAGCTTTTAAGTAACTTGACCATCTACATTGTAAAGACTTTTTTTCTACCAAACTTACAAAACCAGCAATCTCTAGCCTTGCCGTACACTGTATATGCAGGAATGGCTTCATTGTCTAACAAAAGTTAAAGAATGAATAGTACTAAGGAGATATGTCGTAACTCGCCGTGCTTGGCAAAATCTGAGTCCTCTTTTTTTAAAACTTAAATATCAGCAGCTAGTATACTGCCGGCGGAAGGAAGGATGAAGTCCACTTGCGAACCGTTACCGTTTTCCGTGACTCTCACCGTCAAGTTGACGTAGTAGTGGCCGTCCCATGGAGAGAAAGGGACGGTTCGGTACGCGATTGGGAAAGCGAGTATTTCCCAATCGCGCACCGAACCATTATTCAGCTGTAGATATGCATATCACTTGCTGTATTTTGTGTTTCTCAGACGCTAAGATTAGCAGATTTTGGGGTATCCTTGTGACGGTTGCTGGAGCTGGAAAGGAGTTGACACGAAGGCCGAGTGAATTACGGGTAGCAGCGGTATGAGGTTTTCAGCTGGTTAGTGACGTACTGCTGAGCCTGCGTAACGCCCTCGAAGAAAGTGTCTTAATGCCACAAGTTAGCCTGTTTTGGCTGATCTGGGCTGGGCCCTGTTGCTGGCATAAGGAAGATCTGAGTGAGGCTTGTACATTTTCCGCACGCTGTTAGCGGTGCTGATCGACTACTAGGATATACACAACAAGCTCCAAATAGCGTTCAAGTAGCCTTGTAGGTGATGAATGCTTAATGAATCAGCACATTGGTTGCCATCCTTTCGTTAGTCGTCGTCAAGGTGTGGATAGCGATACTATATATATTAATGAGACTCGGAACAGTTTTGTTGCAAATGATAACACGGTTCAGAACACAACCAGTAAGCTATGATAGCGATTCAATGATCGCACCAACGAACAAGCTATGAATAACGGCATACCACAAGCGACAGCAAAGCGCGATAACAGACAAAGACGAAGCCCTCAAAACTGGAACATCTATTCTTTCAGTATACCCTCATTATGACGATCAAGAACAAACATGTATAAATAGTTGTCTAGTCTGCCGCTGTGGCGTAAGTTGAGAGCGTGTCATAGTCCCGCTGCAAAGAAACGAATTTGTCAAGATATTGAAGCCAGCACGTCACCTATTAGATAAGTCCAATCTGCTCTCAGTTCCTCACATTACCACTTGGCCACCGACGCAATGTTTAATGATTCCTCATGGCCAAAATTGTCCACATTGAGGCCGAAATGACGATCATGCGACTTTGGTGCTTTACGCCCTCTTCAATGATCCACGCAATAAATTTGCTTGCACCAGTTTGAAATAGCATTAAACCGCAGCGAGATTGTCGAGTTACGTGAGGAATGATAGGGCCAAGTTTGGCAAACGGCAAGCATTTTCTGCAAGTTTGTGCGATCGGATTGGCGGACGAAGACGTACTACCGTATGAGTCATGTACATCCGCTAGCACAGCGGTAGATATTTGGATGTCTTTAGCTGTGGTAGTATGAATGACAACGTAGGCTCCACTATTTGTTGTAAAAATCAACATTTGTCCAGCCGAGAACTCGTCGCGCTCGATCAAAATTTCAAAACCAGTTTTTTTAGTCGTAGTCGCACTGGCTAATAAGCTCCAAAAATTGTTGGAATACAAGCGGATGAAATAGAAGTACTTCATCTGGTGGATATCGACCAGTGGAGGACCGTTCCATATAGACACAAGATTCATACAGATTCAACAACTTCTAATCAACGACAGTAACTCCAATTACAGTTTTCGCTGTTTAAATGTTCCCTCTCAATACATGAAAGTCATAGGAGATCCTGTCAGTGCGCAACTTCTTTTGATGTCACAGCGAATCCGACACAATCACCTCCTTCAACTATCGAACTTTTTTACCGACACTAAATGTTGGCCTTCTTTTCCTTAAGCTGGCGCTCCTCCAGGATGTTGAGCTTGACGCCCTTGCCCTTAGGCAAAGACACCCACGGGCGGGCCTCCTTACCAACAGCAAACACGTTGCCGAGGCGGGTGGCGAAGTCGTTACCAGCCGAGTCCTTTACGTGGGCAATGTTGAACGAACCCTGGTGTCTAAAGAACACAATTAACAATAACATCAAACGTCAGATATAAACTTCAGAAATCGACATCAACATAATGGGAGAACAGCTGTCGTCATCCCACTATAATATCGAACATGATGCAACCAGTGGCTACCACCACACCCAGCTCGCAATGAGTCGAAAAGGTGTGTTCCTACCTCTCAATGTGGTGCAGAATGCCAACACGGCCAGTGTTTCGTCCACGAGTGATAGTCACCAGGTTGCCGACCTCAAACTTAATGTGGTCCACGACCTTGCCCGTCTCTAAGTCAATCTTGACCGTGTCACCGACCTTAATGACCGGATCCGGGTAACGGATCGTGCGGCCATCATTGGTAGCAATGTATGGAATAGCCTTCTTGGTGTACTCTTGACGAATGACCTTGGCAAGCTTGAACTTTTTCTCCTCATCAGAGATACGGTGTAGCACGAAACGGCCCTTCGTGTCATACATCAGACGGAACTGGTCGCCCGTCTTGGGCAGCTCGACCACGTCCATAAAGCCAGCTGGGAAGTCCTGGTCCACACGAACTTTACCATCCACTTTGACGCTCTTCTGCATACAAATCATAGTGACTTCCTGCTTGGTGAGGGCGTATTTCAGACGGTTACGCAGAATGATGATAAGTGGCAAACACTCCCGCAACTTGTGCGGACCTGACGATGGACGCGGCGCCCAGATGCCGTCCAATTTACCCAGCATCCAGTGCTTGGGCGCGCTCATGCGCTTAAGGTGCTTACGGGGTCCACGAGGCATTCTTGTTGATTGAGATGAAAAGGAGAACTACTGGTCCGCGAGGCAGCAATAGCGCGGCATTAAAAAAGTGTTGGCTGGGGATTATGACGGCCTAGGTATGAGACGTAAAAGCACCGCAGCTTGATATTTGTATGAAGGTAAAATGAGACCATCTTTCTAAGACATTAGTCTAGTGTTTTTGGCATATGCTTTTACTACCTGTGTATATTTGGTTAAATGTATGAATATGAAAATAGTATTTTTACTGGAATGTCTCGCCTGTGATAAAATTTGTGATACAAGCTAAAAGCAAAAATCGCTACTATTTTTAACCAAACTTTAGCCTAAATTCATGACGTAAGCCTAACATTGTGACGCTAACTTAATTCGTCCTAATTCAGGACGTTAACCACTAATTGGTGACAGTGAGAGTTGATCTCCCCTCTCTTTTAATGCACGTGACCCATGTTTTTTTTTATCTCAAAATGCACCAGCTGTATTTATTATCTTTTAAAGTCCGTAAATGGACTTTTGTGTCTCATTTCGACGCCTCTATGACCACAAAAATGCTGCAGGATTCCTTTTTAGGACCAAAAATCTTTCGAGCCCCTTGACTGGTCAAGTACTAAGAGCTAGACGATTAGAAACGAGTCGATCGAGTTAGGTCTATGGACGTATATACTGGTGTTGCTAGTGCCGCTACGTCGTTGTTAGGGTCACTCCATTCTTTAAGGCTTTAACTCGAAAACGATCCGCAAAAAGAATTGATAGAATGATAGAGTATGATGCATTAGTGGTAGTCTGGGATCTATAGGCAGACCTCTATCGCAGAATGGAGAAGCACATGGATTCGGTAGCGATATTGCAGGCCATTTCCAGTGATCTCTAGCAAAACCAGAACCGGTGTAGATAGCCATGCCGACGATTCTAGCTAGTAAACAATGTATGATCCTTTGTTCACTTGACCACATTAAACTTAGTCACGCAGGAATCGTTGCAGTCCAGACGTCAGATCACAAGTTTTTGAGAACAAGACGTCACATTGATGGTAGCCCCAATGCCTATGATCCTGGCGCCTATAGATCCCGCCAGGCGATTACAACCCTTGTACACCTAGTACTCATGCTTTATATCCAGCCAGCACCAACGAAGCGTGCATGTCCCGTTGTCGAAAATGTTAACAGTCGCCACGAGAATCATGTGACAACTGTTGCCTTCCGACACTATCCTGTCAACGTCAGCACCTACTCGATCCCACACCGGTTCCAGTAAAAATGATGCAGCGCCAAGCTCAGTAGTATCGCGTGCATGGATCGGCAATACCACTATATCCTTGAGCACACATATTTAAAGCGTCCGACAAAGCTTAATAATAGCTACTCTCATCGAGTTTATAATGTTGCCCTGGAGCTTATCATTCAGCGATCCCGACAGCCGGAAATATTCCAAAAGACATGGCAAGGTGACTCTCCGGGCCTCTGCGGTAAGTCCACGCAACTGTTCCGCTACTACATGATTTCTTGACTCTGCTACAGGAGGGCATGCCGCTAACCATCATCTCCTCCTCCACCCACATCTTTGTCGAAAGCGTTATCATTTTCCTGGTCTGGGAACGTGACGTGGAATGTTGACTGCCAGCCAGTTGCAGCTCCTCCTCGTTCAAGTGCGATTCCAATCCATCACAGCCACCATCGTGCACCGCAAAAAGACCATGTAGAATCACCGTGAAGAGAGAAAAGCACAAGCAGGTATTGAAAGGTAGAAACATTGACCAGCAACCGTCGAACCGACATTATCGTGCCCCTTATGATTTATCCTTACATATGTATACATCTAATACGGTCCTAAAAAATGCGCTCTCATATATGTATACATGTTCTGCTCTATTCTGAAAATTAATAATTGGTCGGACCTCTTGGCCATCATGACATCTCTCTTGCTACGTCCATCACTGCGTCTATTGCAACCCCAGCGTTCATTACGCTTTCCACTTCTCTATAAACAGGTCCTAGTTACTCCTCTTTTGTCGTATATTTTTTTCCGGTTTCAATCACCTCTGATTGTAGTGTACAAAATAAATTCAACTCGTTTGATGATATCCCACTTGTTCTTGACTGCAGCCGACAGCATTTACTTCCTCCAGCAGCAATACTAGTGCTACGTCAGAGTTCACATCATTACAACAAGCTTCGCTGGTTTTGGCTGCCATGTTTGGTGGCGGGTATGCTATTGGGTATTTTTTCGGGCCCTTCCCGTCTCTCGAAGATCTCATGGGAGTTAAAGTTATTGGAGGAGCTTCGAAATACAAGGGAGAGGTGTTTGAAAACGAGCGACCTTTTGGACTCAAAAAAGGACTGTAGACATTATGCTGAGCTTTCTTTCGTTGGTCTTGTGTTGTTCTTCTTTCTTATGCAGTTGCTCGTGACAGACAAGGTGTTCTTCGACATTGGCATTAACGACGATTATGTGGGGAAAATTGTGATGGGGTTGTATGGAGAAGTGCAACCTCGGATGGTCGAGAACTTTCGAGCATTGTGTACGGGAGAGAAGGGTGCATCGCGTGCAGGACCACCATTGTGGTACAAGGGCTCGAGCTTCCACCGCATCATCCCCGGCTTCATGTACGATTTGTTGTTTGAGGTGTGCAGTGTTGCTCATACTGACTGTTATCTTACTATATGACAGGATTCAGGGCGGCGACTTCACCCAGCATAATGGACGTGGTGGCGAGTCTATTTACGGACGTCGCTTTGACGACGAAGACCTGAATGTGCCTCATGGAGGCCCTGGGACGCTGAGTATGGCGAACGCTGGCACGAATACTAACGGAAGCCAGTTCTTTATCTGTACGGGCGATACGCCGTGGTTGGATGGCAAACACGTGGTATTCGGACGTGTGCTAGAGGGTATGGATGTTGTGGACATCGTTTCGAGCTGCGGAAGACGTTCTGGGAAACCCAAGGCTGAAGTCAAGATTATTAACTGCGGTGTACTGGATGCGAACGCGGCTAGCGAAGGTGATGCTGCTGAAAAAAAGTGCCGCAACGTTTGACGCGCGAAGAAATGCAGGATCGGCTCGACTCGCTGCGCGAGGTGGAGGGAAACTTCCGGGCGCAAAAGGACCAGATTGACTCCACCATGTATGAACAGCTGATGCTAGAAATCAAGCATGAGAAGCTGCGTATAAAGAAGGAGCTGGAGAAACCGCCGTCTGGAGAGGAAGCTACCTAAGATGAGAAACTGCAAATGGCATGAACCCAAAAGCGGGCGATTACAAATGCGTCGCGTTCAAAAGACAACGTTCTTACTCAGTAATGACTCTTCTTCTCTTAGGCTGTATCCAGAGGTCAATCATCCTGACTTAACCCCGGTCTTTCAACGACAGATTTTCTGCTGGGCTGCTTGTATATTCAAAAGTTACCCCAAAACTTGATGATTCTTCCTGTGTGCAGGCTTCTCCTGACGACGTTGTGATCGCTGCTGTACGACACTTGATGAAAACCTACTGCAATAACACCGTGTGTTGTTTCAAACACTCGATATCCAGCGAGCCGGCGTCAACATTCACATTTCGACTCACAAACACAGATGAACAATGCATGTACGTGAACGATATCTGATACAGGTTTTTCACGGAGTACAAGTTGTTGAAGCCGTTGTTGCGTGACGACGTGATATCTTGAGTCACGAGTGAACGACTTCCAAGTGGTTGGCATTCTGACTACTACAAATACAAATAAAGCAGCCAAAAATTCTTTGAAACCTGAACATTATGAAGCATTTACGTACGGGACCAACACCGCTATCGAATTCATAACGTTTACTTTTTCAATCGTAGTACTACAAAATGGTACAACTTGGGCGACTTGCTATTCATTCTAGCAACTTCATTCAGCTTTGAGTATATGGTTCTGGATCAGCACCTATCGGTTTGCATTCAGGGGGTGCCACTGGCTGGTCACCACTCATCACATTAACACAAGCCTTGTACGCCTGCCACGAGTACTTGTTCATTACAAAGCGCACAGCCAGCCAGTACCAACGCAGCACGCACGTACCCTTGCACGACGAGAAGTCGATACAGTGCGTGTTGAGAGGAAAGTCATTATGGCAATTATCACCTTTGGATACTTTCTTATTGTGAAGCCACACTTCGCACGGTCCGTTGTGCGTGTAGCCCGACACTAGCATAACGCCGTTTTCCGGAATAGGCCGCGCCGTCCCATTAATGTCGGTTCTGCCACAAGCGAAGTTGACACCTAGGTCCACCTTGTACTTCTTCTCGTCGTCCATGAAAGCACGGAGCGTCTTGTAATTGTTCGCTATGAGCCACTCGTTAAAGTTTGGTCCTGTCTTTATATTCTGGGTCTCGAGGAACGCAATTGGGAACATCTTCTTTTTTTCTTGATCCAGCGGGTAAATGGGCGCCGGATATCGCACAATTTGGTGGGCTTCAATAGTTAAGGATAGCAGAGCGAGGCTGCAAAGGGCCGACGCTACGACGAAAGTTGGTAAGGTCATGTGAACCATGAGGAATCGGTTGAGAAATTGCTTCTGTGTGCAAAATGGTAAATGCAGAAGTAAGAGCAGATTGGACCAACCTACTCAGGCGTCGTGTTGTCGTCACTAACCTCCGCGAAGTCGCTACTACGACACTTTCCCACCATTCACGCCTGATGTGTAAAATGCTTGGCTAGAACAAATGTCTCTGTGCTATACGCGAAGCGTACAATCCATCTTTCTACTGCAAGACCATTACACGCATTAGTAATGAACTCAAACGAGCCAGCTGCTTCGACACATTGTAAACTGCAGGAATCCAAAGGTGCCTCCGTTAAGTTATAGGTATGGTGGACGACAATATCCATAACTTAACGGAGGGTATAACTTATCGGATTATGTGTATTGCACATAAGAGAACTTAGATAATAAAAAGAAACCTAGCAGGTCCAGCCCTAAGCTTCAGACTGCTAAAAGAACTTGAGGTCCCTGACTCCTTTAATAGTTGAACCCGGCCCCAAGGTGTAAGACACGTCGTAAATCTTTTTTGTTCTGTGCTACTAGTGAAATTCATATGTAAATCTACAGTGTATAATAGTGTCATCCCTACCTAGATAGCAGAAGATGTCAAGAAGCTGGGGCAGGAGCTGAGATATCATCTAGAGCAGCTGCGTGTCCAAGATCTAATGACGATTTCGGAGCTTTGCAATCTTATCGGAGAGAATGAGACTGATTTCCCGGAGCTGACCTAAATGAGATTCTGGAAGAGGTAAAAGCTACCATTTTGAGTAATCATGATTATGTGTTATGCTTGTGCACTTCGTGAAGATACTGCCACGTACTACGTGGGCACACCTTCAAGCAGCGCGAGGAAGCGGTTCAACCGTCCTACCTCCGCGTGCGGTGGTGCTGGTGCTGGTTGGCCGTTTAAAGAGCCAAACCAAATTGTTGCCGGCCGCTTAAAGCGATCCTCGCAGCGAACAAGTAACAAGTGTCTCACATACGTCACGCAGAAGCTTTTTCAGCTTGTCGTGCGCAGGGGACGTAATTAGTAACTTCAAGACTGACTTATTTCTAATAGAAATTAACTAAATAGAAATCTAACTACTGATTTTTAATCAAGCAAAGATTGGATACGCGTTTCTTTAAAAGCGTATCCTTACGTGCGAGCTTAAAATGTGTTTAAGCTCGCAGGTGACGTCTGTTTGAAGCGTCACCATGACGCCCAGTCCCAACTGGCGTCATCCTCGTTGAATGTGAATCCATCCATGGATATCACATTCACGAGGGTGGGTCACATTGATGTGAGACACCCAAGTGGCAAGCCTGAGGTACCTCGTACCCATTTAGGCCTGCCCGTTAAGTATTCGATACCTAACGAACCGTGTAACTTTAGCCCGTTACAAACCATCCCCTTCTTTGAGACGATTTTTTTCTTTTTTGTAAAACATTGAATAGAGAAACGATGCCACCGAAACGTGAAAAGGCTGATGGGTCGCTTGCAAAGGCACCCATAGAGACCAAAACCAAGCGCACGCGCCGCGAAAATTTGCAGCCATCACTAAGTGTCTCTGTGAAAACGCCGACATCGAATGTCAGCTTGCCAGCGGAGAACACTGGTCTATCCCATTATGATGCGGATAAAGATCCGTCTCTCATTGTTGACTACAATAAGAGTACACCATTGCCATCGTCTCCAAGTGGTAATGAGCACAGTGCGTCAATGGGACATATGTCCCCATCATTTGAGACAACCAACCTTTATAAATTTTCCATGCTTCGTGACAGTGACTGTCATGCCTCGTCGTCTGCGTCGGGCCAACGAGCGCAACGACCACAACTGAGCGCGCTGCTTCGAAAGTAACAGCCGCGACTTAACAGCAGGTCGGCGATTTTAAATCTGCCTCCTCTGTCAATCCTACGACTGATGCCTTGACAGCCAATAATGGAGAGTCGAACTCAGGCGAGGGTGAGCAAAAAGCTCCTTAAACTTCACAGTCGGCCTCACTAGCACGCCGTCGCGAGGGCGGCTACGTGATTGAAGGCTTGCCACCAATGCCACCGCCATCCGAGTGGTTACACTCGAGTGGTTATAGTGCGACGTATTTAAAGCGTTCCACTATTGACGCTAATAAACTTTTTAGAGTCTTTTACATCGTGAAAAAAAACGCAGGACAAAGCACGAGGTCTTGCTTTGCCTATTCCCGTCGTGTTGCGTTCGAATGAAACAACTGACGAATACGAGGCCGAGCTCCTGCGCCGTGTTACACCGCATGTAGATGCAGTGAAACAGCGGTCGCAGCGAATTAGCTTCGCTATGACGCGTGCGAGGGATATATTGGGTGATAACATACCCCTAGCTCCTTCTCGCTACGCTTCCCCTGCTAGTCCATCAGGACCTAGCGGAGCGAATGCAGCTGGTGCTTCTGCTCGAAAGCCGCCACCAGACCAGGCAAGTCGACGCGTAACGTGCCCCAAGACTTCGCCCAGAGTCGAAGATCTTGGGGCATCCTTTCCACTGGACAAGGATATGTAGTTTTTGCTTCGCATGGCGGTGGGCCAACAACCTTCCAACAAGGAAGCGTGTGTTCCCACACGCATTTACCGGCGCATGTGGCGCCCATAGGAGCGGCGATTACGCCCAACTATTCGCGGTTTCCTATCCTGTTGTTGTTCAGTCGCAGGCGGAGATCGCTGCGACGAAGAAAGAGGTGGCTGATCTGTCGAGTCAAGTCTCGCGACTGACTTCGGATCTACGCTCTGTGAATACGATGGATCTTCAGTGGTATGACCGCCTGAAGGACCGTTTGGACATACACGAGCGTCTGGTGATGAGAGACTAGAGTCCAACGCGATGTCCTCCTCGATCACCGAGTCCTCTGTCGTCGGTCTCGTATACGGGAAGTCTTTCACCTTCCCCGTCTCCTGATCGGCAACGACACTCGACCCACATTGGACGTCTCGGACGTCATCATCGGTCTCGATAGACTGATGCGGATATGAGCGAAGTGAGGGGCCCTCCCCACTAAGGCTCGGGCTGCGTACAAACGACACCGGCGTTCGAGGATGACACATTCCGCTGATATAAAATGGCGTTTCACCCGTACTGGCGTGAACACTGTTATAAAAAACGAACTCCACGACGGAAAATTACTTTCTCCATTCGTTAGGAGTCGCTACAGTACGCAACACATTCACCACGACTCGATTGGCCCGTTCCATGTGACCATCGGGGATGATTGGCTGTTGACATGTGGAGCTTGCTACCTTGCAGCTCAAACACATGACGCCAAAAAACTGACGTAAAACGCGGATTCCGATCCGATAATATGGATTCGGGCATCCCGTGTAGTCGATACACGTGATCCAAAAACAAGAGGGCAGCCTTTTTTCCTGAGATCGTGGTGCTACATGGTGCCAAATGCACCATCTTGCTCAGTATGTCCACAAAAACGACGAGCCCCGTCCTGCCTTTATGGTCAGGCGGTAAGCCAAACATGAAGTCCAAACTGACCGACTTCCAACATTCAGTTGGAATCGGCAGTGGCTTTAGTGGCGCACTGTTCGAAGGTGCAGGCTTTATGCGCTGACACTCTTCGCAAGAGCGAATATAGTTGGCCACCCACCGATATAGGTGGGGCCACCAAAATTCCTCTGACACTCGTAAGAATGTCTTTTCACGTCCCAGATGCCCACTAGATGGCGCATCATGGCACTCGCGAAGTATCATCAGCTTGAGATCTGTGTCATGAGGGACATCGATTCTCAAGGGATCACAGGGTGACAGTTGATGCCATAATAGGCCATCAATGTAACTAAAGCGATTTAACTTCGCTTCAAGTGCGACGGAAGAGTAACCTTTCGTCCACCAAAATGATCCAACAGCAGGCGACAATGCTCGTCCTGACTATAGCACTCCTTTATATCGGAGGCCATGGAGATCGTCACATGGTAGTCCTTCATGGCTGCTAATGTTGACGACTCAAATTGTGCTTTCGCACGAGACACACTATCCTGGTGTCTTGCCTCGAAGTCTGGTCTGCGCGATAAAGCGTCAGCCAAGACATTCGACTCACCCGGCTTATATTCAACTTTGAAATCAAATCCAGAGAAGAATGTTATCCATCTCGCCATCCTAGGCGAGAGGTGCGGTGAATTTATAGCGCAGTGATGCGTGATCCGTATAAATCACAAAAGGTTCGGTGCACAGGAGGTGCACCCAAAACTTTACAAGGGCATACTTAATTGAAAGTAGCTCCTTGTCATACACAGGGTAATTCAGCTCGGCAGCTTTTAAAAGCCGAGACTGATACGATATGACACGGTTAATGCCGATGTCATCCTTCTGCATGAACGCGCTGCCGAGTGCAAAAATTGCTTGCATCGCAGACGACGCTAAAGGGCTTATCCGCGTCTGGCAATGCCAAGACCGGTGCCTCAAAAAGAGATTGCTTCACTGATGTGAACGCATATTCTTGCTCCTTTGACCAAGTCCATTCTGTATCCTTTTTTAAAAGGTCAGACAATGGCTTGGTCTGCTCCGCAATATTCTTGCTGTACTTATGCAAGTAGTTAGCGAGCCCAAGGAATTGGCGCAGATCCTTCACATGTCGTGGGACTGGCCATTCCTTTACAGCCTTAAACTTTTCTGGGTCTGCTCGTACACCATGTGCACCTACGATGCAGCTAAGCCAGGTATCTTGGGGACCCCTATTACGCACTTTTGCAAGTTCACGTATAATTGGGCGTCACCCAGAGTCTGCAACACAGCGTCTAAATGACGCTTGTGAGAATCTATTTCGCTCAGATCGTCCTCCGCCCTACTATTCACGAATACATCGTGGGCGCGTAGGCTCGGTGCTGACGCAACACGTGATCCACCACTCGGTTGAATGTTGCCGGAGCATTTTTCAACCCTTGTGGCATCACAAGCCACTCCCACATCATACCGATTGGGGTGCTTACTGCCGTTTTGGCTACATCAGTATCTCTCATGAAAACTTGATAGTAGCCATACTTCAGATCCAACGTGGAAAAGATAGTTGACTTCCCCATTGAGTTCAACAAGACATATTTCCTCGGATTCGGCGTTTGAGCCGGAATGGTGGCCGTGTTCAGCTTATTATAAGCGTGAACCACGCGCCATCCACCTGTTGCTTTACGCACACAGAAGGTCGAGCTGCAGTGAGGCGACTTGATCTCACGTACATGTCCCACCTTGGCTCGCTTGTCGAAGAACTCATCGATGTAATCGACTTGTTCCTTCGGCAACGGCCATTGCCTGGTCACACAATACTTGGTGCCAGGCTCCAGGTCAATTTCGTGCCTGATGCCCCTATCGGCCGGTAGGCGGCTCGGTACTTCGTCTGGAAACACATCACGGTGTTTCCACAGAACATCATAGAACGGGCTGTCCTTCAGGGCATCCCAGCCTTGAGCAGCGAACCGTTTCTTTTTGTCGGTCTCTAAGACGCTCTCATCCATTGTAAACGAGGAGGAACAGTTCATCACGTTCTCTTCTGGAACTGGTGCGACTATCTCGTGGATCTTTCCTTCCTATAATTCGGACAGGAACAGATCCCACGTCATCTCCGAGATATTTACTATCTCCTCGGCAGATGCCAAGACAAGTTGGAGCACCTCAACTGAGGATGCCTCTGGCATTTTATCTTCGACGACCTCGAACAACTCGTTCGTAGGTCCGTCCTCTTGAACCGAGACTGATCCAAGGGTCGCTCGTTTCGACGTGCCCTTGATCGTCTTAATACGTCTGGTGCTCGTTCTTCAAGTCACCACGACCTTTGACCTGGAAGAAGGTGTCGTTGCTATTTTAGCTAACGCACTCCTTCCAACCTCACCAGGCTCATGTATCTTTGCCGGTTCTTGTGGCGCTTGACTTCCTGTCAGCTCACCATCAACTGCCACAGGCTCTCGGCTCTGTGCAGGATCATTGACGCATGACTACCTGTCATCGTCCCATTCACTACACCAGTCTCCTCGAGATGGGTAAGAATTTGTGTCACCTGACTTCTTGTCAGGACACTTCCAACTACTCCAAGCTCAACGAGCTGGGTAGTACCTGTTGTCAATTGACATACCGTCATCGCACCCTCGACTGTGTTGGACACAGCATCAATCGCATAAGTCTCTCGCAGGAGCACATCCTTTCCGGTGTCCTAGGTAGAGCTAGCGACTGTGCGTGTACGCCAGTCTATCCATGGTTGGTGTTTAGCCAACCAAGGCATGCCTAGGATGAGGTCATACGGACTCTCCATACCTAGCACTGTGAACTTCTCTTTACAGGAGAAGTCACCGAAACTGAAGGCGAGTTCAACTTGAACTACTTCCGGGTTTTAACGAGCGCGCCGTCCGCTAAACGAACGATCACCTCTTCTCGCTTGTCATCCTGGAAAAGCGACTCATAACTCGTCGGACTCTTTTTCAGAGCCGCGAGTTTCACAAAGTTGATGCACCCAAATTCAAGAGAAGGGTCATCACTTGGTCATAGCCTCGTACTCGAGCGCTATAGACCAAAAGGGTTGAGGTCCGACCTTTCGGTACCTCAGGAAATATGCTACCCATTTGTTCGATCACTCTGAACATAGGGGTAGCTTCAGAGTCCGCGACAGTAGGGCATCCTGCCCCTACTTCGCTCCCAAATTTCCATACCCATCTTGGGAAGGTGCTGAACCCGTGCGTCGTGCACGCTGATTCTTCGCACCTCCCTTCAAGCAGTGTGCCTTCTTGCTGGCTTCCTTAGCACCATCAACAAGTTTGGCATAGCAGCGAGCCATTATATGGCCGCGCTTGCCGCACTTGTAGCAGACGACGTCTGCATTGCCTAACTCCATATAAGTGGCATCCGACTTCTCGGACGACGGCCTGTAATAGGCTGTCGCCGAGGCGCTGTTGTAGGATTGCTCCTCAACCATGGCAAATTCAATTGCCTCATCCATCGTCGCTGGCACCTTTATAAAAAGGGCCTGATGCGATGGGCCGTGCCTAAGTCCATTCATGAACGTGGCCACCTTGATACGTTCAGGTATCGGTTCCCCATTAATGGACGCCGACAACGAACGCATCTCCTGCACAAATTCTTGCAGAGAGCGTTTCGCCTGACGTTCTCCAAAGAAGCGCACCATAAGCAACACTTCGTTGTTAGGCGGCTGATACATGGCGCGAATCTTTGACTTTAATGATCGCCCATGATGGAAACGAATCAGCATTTGCCATCAGCGCAGAGTATGCCCACTCTGACGCTTTGCCACGCAAGTTAGACATGGCATACGACACCATTCTGGTGTCGTCTTCGATGAGCTGCGCCACTCCACAATGCTCAACTGCCATAGTCAGTGGAAAATCGTATGTGGAGCAGTCCCGTCAAACTTCGGAGGGTCCATCCGAATGGGCCTTGGCTAATTAGACCGGGCCGAGAGCGTCTCAATGGTTCTGTTAAGCGCCTCATTTCGAGCTTGCTCACGCAAAATCTCATCCTTAGTCTTACTGATGGACTTAGCCGTGGCTTGTCTGTTTCCCTCGGATGCGTTTCTACGCTGTCCGAGCACAAACGCCTCAAATTGCCCCAATTGAGAAACATGTTTCTCAGGTGGACAATTTAAGAGATTGTCCAGGGCTTGTTCACCAAGTCTTTGCACAAGTGCTCTGCCACCTCCCTATGATGTTAGAGAGGTGAGGAAAATCACCCCAATCTACGTTGAGGGTTATCCGTATCCACACGCACGCTCAAAGAGACGGGTCGTGGGAAGGACTACAGGTGCTACCAAGTGTAGACGGGCTCTTCAAAAAGATACTGCCACGTACTACGTGGGCACACCTTCAAGCAGCGCGAGGAAGCGGTTCAACCGTCCTACCTCCGCGTGCGGTGGTGCTGGTGCTGGTTGGCCGTTTAAAGAGCCAAACCAAATTGTTGCCGGCCGCTTAAAGCGATCCTCGCAGCGAACAAGTAACAAGTGTCTCACATACGTCACGCAGAAGCTTTTTCAGCTTGTCGTGCGCAGTGGACGTAATTAGTAACTTCAAGACTGACTTATTTCTAATAGAAATTAACTAAATAGAAATCTAACTACTGATTTTTAATCAAGCAAAGATTGGATACGCGTTTCTTTAAAAGCGTATCCTTACGTGCGAGCTTAAAATGTGTTTAAGCTCGCAGGTGACGTCTGTTTGAAGCGTCACCATGACGCCCAGTCCCAACTGGCGTCATCCTCGTTGAATGTGAATCCATCCATGGATATCACATTCACGAGGGTGGGTCACATTGATGTGAGACACCCAAGTGGCAAGCCTGAGGTACCTCGTACCCATTTAGGCCTGCCCGTTAAGTATTCGATACCTAACGAACCGTGTAACTTTTAGCCCGTTACATCCCAATACCGTTTTCCGGGACGCTCAGCCGTCGAATTGACGTAGTACCGTAGAACAAAAGTTATGGATGTCCATTAGCTGGACTCGCCTAGGCCTTTTTAATCAGATCGGTTTGCTACACCTACGTTCCTCGCACTCGTTCATCCCGACCTCAAGGATAACGCCTTGGCTAACAACAATGACTAGATGCTAGCACTTTACTTCTAAGAAACTTCGAGTCCATCGCGATAGTAGTCAGAGCATCTACCATTATATTGAATGGCGGAGGTGATGTCTCCATGTGGCCACATTCAGCGATCTGTAATTGTCCTGCATTGTTTGTATACGTCTTGCAAATATTGTGCTTTAGGCCCCTTTCTCCTCCTTAAAACTATCGTGTATACGCTTAAAGCAGGAAAACTTGCCATTTAGGTGAAAGAGTTACAGGTGGTGTACGCTTGCAGATGGAATGCGAGGTTATCTGACGTAAGAGATGTGATTGATTATGTGGAGACTAATGGAAAACAGGGCTACTCTACAACGCAACTCGTAATCGAAACTTCTGCAGCAACCCGTTGATTGAAAACGAAAAGGATGTAAAATGAAAGATTAGTGTTATCATGAGCAAGAGGACTATAACAAACGGCTGGGGTAGCTAGATGAATACCGAAAGCAGCTCCAGGTCACCAAGATTGTGTCGAAATCTTAACGGACGGAACTCAAAACGCTTCGAGGCAACTTAAACTGTTTTAAGACGAGATACGATTGCGCACGGCATTTATTCGAAAGCCACAGCTACCGAACGTAAGCACTGAAAGCCTAACGACTGCAAAGCCAAAGTGTTGTCGCGAAATGGACTCGGCACGAAATCACACCTTTTTGATTCCCAGTCGAGCTTTAGTAAACAAAACAGAGATGGACATGTCCCTTTGCATTGATCTTTTGTTACTTCGAAGTATGATTAACCATTTCTTTGAGTTATTTACACGCTCGTAGAGCAAAGCGTTCGATGCTCGCAGCCTGAACGTATCTCAAACAAAGGCGTGTGACAGCAATAACAGCAAAATTGGTGATATATGGAGCTTCAGTAGTTTGCTATCTATCGCCAGGAAACACATGATCAGTTCTGCTACAGAAGCAATTACACGTCCGAGTGGGTCCGGCGCCGAACGTTTCCTCTACCCGAGTTGCCCCAATAGCGACGTCCAGAGGATCGTGATCGCACAAAAGCGTATGGGTTGCCTCCTTGTGGTGATGGAGAGATACCCATGCGTGGTGCAATTGGACCTGCCGAGCGCTGAACGAAGTGTTCATTAAAAACTGTCGGGTCATTGACAGTGGGTTCATTTTGAATAACGAAATGCTCGTACGCCGACATGTCATTGTCACGCCTAGAAAATGGATCGAATCCAGCGGAAGACGTACCAAACATCGACACACGCGATGGCGGCGGTGGCACAGGGAGGCTCTCAGCTGCCAGAATTTCGGCAAGTCTGTCGTAGTTTGTCGAATGGTGTTTCACAACACTCCTGCCAAGTGCCAAACGACGACCTTCGCGACGCTTGTCCGATAAGCAGGCAGCAGTCACAAAGTCACTCGTCGTGCTTATCTCGTGTGAAAGTGATTCAGCAAGTTTCTGGTTCAAGAGTGCCATCCGAGTCGCAATGTTTGCCAAAGCAATGGCAGGCTGAATTACCAGTACCCCCAACTCTTTCAGCTCTTTGCTGCACATGCAGTTTGGGACGACTGCAATCATGCGTAGATATTTCTCGCCTAGCTTTGCTCTCATAGCTCGGACATACTCTAGTGTACGCATCCCCTCACCAGTAAAAATTAACACATCAGCCGATGACATTTCTTCCATGTGCTCTTCGCGCTCGGGTTCTTTCACTTTGTTCTTGTACTGGATCAATTCACCCTTCGCTGACCGTTGCAAAATCGTTTCACTGATAGTTTGCCACCTGTCGGCCTGTTCCTTGTCTAACAGAGGCACGTTTACTTGAGCTCCGTACAAAGACAACTCTAGTGCAATTTCAAATGCCACCTCATCCTCTCCAATGATCACAGCACTTTTAACCTCGTGGAATGGAAGCAAAGTACGTGGGTCTTGCGTAACATTGCTCGGGGGACGACTTTGCAGAGCTGTCCCACCGTTGACGCTCCCATCGTTATCCGAACCATACACACTGCCTTCAACTGGCTGAGTCTCAGCCCTTCGTTCGTACATACTCTCGCCTGCACGACGAAGTCCAAAAGCACACAATACGGGACCAATGATTTGATTCACCACCACAGCCGCTACAATTGTTACTGCAAATTCTTCAGCCCACGGATCTGAGCTTAATTTCCTCATCTCATCAGCCAGACCTAGTGCAACACCAGCTTGGGGGGTCAGCGTAAGCCAAAGATTATTGTACTGCCTTGGTGTAAGCTTGAGCAAAAAGCGCCCACCCAAGTAACAGGCAATAAAGACCGTAACGAAGCGTAGACAAACATACAAGCTCATGAGAGGAAGTGTATTCATTACCATGTCCAATTTGAGGGCTGCTCCAGTCATTACGAAAAATGGCAGGAACATGTAAGGTGCCACAGTATCCAGGATCACATGCATATCGTGACGAATCAAAGAGTAGTGACCAGCAAGACAAGAAGCGACCATTAATACCAGCAAAGGCTCGAATCTTACCTCCCATGAAGCTCCGAACGAAGCAACAGTAGCCTCACCGATTGTCGTAGTGGCAATGTAGAACATGTATCCTAGCGTTAACCACAGAAATCCTTTTACGTATAGAGACATATGGGTCGTCCAAAACTTTGCATCCTTTGGAGGCTTTCGCTCTCTGTCCGTTTCTTCCACGTAGGCATTGTGCGGATGTGGCATCGTGTCTGGATCTTGTGAAGATTCCTGGCTGTAATGAGACGATGTAGTCGCCTCTGAGGCATGAAGATCTAAATGTTCGCTAGCTGTACTGCCTGGAATCTCGAAAATCAAGATGACAACGAGTCCAATCAAACCACCGAGCAAAAGGTTTGACACCACAATCGCCAGCGTGAAGACAACATTCCCAGCTGAGACTTGCAGATCTGCACAGTAGATCAAGCAGATAATCCGTGAAATCGAGAAGGACACGAGCACGATGAACTCTGCCAACATAGTCACCCCTAACATCAGATTCGTGAAAGGTCCGACACTATTGAGTTCAATCTTGATAGCCATTACAGTCGCAGGTGAGCCGAGCACCGAAATGGACCCGAACATGAGTGCGATACCCAATTGACAACTGGTGACAAAGTCAGCGTAAAAGAAAGCGTCATTGGCGAGCAAGTGCACGCTCGTGAGAATCACCATGGCTGTCACGTAGAGTACACTGAGTAAGATAAAGATTTGTTTGAGTTGCGGTCTCAACTCCGGTAAGTAAATTTCTTGACCTGCTTGAAACGAGATAAACGACAATGCCAGAGCACTCACATATGTCGACAACATTTCAACAAGTGCTTCGGACAGTAAATTGGTGACGAACGGTCCGGCGATGATCCCGATCACAAGGTAGCCGGTGATCAATGGCAACTTGAAGTATTTGGGAAAGAAGAGACCCAATGGGTGGGCGGCTACTAACACCACAATGAAAGCTAAGCCATACTGTAGCGTGTCGACTGTGTTGTTCCATGAGTTGAAAGGCACTGTGGCATCTTCATCGCGTGCTGTAATCGCTGGAAGCAAGGACAAGAACACGAGCCACAACATGGCCGCTCTCCAACTGAATGAGAACAAACTAACTGACGGATAGACTTCCAGTCGAATCGTCCCAAGTAAATGTAAGGAATGCGATTTCACAGGCAGCTAGTTCAATGAAATTGCAGAGTAGGTGTTTATTGTCCGTCACCGAATCAGAGAGTGCGTGCGTTTACATGCAAATTGGTTGCATGTACCATTTTACATGCTTGACGATAGATAGACCCCGAGCAGGAAACGGTGGCATGGATAAGATGGTGGTTATCATTGCTGCATGAATGGAAACAAGATGAACGAGACGGTCTTTGACTAGCTACGTTTAGCTCCAGTGGAGATTTTTCATACATCGAACACTTTGAAAGGATTGTTATCTCTCTTTACGCCAAAGGTTGTAATGTACCTCTTCTCTAACCTTACTTGCTCTCTTTGAAGAAGTCGTCCATTTCAATTGATAACTCAAGTGAGCGACACGACTCATACAACTGCGACAAGAACCACGCAAGACATTGTGGGACATAGCGAATTCCAAGACGCTTCAAGCGAGCTAAACTTTTGATTCTAGCAAGACAATTAAGCACAACCAGGTCACTTTAGTTTCACTATCAAGGCTACAGATGTGTCAGTCAAAGTTCAAAAATGCACCATTACACTACCTTACCAACCGTAATCTACTCGGAATTTACCCCTGTCGCAGCTCGTAGGCCATTCATCCGTCCAACTACTGTTTATTCTCATTCTGCCAGAAAGGGATAACCATAATACGAGCCATGCCACGGTGGACCTGTGCTTCAAGGAATGGACCCTCCGCCAACTCGCCATCAACGCACATGAGGTCGGTGGCCCGCTCCGGCACGAGCTTAAACGCCCGTGTGCGCACCTGCTGCACGCCCTTCTTGTTAATGTGGTTGCCGCTATCCATGGTGAGCAGCATAGCTAGTAGGTCCTTGCGTCGGTATGAGCCATCAATGAAGGTGATATAGTTGTAGCCGTCGTCGAACTGTGCGTCAGGAGCAATGTGAGCGTCGGAAGCTGCATGCGATACGTTCATTACCCACACGATGCGGAAATGACCGCTTAGCTCCTTCCACTTTCCGCCCTGGTCTACATTCTTCTCAGTCTTCTCTTCGATTGCTTGCCCCTCTCCATTCTTCAAGTCTATTGATTGTGGGGGGCCTTGGCCGTTTCCATCGAATAAGTCCATTTTGGGGCGATCCGTCGACTTGGGGTCGTTCGTCTCAAAGTAGTGCAGTGGATTCTCGTTCTCCTCTTCAAGATACCAGATTTTGCCCGGGTACTCAGGCCTCTGGAACACAATTTGATTAATGAATGCGACCGTGAATCGCAGGTCTCCAAGCATGCGCAGCTTTTCAGACCCAATGTCAACATCAGCGATAGATGCCCACTCTAGCGACAGAAACGAGTACTTTGTCTCCTTTTCGTTGCGCACAGACGTGATGTCCAGATCATGAGGCATACCCTTAGCCAGCACAAATGCAGCATTCACCGGTTTGCCCTTCTCACCACACCGATGAGTGATAGAGTGCGCCAGACCATTGCCTGACCCACCTGGAATGGCACCAATGGGTTGTCGAATAGCATTATTCCAGTCTGTCCGCTTCATTAAACCCTGCACAACTGCAAAGACCAAACAAAACCATCAGATTCAACCACTTCACACCAGTCCATCGAAAGAACCCAAACGACACGTACTCTCGTACAAACTGCCGTCTCCACCCACTGCGACGACACAGTCGTAAACACCTAATGGCATTTCCATGACAACTTCCATTGCATGATTTGAATGTTCCATGATTTTCACCTCGGTTTCCACATTTGCAAACTTGAAAACCGGTGCCACTTTGTTCTCGTAAATCTGCAATGCACGTCCTGCAACAGCCATTCATAGCAACAACATTATCAATCATAAACTCATCTTACCATTTAGTCAGCTCTCTCATGTTTACCTGATCCACTGACAGGGTTCACTAAGATAAGAAACTTGCGTTGCGGTCTCTCCACAACCTCCAACTCATCCAATGTCTTTAATTGCTGTACCGTCTCGTAGTTTCGAGGATCTGCCACAAAATTGATGGTACGTTGCAATTGAAGCACTTGCTGCAGCTGTTTCCCATTGAATCGGAAAACGAATTCTCTAGTTATTCTCGTCTTCAATGTATTGACTCTGTCGCTGGAGCAGATGCAGGCAAAAATGCTCAAGAGGAACAGAGTATTGGCCGCTACTGTGTCGAGGTTGTCCACCGACGTTTTTACGTGCTCCCCATCGACCGTGAGCACGTGAGCGCCTAATACGTCACCCCATGAAAGTTTAAGCGTCTGCTTCTTGCTACCAACAGCTTCAACCACGCAATGTGATGTCGTGAGGTCGAAACGAATGGGGTCATGGCTATTGACGCGCCACAAAGTCTTGACAACTTGATAGAGCTGTAACTCGGCCAGAAGTGCAGTTAGAGACGTGAGATTTTCACGCAACGTACAAGACATGTCGAGTTCCGATTTGTCACTAGGAATAGTATTCGAAGCGACTGGAATGGCAGTGGTAGCTTCAGACGTCGACATGGTGGGAGAGTCGAGAGATAAAGAGCCTTTCAATGTTTGATTCAAATCGTCCAAAGAAAATTTGTCGAGGGAGTGACAAATTTTGTGACTTTGTGCATTGTATTAGTACAGACTAAAATCAACATACAGTTTAATTGACATTAAACGGTGGTCTCTCCTCTTTGTACCCTAAAAAAAGAAGCTGACTAAATAGAGTCAGATGAACATACTTAAAGCTACGATATAACACAGCACCATCGTTGTGGCGATCAAATAAACGACCTATAATACCGGACTATTAATCTTGAAAGTGTCACAAACCCCGTACAATCACTAGACTTGATCGAGCGCCAGCGGTGCCATTATGGCTTAGGAACTACTAGACATTTTGCATTTCCTAAAAGGTTAAATAGACACGTCTGCCTCTCTCTCTGTCTTGCCTCGCTCCCTAATTGTTGTCCAAAGTACAGCAATGCTATAGCCGTTCCATGACATTCAATCTGATTCTCGTTGCAAAGAAATAACGACGTCCTTGCTAAGACAAAGCTATGATAGGCTGCCCGCACGTTTTTACTCTGTGACAAGCAATGATATCTCCACTACGTTTGACAACTTATGGGCCCAAATTTTCGTTGTCACCTTTGACGCTACTCCAAAACCAAGTACATGGCCGGCGCGCTTTTTGCTTGCTTTTCTCTTGTTAAGGACCCCATCGCTTGCTCGCAACTCAAAACAACAAGAAGATATCGTTTTGGGCTGGGGATTTGGCAGATGCCCCAGGCATTGAAAGGTCCAGCAATTGGAATGAGGGTGATCACTGTCAATGACGCCAATATATCGTCTGCACGAATTTTGGCTCTATCGCGTCTTATGAGGTAGCTCTTGATACTTCATCGAACTGAAATCTTGCTTTCTACAAATGTGCGACGTGTGAGCTCATGTTGTGCATGGAGGAGGTGTCAACACATGGAGATCTCCCAGCTTCACCCATCACCCCCCCCCCATGGTTCCAGCCTTACCATATGGTATGCACTTGTACGATCCAGCATCAACTTGAATATTCATACGGACCTTCAAGCTAGAAACATGGCTACAGTCTAAATAATGGCTACATGCAATATCGCTAAAAGGAGGACGGCATGGCTTCGTCGAATATGACTTTTTCTGGTTCCTTGCTACGATTTCCACGGCTTTGCCGGCCGCGTGCACGCCCCACCAGCTCCACGTTGGTATGGTTGAATACGTATCATTATACTGTTAAGGTATGCAACCTGGTGAGAACTAGAAGCTAAACTTTGGATTATAATGAAATGGGAGCGTCCACGTTGGTATGGTCCTCGTAGACTCGGATACTTCAACGTCCCGCGGAGCCATCTGGGTGACAGTTGACCACCTGAGCCAGATGCTGCACCTCGTCAAGACCAAGATGCCATCTTAGAACTAAAACTCATCCAACAGTCCGTGAAAGCCGTACTACTCGACAAAGTCTTCGTGAGGATATATGTCGCCTCCACCTGCCGTGATGTAGCCCAACCCGACCTGTTCGTGAAGTTAATGCTACCACTCAAGATGAAAATTTCTGTCGTTACCAGACCTGCTCACCGTCCACGTGCACGTCCTGTCGCTGCTGATGACAATCATAAGTCAATACGAGGTGGTATCAGTGATTGCCTATGTGCCACTGGCCTCTTAACGTTCAGTACAGAGCAGTGAACATTACCTATAGTCTACCAGGAACTGCGGCCAGTTCCTGCTGTCTCGTTCTTCGGATTACAACCCAAAGATGACATCTCCAGTATGTTATTTTTCGATCTTGTCCTTTGTCATCGTAGGCAGCAGAGAAAACCACAGGTCGAAGTTAACATTTTCTCTGGTCTAAACTGTCCGCAGTCCGTTGGTACGCAGGGCAAAGCCCGTATGAGTTCATCGCCGTCGTCTGTGTCTAGTCCATGAAACAGCATAGACCTCGTGCATGTAGCACCGCTTTCCCATATGCACCAAATGCTGCAGGTTTTCTGGGATAATGCCGTGCACCATGCGCTCGTGCCATAGTAAGTAAGTCATCTAGGAATCGATCCATCCACCATCTGTTTTGTGTGCGACAATTTAAAGGCATTGAAGCCCGCCAGGAAGTCAGAACTAGCGAGCTCCAATAAATCCGTGACAGCTTGTCAAATTGCATTGAAAGAGTCTTGCTATGAACCTTAAAATTGTTTGAAGATTGCTAAAAATTATCAAGTATCCGAAAGCTTTTATAGTTGTTCATTCACCTAATGATAGAGATCCTCTTATTGGATTGTGGTGGGTGTGACGATCATGCAGTGCGGTGAACTGATAATGATAACGACTTAGTATCAGCTTTTCGTCTTTACAGCACCGAACGAACATCACAGAGAGCCATTGCGTTAAAAACATCTGCAACTTTTGTCCTACATAATAATTTAATGATTGGTCTACGAGATTTCATAAGTACGTATGTTTCCTATCTACTTGATATGGTACGACATCTATTGGTATCCATTAGCATGAAGCGTTATATCTGGAGAGCTTAAATCTCGGAAGCTCCCTCTGGCAGAACCTCCCTTCAACATTAAGTATAAGGTATTACTCTGGCCTTTTTCTATCATCTCCTATAATGAAGCCCTGTGATCTCCACCCACTTCAACAAGAACCTCATTTGACAACCAAGTGTATGTCAACTTAAACGGAACAAGTCCGCACTCGCCGTCGTAAAAAACAAGTCTCACTTTTCAATTTCCCTTCAACTGTGCAAGACCATCACTCTGGTTGAAGTTTCAACCTCAGCCAATCAAAACGGTGAAAAAGAGGTCACCTTCAACATGTCCAAGGCAGACACAGACGACACTCAGATAAAGCTCCTTCAGCCTGAGACAACGAATCCTGACGACAATGTCCCGGCAGTCTATCGCTCCCTAAACTTTCGAAGCCTCCAAGACCCATACTCGAATAATAACGACACAATGGTCAGTCATTACAGCACTTTACGTGCTGATGATCTCGAGACAATGCTTGATGGTGGTCTCGAACGGTTTTACAAGAAATACGATCATCTTTCTCATAAAGCGAGTCTTCAATTGCCAACACCTGAAGTTAGTTTTCAGAATTTGTCATTTACGATTCAAGTTCCTGCATCAGTTGAAGATCATGGGACAGTTGGGTCTTATCTCCGTGATATCTTTACGCCGTGGAAGCGACCACCTCTAGTTCCAAAGCACGCTCTTCATCCAATGACAGGAATAATTAAACCTGGAACACTGACACTAGTACTCGCTAATCCTGGTGCTGGCAAGTCGACATTCCTTAAAGCATTAGCTGGGAAGCTCCAGGACTCATCCAAGACAAAACTAGGAGGTGATATCCTGTATTCTGGACTACGTGGTGATGAGATTGATCTCATTAAGCTTGTGGGAATGGTCGATCAGACGGATAATCATATTGCGACATTAACGGTCCGTGAGACGTTTAAATTTGCCGATATGTGTGTGAATGGATTGCCACAAGACCAACCGGAAGAGTTACGGGACATTGCTGCTCTTCGAACAGAGCTCTTTATCCAAATCTTGGGGATGGAAGATTGTGCTGATACAATTGTGGGTGACGCGTTGCTCCGAGGTGTTAGCGGTGGTGAGCGGAAGCGAGTGACTGTCGGTGAAGTTCTGATCGGAGGACAGAGTCTATTCCTGTGTGATGAGATCTCCACGGGTCTAGACAGTGCTGCTACCTTTGATATTATCAAGTCATTGAGGACTTGGTGCAAGACACTTGGCGGATCATCGGTAATTGCTCTGCTGCAACCAACCCCCGAAGTCGTGGAAATGTTTGACGACATTTTGATGATTAATGAAGGCCACATGGCGTATCATGGTCCACGTACAAAGATCCTCGACTACTTTGAAGGACATGGATTCACGTGTCCACCTCGTGTTGACCCTGCGGATTTCCTGATTGAGGTCACTTCTGGTCGAGGTCAGCGATACGCAAACGGCACCATTTCCATTAAAGATCTGCCCGTATCGTCGGAAGATTTCAACAATCGATTTTGCCAGTCGAATATCTATCGCAAGACTTACGAAGCCATCAGCAAGGGATTCAACGAGCATCAGTTTGAGAGTGCCGAGGACTTTAAAAAAGCCAAGAGCGTAGCAAACCTGGCGCGCTCGAAGGAGAAATCAGAGTTCGGTCTTGCATTCTTACCGAGCACGTTGCTGTTGCTAAACCGGCAGAAGCTAGTATGGTTGCGTGACCCACCACTGCTATGGGGGAAACTGTTTGAAGGACTTGTCATTGGCCTTGTCATGGGAATGCTTTACTTTGACGTGAGCAAGACGTACTACCTTCGCATGATTTTCTTCAGTATTGCGCTATTCCAGCGTCAAGCGTGGCAGCAGATCACCATCTCGTTCGATTTACGCAAGGTGTTTTACAAGCAACGACCTCGCAACTTCTTCCGCACGTCCTCATACGCCATCGCTGAAAGTGTCGTACAGATCCCGGTCAACATGGCCGTCTCGTTTGTTCTAGGCACGTTCTTTTACTTCATGAGCGGTTTGACGCGGACGTTTGAGAAGTTCATCGTGTTCTACCTCGTGCTGCTGTGTTTCCAGCATGCCATTAGTGCCTACATGACGATGTTGAGCGCGTTATCGCCAAGCATCACGATTGGTCAGGCTTTGGCAGCCATTTCCGTAAGCTTTTTCCTGCTCTTCTCGGGCAACATCATTTTGGCGGACCTGATCCCGGACTACTGGATATGGATGTACTGGTTCAGTCCGATCTCGTGGGCGTTGCGCAGTAACATGCTGTCCGAGTTCTCAAGTGATCGTTATAGTCCCGCTGTGAGCCAGGCGCAACTGGAGAGTTTCTCGATTACGCAAGGCACGGAATACATTTGGTTCGGTGTCGCAGTGCTTGTCGTGTACTACTTTGCTTTCACAAGCTTCAACGCTTTGGCACTGCACTACATTCGATATGAGAAGTTCAAAGGTGTAAGTGTGATGGCCATGAAGCAAAAAGAGGATGCTAACAATGTATATGTTGAGGTGAGTACGCCAAAAACTGCTCAACACGGCACCGGAGCTACGAAGGCGAAGGATGGGGGTCTTCCATTCACGCCTACGAATCTGTGTATTAAGGACCTGGACTACTATGTGACGTTGCCATCGGGTGAGGAGAGACAATTGTTGCAGAAGATCACGGCCCACTTTGAGCCTGGCCGCATGGTTGCCCTGATGGGTGCGACGGGTGCCGGCAAGACGACGCTGATGGACGTCATTGCCGGGCGAAAGACGGGAGGCCGGATCGTGGGTGATATTTACGTGAACGGTGAGGTGAAGGATCCGGCAATCTTTAGTCGCATCACAGCGTACTGCGAGCAGATGGACATCCACTCGGAGGCTGCAAGTATATATGAGGCGTTAGTATTCTCGGCAAAACTGCGCCTACCCCCGAACTTCACCGAGGAAGAACGTATGAACTTGGTGCACGAAACGCTTGAATTGCTAGAGTTGTCATCCATCGCCAGCGAGATGGTAGGCAGTCTATCAGTGGAGCAGAAGAAACGTGTAACAATCGGAGTTGAGGTGGTGTCGAATCCGAGCGTCCTCTTCCTGGATGAGCCGACAAGTGGTCTTGATGCGCGATCAGCACTCATCGTGATGCGGGGCGTGCAATCAATTGCTCGCACGGGCCGCACAGTGCTGTGCACGATACACCAACCGAGCATTTCAATTTTTGAGTTGTTTGACGGTCTGCTGCTGCTGCAGAAGGGAGGTTACACGGCGTACTTTGGTGATCTTGGGGTGGACTCGGTGAAGATGCTAGAGTACTTTGCCTCGATCCCTGGCACGGAAGAGATTCGTTCGCAGTACAACCCAGCCACGTACATGCTGGAAGTGATCGGCGCTGGCATCGGTCGTGATGTGAAGAACTACTCTGTTGAGTACAAAAACAGCGAGTTGTGCCAGAAGAATCGTGCGCGTACGTTGGATCTCTGCAAAGTGTCGGGGGAGTTCATACGTCACTCAACGCTGAATCATCGGCCGATCGCGACAGACTTCTGGAACCAATTGCGCGAGCTAACGACGAAGCAGCGACTAACGTACTGGCGTAACCCACAGTACAACTTCATGCGAGTGTTCCTGTTCCCGATGTTTGCCGTCATCTTCGGCACAACATTTTACCAGCTCTCTGCTGACAGTGTTAAGCGCATTAACTCGCACATTGGCCTCATTTACAACAGTATGGACTTCATTGGTGTGACGAATTTGATGACGGTGATTGAAGTGACGTGTGCTGAGCGCGCGGTGTACTACCGCGAGCGCATGTCAAACTACTACAGTCCATTACCGTACAGCTTGTCTCTATGGTTTGCTGAGATTCCGTACTTGATCTTGGTAAATATTCTGTTTGTGGCGATCGAGTACTGGCTGGTGGGGTGGAGTGACAATGCTGGCGACTTCTTCTTCTTCATGCTCGTGTTTTACCTCTACACATCTGCGTGCACGTTTATCGGCCAGTGGATGTCTGCATTGATGCCGAACGAGAAGGTAGCGAACGTAGCTGTGGGTGCAATTTCGTGCCTGCTGAATCTATTCTCGGGCTTCCTACTTCCACGTACTGCCATGAAGGCGGGCTATAAGTGGTTCCAATACCTGATGCCATCGAGTTACTCCCTCTCGGCTCTTGTGGGCGTGCAGTTTGGCGAGGTGCAAGACATAATTGAGGTGACAACTGGTGGTGTGACAACCGAAATGACCGTGGCCAAATACGTCGAGGATATCTACGACTTCCGCCCTGGCAGTAAGTACAACTTCATGATTGGTCTCATTATGATTTGGCTAGTGGTGCAGCTTGCTATCTACTTGACGTTCAAGTACGTGAACCACCTCAAGAGGTAAACGCCAGCTGCAATTGTAGTAGCGCTGAAATGAAGTGGCTGCAGACATATTGTAAGACAAGACCTTCAATCAGCGTTGGTATAGTGTGATGTTTGCTGATTTCTTTATATTTCTGTATAACATTGAAACGACGGTTTGAATAGACTTAATGCTTGAGTTAAACTAAAAATTGATCCGTGTAAGCGCAGCGAGTAGAGAGGAACCGACAGTGACAACTATTTACACTAAAGGCTGCTGTTGAAAGCCATGCACGATGATTTTTTCATCGCTTTCGCTGCACCACGATTTTACTTTGGCCATGAAGCGATGTAAAAACGGATGCTCATGACTGTTTCTATCTAGATACCAATGGTTCAATAAATAACTTGACTTTGTTTACGTCAATTCGTTTTTCTTGTGAGCTGGCGGAAGCTTTGGAAGTGCAAGTTGTACTTGGTATCGACTCCAGCGCTTCATCCTACGCTAGGATAATTGGAATGTTTTAGAGGCTTTATGGCTTGTAGTAGGTCTTAAATAGCTAGAGGTTGGATAGTTTTCACTAGTCGATCAACAAAACCAACTGACGAGCCCCAGCGGATGCGTAGCTGGTTCAATCGAAAGCTCGTGTTGCAAGAGAGATGACAATCACTGCTGTATTCTACTTTTAAGTTAACGACCTTATCTTGTCTATACGCTCATTAGCCAGCAAGCATGTTAATGTTTCGACATAGGACGATTTGGGTCATGGAATCGGAGCAACGAAACAGCGCTGATGAAAGCAAGCATGAAAGGTAATTTGAATTGTTTTTAATGAATACATATGCTGCTGACGCAGAATAATAATCTGAAGTTCTAACGAGTTAGTTGTATGAAAATGAGACAGTAAATGTACATTTGATTGCACACATCATTGCTTTGAGTAGTTTGTCTACACGTTCGCTGTCATGAGTGAGGAATACTCTTTTCGCCGTGTGTGGCGCGTCATAATGCGTATTCCAGCAGCCACGATGAGAATGATGCCTACTACGACACCGACAATGCACCACACAACAACCGTTGTTGATGACGAAAAAGCGGTTACGAGGGAAAGTTCCAACTGTTGCTGGTTTAACCCCGAGAAAACAGTATCCGGGTTCGTACTGAGCAAGTGAGCAGCACCCCCAAAGTCGCAAGTAGCGCCTGAATGACGATGAGCGTGCCAGAACTCGTTAAACGCCCAATCCGCACGTTCCTCGAGAGTCATCACCTTCGTCTTGATCATCGAGCAATCGACGTCTTCGCTGCCACATGCATAGTCCAATCCACGTTCCAGGTCGTCGGCATGTACACCTCGCTTGGCAGTGCATAAGAAATCACCACGGTCCTCTTTTTCACAGGCGGAGAACACCTCGTCACTTTCGTGGTAGGACGACACGTTTTTCGGAAAGACACCTCGACGCACCAAGTCGAGGAAATTCCAGCGCGAGCCAAGCTCAGTCTTAAAATTCCAGAAATACCAGCCGTGGCCGAGTGCAAAGGCGTTCAACTTCTTCAGATTCAGGTTACGAGCGAACTCGACGTCGTCTTTCTGACCAAAGGCGGTATCGCTGGTCACCGGGCACTTACCAAAAGCAGGTCCCGACTGACCCGTGCCGTACGGACCCTGCATTGGCTTGGTAACGTCAAGCGGTGTACCTGGAAAATCCTTACCCAGGTAAGTGCTGTGCACAGGGCAATCCACCATGCGACACTGAGTGTTCGGGAACCCGGGCAAGTTGTCGTTAAAGCCGTTCAGCCACATCGCACAATTATCGGTGCCCAGTGACCACTCACCAACAATCACAGGCATCACGGAGCTCTCCATGTTGGCAATCGTGTACTTTTGCTGGCAAGCGTTGGAATAATAATCGGCTTTCGTGCCCGGCGCCATCCATGCTTGGTAGATGTGGGTATCTAAGGCGATGTCTGGGCAACCGACCATGAATTGCGACCAGTACTGTACCCCAAAGCGGAAAGAATCATGGATCACAAACTTCCATCGGGGGGCACGGGCCTTTACACGTTTGTATGCTCGCCAGTAATAATCCTTAAGAAGATCAATTGGCGTCAGCTCCCAAGGTTCGTTGACAGGTTCGAGTCCGATGATCGCCGGGTGTGAGGCATAGCGCTCAACGATTGCAGCCACCGTGTCGAGAGAGTGCATCATGTGCTCATAGTTGATAGACATGTAAGAGCCTGTTTCGGCGTCAAAGTTTCCGACCCACTCAGCGGAACGAACAGGCCAATGCTCGAACATTAATGTGCCAATGGGATGCGTGTTCACAGTAGATATCCACTTTACAGTCGACGTCTTTCCACTGTTGTCAAAACCATTTTGCGAGCCAACAAGGCCATGAATGTCCAGCAGGAGTTCGATATTGTACTTTTCAGCCAGATCGGCGACGCGATCAAGTTCTTCAACGGCGCCATCGGTGCAGCCAATATACGGTTCGTAGGGTTTGAACATCCAGTCACCGACAGGAACACGCAGAGAGTTGACACCGGCCTCTGCCATCTCCTTGATGTCATCTTCAGTAACCCATGTAGCGTAGTGAATACGAAGCTGCCGGTTGGCCTCCTCTTTGCCCAATGCCGTGCAGAACGAGTGCATGTCCATTGCAGTCTTCTCGGGGGCCTTTTCACCGTAGCGATTTTGCGTTCCCAGGAACTGGTAGAAGGTAGAGGGGGTGATCCAAGGTTCAAGTACGAGCCAACCACCGAGGTTGGCACCGCGCACTTGCTTGTGAAACGAAGTAGCGGGCAAGTCACTGAAGCACGTCCGACTCTCATCATTTGGTCGGAAGTCCGCGAAGAATCCAGTGTCAGCAGCGTGCATCGGGTCCACCTCGTTCTCCCAGAGCCACTTGGCGTCCTTGATAATGTGGGTGTTTTTCGCCGTCTTGGCAATTGAGAAGCCCAGTGTCATCACCATTACGGTAGTTTGAAACAGGAAGTTGCGCAATACCATCGTGCAGTGAAGATTAAAGTGTCAGGTCCGTTGCGGTGGCTATAGAAGCTTGTAGCTGTCAAGGTGCAAGTGTAAAAATGAACTAGGGTGATGCCCTAGCTTCTCGTCATTAACTTCAGACACTACGGACTCTAGTAAAGATGATCAAGCATTCAGCCATGAAGATAACGTATGCGTTGATTTCAACGGGTGGTGTCGTCGGCTGCTTTTGAGTAGCAGCTGGCTGAGCGACCATCTGCGTGGAGAGCGAAACTTTCCTCTCGATGGGATAGAACTTACTTGCAAGTGAGTCTAGGATGCTCCACCTCAGCACACCCAGGTATAAGATGTGGGCAACAATTTAAGCTATTGCCAACGCGGATTGGCGTGAAATCAGCTCAGACGAAAGCTCTTGAGGGGTTGCTGAATGGTGATGGAGTGTGCGTCGGCGCCGACATCATCCTACAGACGGCACGCTGGACTTGTCGTATCCCTGAATATCAATCTGATCAGTGGGACCACCATGCGCCGATTCAGCCCGACACGCAATTGCGGCAACGGCCACATGACGTCTTTTACGAATGAATTAAGATAACGTCAATAGGACGCGAGTTGAATGTTTCAGCCTTGGAGATGAGGATTTTGCAAGGTGATGCAGAGAAAGTATTGCTTCATCCATGGAGAAGGTATCCATTTCGACGAAATCAAGATCGTTACCTCAAGCTGGTCATCGTAAGTACTGAGATGGTATGCGGCAAAAGGTAACGCAATTGGTTGGTCTGTCGTCGTCTTCGTTTTGCGTGCAGTATGACATGTGTCTAACACATGTTAAACCAAAAAAGATTACTTGACCTGGTGGCGATGGACCAGTTGGAGAGGTTGGCCACACGTGCATATCACGTCATAATAGTCATGTACACGTGGGCGCACCCGTCTTATCACGAAAGTCATTCTGTGTCTTTCTTCGACAGGTCCAGCCAGTTCATTTAGTTCTTCTAGCGACCTGATACTGTCCTCTTTGGAAGGGCATCCCTTTACCGGTCATGGCTATTCAGTTACGCAAAAGGCGTTTCTGCCGGATTCTCCAAGTGCCAGGCACTCCGAGTAGCCCCAACTATTCGTTGTGATGCTTCGGTAAGAGGCCTTCCTCACTGGTACGAGGGTTCTCTCATTTCTCCAACACCTGGTCACAAGATACTCCATGTCGACAGAGCAAAATTTGTATACGTGGACGGAAAAAGCGAATTCCTCATTTGGTACTTGTAAGGTGTGTCAATCATTAGTCTTAGAAGAATCCGTAGGTGAAGGGTCAAATTTCAGCTGGTCGTGTCTGACTGGGGCTCAATCACGCTATGCCGTTTACATGTGTGCATGTGATGATGAAACTGGTAATCGAGAATGGAGCCGTAACAGTCCGTCCGACAGCAGGGCCTTCTTGTTAATGATTTATTGATGTTATGAAAGACTATTCGGCACATTCTACACCTTTCGGAATGCCACTGTGCCGGCACTTCATCCCCGCTGATCAGCGACTACATGAGTATTCTTGGTCTCTTCTGTAGGTACTCACCGACCTTACTGATGATGGGATCTATATTCCCCATTTCGATTCCTCATCTATTATCGTGTCCATGTTGAATCACAACCAAACAATCATGCAGTAGAGCAAAAACATCATACTTTGTCAATAGATCGGTCTCATCATTCATGCTGGATCTTACCTACAGACTGTTCATTACTTTGAGCAAATTGCATGCTGCAGCATTGTCGTGAAAACTGCTGTAGGAAAGTAAGTCTTAGCAATGCCATCCTCATCTTCTTCAAACACCAATAGTTGTTGCCACTTTTTCTAATTGTGTAGTGACGATTGGTAATGTCGCCCATTTCTTATGATTTTGAAAGCAGTAGAAAGCAATTGAGATAGCATTTTGATGATAGCTGTAACCGTGAGCCGCGAGCCACTGGCCAGAGCTTCAGCCACGCGTGGCGCACACAGACACTAACACCTCCTCATATCTTTTCTAGTTCGGTAGGTTTACCGACACACGGACAATCATTGTTCGCACGAGATCTACCGTTGACTAAGAGAAATTACATGCCACCTACGGGTCTCTTGCAGAACCACAAGGCTGCAGACCAAGCGGAGTGTAGACCGCTTTAGCCTCTCTAGCTTGTAATGCCTAATTTCAATAGACACGTCACGCGTGGGCACCCGCACCAGACAACAGGCTCTTTGAACAAATAAGGAAGTTACTTAAAGATGGTCTTCTTGTTTATTCTTTCATCATATCACTCAGCTGGTTGTCTCTCGGCTACTTGCAGCAAAACGGTCGCTTTATTTGTTGCCACACTCTTCTTTTACTATACTCGGACATTCGTATTGTTTGACGTCAGTCTGTAGCATCACGTATAACGTCTCGGTTGGGCATAAATCTCCAACGAAGACGGAAAGCTGCTCCAAATCGTAGAAAATGAACACGTAGCTCGTTGTCGTTCCAGTCTTGGATGCCGCATCCCGTACGATGAAGATAGAGATGACAACACGGGTCGTTGATGGAGGTATCGGTGGCTGTAGGTTTTTGGTTCGTCATCGTTTATAGCGTCAATGCGCTTCCGCCACGACTGTAAGAGACACGGAAGAGCATTCGACGACACATTTGCTAAATCTGATGCTGTTACTGCTGCTCTAGGTACCTCAAAGCAAGACTTGCATGGATACGGTTGGAACTGCTTTACATGATTGCATTGAAAACTGCCATCTCTTTCTATAGACGTCGAGAATGGTTCAATTGATCGAGGCATAGTAGGATAAAGATATGCTTGACGGAGTATATGTCGTGTTCAAAGTAAATTGCAGAGTGGGATGTTTCATGCGCTGTTGAATGCTGCGAGAAGAAGGGAATGACGGTAACACGCCCAAGTCTTTCATTGACTTGAGGTGACTATTTTTGCACTGGCAAAGCTTGATGACAGCGCGTGATTGTGGCTCCGAGGATACTCAAAATAGGTCAAGCGTGTTTACTCGTGATAGCTACATGTGACAATTGAATACATATCCCCATGTGTTTCTTTACTAAACAAACGAGACCGAACATGCGTTCGTTGTTCCTTATAGGCCGTTTTGTATGAAGTGCATGGTCGCCAAAACGATCATGCTGTGTGATGTCGTAGCTTGAAGTATCAGCTTCTTTTGTATAGCACAAAGAGGAGAGACCAACGTTCAATGTCAAGTGAACTCGATGTTGATTGTAGTCAGTACCAATACAATCTCGACAGATTCTATTGAGGGTCAAAGGCTCTTTATCTCTCGACTCTCCCACCATGTCGACGTCTGAAGCTACCACTTCCATTCCAGTCGCTTCGAATACTATTCCTAGTGACAAATCGGAACTCGACATGTCTTGTACTTTGCGTGAAAATCTCACGTCTCTAACTGCACTTCTGACCGAGTTACAGCTCTATCAAGTTGTCAAGACTTTGTGGCGCGTCAATAGCCATGACCCCATTCGTTTCGACCTCACGACATCACATTGCGTGGTTGAAGCTGTTGGTAGCAAGAAGCAGACGCTTAAACTTTCATGGGGTGACGTATTAGGCGCTCACGTGCTCACAGTCGATGGGGAGCACGTAAAAACGTCGGTGGACAACCTCGACACAGTAGCGGCCAATACTCTGTTCCTCTTGAGCATTTTTGCCTGCATCTGCTCCAGCGACAGAGTCAATACATTGAAGACGAGAATAACTAGAGAATTCGTTTTCCGATTCAATGGGAAACAGCTGCAGCAAGTGCTTCAATTGCAGCGTACCATCAATTTTGTGGCAGATCCTCGAAACTACAAGACGGTGCAGCAATTAAAGACATTGGATGAGTTGGAGGTTGTGGAGAGACCGCAACGCAAGTTTCTCATCTTAGTGAACCCTGTCAGTGGATCAGGTAAACATGAGAGAGTTGACTAAATGGTAAGATGAGTTTATGATTGATAATGTTGTTGCTATGAATGGCTGTTGCAGGACGTGCATTGCAGATTTACGAGAACAAAGTGGCACCGGTTTTCAAGTTTGCAAATGTGGAAACCGAGGTGAAAATCATGGAACATTCAAATCATGCAATGGAAGTTGTCATGGAAATGCCATTAGGTGTTTACGACTGTGCCGTCGCAGTGGGTGGAGACGGCAGTTTGTACGAGAGTACGTGTCGTTTGGGTTCTTTCGATGGACTGGTGTGAAGTGGTTGAATCTGATGGTTTTGTTTGGTCTTTGCAGTTGTGCAGGGTTTAATGAAGCGGACAGACTGGAATAATGCTATTCGACAACCCATTGGTGCCATTCCAGGTGGGTCAGGCAATGGTCTGGCGCACTCTATCACTCATCGGTGTGGTGAGAAGGGCAAACCGGTGAATGCTGCATTTGTGCTGGCTAAGGGTATGCCTCATGATCTGGACATCACGTCTGTGCGCAACGAAAAGGAGACAAAGTACTCGTTCCTGTCGCTAGAGTGGGCATCTATCGCTGATGTTGACATTGGGTCTGAAAAGCTGCGCATGCTTGGAGACCTGCGATTCACGGTCGCATTCATTAATCAAATTGTGTTCCAGAGGCCTGAGTACCCGGGCAAAATCTGGTATCTTGAAGAGGAGAACGAGAATCCACTGCACTACTTTGAGACGAACGACCCCAAGTCGACGGATCGCCCCAAAATGGACTTATTCGATGGAAACGGCCAAGGACCCCCACAATCAATAGACTTGAAGAATGGAGAGGGGCAAGCAATCGAAGAGAAGACTGAGAAGAATGTAGACCAGGGCGGAAAGTGGAAGGAGCTAAGCGGTCATTTCCGCATTGTGTGGGTAACGAACGTATCGCATGCAGCTTCCGACGCTCACATTGCTCCCGACGCACAGTTCGATGACGGCTACAACTATATCACCTTCATTGATGGCTCATACCGACGCAAGGACCTACTAGCTATGCTGCTCACCATGGATAGCGGCAACCACATTAACAAGAAGGGCGTGCAGCAGGTGCGCACACGGGCGTTTAAGCTCGTGCCGGAGCGGGCCACCGACCTCATGTGCGTTGATGGCGAGTTGGCGGAGGGTCCATTCCTTGAAGCACAGGTCCACCGTGGCATGGCTCGTATTATGGTTATCCCTTTCTGGCAGAATGAGAATAAACAGTAGTTGGACGGATGAATGGCCTACGAGCTGCGACGGGGGTAAATTCCGAGTAGATTACGGTTGGTAAGGTAGTGTAATGGTGCATTTTTGAACTTTGACTGACACATCTGTAGCCTTGATAGTGAAACTAAAGTGACCTGGTTGTGCTTAATTGTCTTGCTAGAATCAAAAGTTTAGCTCGCTTGAAGCGTCTTGGAATTCGCTATGTCCCACAATGTCTTGCGTGGTTCTTGTCGCAGTTGTATGAGTCGTGTCGCTCACTTGAGTTATCAATTGAAATGGACGACTTCTTCAAAGAGAGCAAGTAAGGTTAGAGAAGAAGTACAATACAACGTGACCTGGAGCTGCTTTTGGTATTCATCTAGCTACCCCAGCCGTTTGTTATAGTCCTCTTGCTCATGATAACACAAATCATCCAGTTTACTTCCTTTTCGTTTTCAATCGAACGTGTTGCTGCAGAAGCTTCGACCACGGGTTGCGTTGTATTGCTGCCCTACTTGCCATTAGTCTCCACATAATCAATCACATCTCTCACGTCAGATAACCTCGCATTTCATCTGCAAGCGTACATCACCTGTAACTCTTTCACCTTGGCAAGTTTTTCTGCTTCAAGCGAATACACGATAGTGTTGAGGAGGAGAAAGGGGCTGAAAGCACGGTATTTGCAAGACCTATACCGACAATGCAGGACAATTACAGATCGCTGAATGTGGCCACATGAAGACATCACCTCCGCCATTCAATATAATGGCAAATGCTCTGACTAATATAGCGATGGGCTCGAAGTTTCTTAGAACTAAAGTATTAGCATCTAGTCATTGTTGATACCCAAGGCGTGATCCTTGAGGTCGGGATGAACGAGTGCGAGGAGCGTAGATGTAGCAAACCGAGCTAGCTGGTAAAGCCTAGGCGAGTCCAGCTAATGGACATCCATAACTTTTGTTCTACGGTACTACGTCAATTCGACGGCTGAGCGTCTCGAAGAACGGTAACTGTACGCAAGTGGAGGTCACTTCTTTCACTAGCACTAGGAGCTCATTCAGTATTCAGATCAGTTCCGTAGTCGATCAAATAGTTCTTTTGTAGACGCCACAGTACGCCAAGTTTGCTTTTTATAGACTGTTGCGACGCGCTCCAGACTGAATGTGTCAAGATAAGTGATTCTAAGGTATGCTTTCGAAAGAAACTTTCCATTCGAAGATATGATCTGACATGCGATGAAGGACTCTTTCAAAGATTCGCAAAGATTAAGATGCAATTGTAAGCAAGTCATTCGCACTCAAGCTCAAGAAAAGAAACTACAAGCCTCAACGCTTCATTACGGGCACACCCTTCGGCGAAAATTCGCCTTCGCGGAAGCCAAAGTGGGTGGGGTCATGACTTGAGCATACCTCTCGTACGGCCACCGCAGACCAGAAGATACTACGTGTTCGCTTGCCATGATGCAAGCTGTAGAGAGGAAGTCGGCGGCACTGTGATAAAAGGATTCTGACATTGTTATTAGTGTTATCTTTTTCGTGCTAGCATGATGGACTAGTTGTTCTTGTTCTCCATCACTCTTGTCCAATCAATCACCCATCCACGCACCTGTCCAATCAATCGCTCAACTGATCCTCGAACGCCTTCCTAAGTCGTCAGCCGTTTCCTCAACTGTAACTTCAACCGTGCCTTTTTCTAACACTCCTCCTCGGCTACGACTTACCGTCCTAACCTAGGCTGATCATCTCACACAGCGCCGCGAGCTTGACTGCATCTAGCGCCTTCGTCAAAAGATCCGCTAGTTGTTGCTCCGAGCGGACGTACTGCGACACGATAATCCCGCGTCGAGCGAAGTCGCACACGAACTTCGTGCGAACATCGATGTGCTTGGCCTTTAGAGATGACGCCTCGCCTGCCAGCTGCTTCAGTGCCGCCTGATTGTCGACGTGGAGTACCATCGGTAGCGCCGGCGGCTTACCGATCTCGGTTAGCATCTCCCTGATACCAAGAAGCTCGCGTGCCTGCTCCGATGCAGCGACGAACTCCGCTTCCATCGTCGAGAGCGAGACGCCGCCTTGCTTCTTCGACGTCCAGCTGACCGGCATGCCGTTCAGGCGGATGATGCCGCCAGTCAAGGACTTTCTGTCACTCTTTTCCGCCGCAAAATCGGCGTCCGAGTACGCCTCGAGCTGGATCTTGCCGTCGAGGTGCTTCGCTGGTTCCATCCGAAGCTTGTAGTCCCGCGTCCCCTTCAGGTACCGCGCGATGCGTTTGGCAAGCTTCATATCGTGGAGTCGCGGCTGATGAGTCTGACGCGTCGCCTTGTGCACGGCGAACGCAATGTCCGGCCGTGTGCAACGCGCGATTCACAGAAGACTGCCGACGAGGGACTGGAACGTCTTGATTGTTGGCGCCTTCTGCACCTTAGTCTCGGTGAGCAGCGCGCTGTCATCTGGTAGCACGTCGTAGCAGTCAGCCCCAATTGGTGCTTTCGTCGGGTTTGCATCCTCGAGCCCATGCTCACGCAGGAGCTCGCCGATCGCCTCGGCCTGGTCAAGCACGTAGCCGCCACTGTTATCAATCGTGACACGCATGCCGAGGAACTTGCTAACGGTGCCGAGGTCCTTGATCGACAAGCTGCCGAGCTTGACGAAGAATCGGTCGACGGCTGCAGCGTCCGTGCCGGTAGCAAGTAGATCGTCGACGTAGACGCCCACGATGACCAACTGTCCACCCTCGACTTGGTAGTATAGACACATGTCGGAAATACATTGCCGGAAGCCGGCTTCGAGCAGTCGAGCGTGCAGGAGCTGGCTCCAGAGTCGGCCAGCCTGCTTGAGGCCGTACAGGCTCTTTCGTAGCTGCAGCACTACTTCCTTCTTTGTCGCTGCGCCTACCATCTTGAGCGCGTCTTGATCGATTGTCATTGCCTGCGGCACCTGGAGTAGTATTTCCAAGTGCGCTTCCTTGTCAGCCTTGACATACGCGTTGGGGATGTCGCCATGCTTTGCTGGGACACCCCATATCGCCGCAAGCGCCAAGATCACCTTCACGGTCGACATGTCCATGACAGCCGCAAATGTAAGCTGGTAGTCGACCCCAAAAACTTGCTCGTTGCCGCAGGCGACCAGTCGAGCCTTCAAGCGCTCTATCTCACCGTGCGCGTCGGTCTTGGTCTTGAAAACCCACTTCGTGTGCAGAGTGTTGCTGCCTGGAGGTCGCTTGATCAAGCGCCACACGCCATTGTCTTCTAGGGCTTGGAGCTCTTCGCGCATGGCCTTTTCCCAGCCTTCACGCTTAGTGCTGCGTAGCGCTTCACCGTAGTTCTTGGGATCGCACTCATACACATGAGCCACCACGCTGTCGTCGCCAGCTGGCTCCTCCTGATGGGCGGCCGCATGTGCGCGTTTGGTAGCGCCGCGCGTCCGGTGAGCCGCGCGTGTCCACGACTTCGATTTCTTCTTGCCGCTGCGTATCGTCGGCGATGCGGCATCGTCAGCAGCCGGCAACTCTTTGCTTGTTGTTGCTGTTGCCGCTGGCTCCACGGCTTGATCTTTATACTCGAGCGCGCGCTGCAGCTGACCATTCTGCTCTGCGCTGAGCGTCTCGACGTTGCGCACATGCTGCGTGATCGTGACCTTGTTCTCCTTTTGGAGGAAGACGCGAAAGCCCTTAGTCTCGTCGCTCCGCCCAATAATCACGCCGACTTGTGCGCGCTGCGCGAGTGAGTTCTTGCCTGGGTCACGGTAGACCGAGCAGATAGAGCCAAAGGCGACGATGTCGCGCAGATCCGGCACTTGCTTCGTCAGTACTTCGATCGGCGACGCGCGCTTCGCATTCGCGCTCGTTGGGCTGCGGTTGAGGATGTACGCCGCCTACTCAACCGCATCGCCCCAAAACGTCAATGGCAGTCGGCTGGCAAAGATCATGCTGCGCGCCATGTTCAGGATCGTCCTGTGCATGCGCTCGGCCTTGCCGTTTGACGCCTGATTCCTCGCCTCGCTGATCTGCCGCGCGACGCCCGTTCGCTTGCAGAAGAGGTCTACATTCGCGTATTCGCCGCCGCCATCAGTGCGTAGCACGTGGATCCGGCAGTCGAACTGGCGCTCAAAGAACGCGAGGAAGTGCTCAAACTTCTTGGCCGCCTTGTCCTTTGTAGGCGCCAGGAAGACGCGACAGTAGTTCGACTTATGATCGACAAAGTTGACAAGGTAACGATTGTGCAATCGATCCTTCGGGGTCATCGGACCCTTGAGGTCTGAGCAGATCACCCCGCCAACTCTGTCGATCGGCGAGTTTGATCCAGTGTCCTTCTTCGACTGCACGTTCCTTGTTTGCTTGCCCTGTGCGCAAGAGATGCACGTCGGGCGCTTGCGATCCGTTAGCACGATGCCGGACGCGGGGTCTCTCGCCATGCGCTCGACGGTGTCGTACGCGAGATGCCCAAGCCTTTGGTGGAAGTGCAGCAGCGAGCCGCTTTGCGTGTCCGACTCGGGTTCTTCCGGAGCTGCCTGGCTCGTCAGGATCGCCATGAGCGCGTCTCTAGGCGCTCGTCGCTCGCGAGCCGCTGCAACTGTCTGGACGTAGAGCACATTGTGGTCCATCGCCACATCGAACGCGACTTGGCCATTGCTGCGTCGTGCCAACACGCGCGACTCGCCGTCGTAGACGAGCCCAAAACCCTTGATCTCGAGCTTACCGTAGGACATGATGTTGCGCGATAACTCGGGCGCCAGATACACGTCCGTCAGCGTCACATCTTGCTGCTGTCCTCTCGCGAGCACAGTCAGCACGACGCTTCCGACTTGCGTTAACTTGATGGTCTCCCCATCTGCCAAGTGGCACTCTTGATCGCAGTCCCTCGCGTCGCGCAGCAGGGTTGCGTCGTTCACAAGGTGGCGGCTGGAACCGCTATCAAAAATCCAGTCGTCATCTTCGTCATCGCTGTCGTCACCAATCGCCATCGCCAGGCTTTGACCGGTGGCGCGCGAGCCGTTGCGACCTCTTCCTTCACCAACAGCTAGCGTGATGCTGCCGCCGTCTTTTGGGCCTCTGCCCCTCTTCTTGTCGTCATTCTTCTTGCTGCGACAGTCCTTCTTTAGATGGCCGACCTTCCCACACCCGTGGCAAGTGCGTGTCTCCTTGCGCGACACGGACTCGTCCACGTGCGCGACGACCTCCTTCCCGAAGGATCTTCCTGATCTAGCTTCCATCTCGATTGCTTGCGCGAAGTGCGCGAGCTCTTCCGCGTGCACGAGGTAGTCGGTGCGGTGCGTCTGGTACTTCGCCATGAGTATTGTAGACAGCTCAGACGAGACGTAGCGCACGATGTTGTCCAGAACCTGCTGCTTAGCGCCGCCCGCAGCGTCGCTGACAGCGACCAGATACAAATAGTGTTCTGGCCAGGATCTCTTGCTTTCTTTCTTCGCCGTGAAGAGTTTCATCGCTTGAGCGGCGGTTATCGTCGTCTTGAACGTGTCCAGCATGCGCTGCATCACGTACTGCAATGTAGGCAGCACGGCCCACCACGTGTCGACCTTCTTGCTGAAATACCGCTCGGCAGTGCCAGTGAGGTACTGCCCGAGCACGTCAGTCTTCACATTCTCGCTCCACAGGAAACCGCAAGACTCCTGTGCCATGTCGACCTGGCGCCAAAACGTCTTGCCCCAGTCGAAGAAGCCGGACCCGAGTCCAACGTACACCTCAGTGCCATCGAACTTGCGGATCGCCAGCTTGCGCTGCCTGGCATCCGGAGTGCGATACTACATCGGCATCACTTGTTGCTGCTGCTGTACTGGCTGCCCTGGAGCTGCCGGCATCGTCTGAGGCACTGGTGCCGGCTGGTATGGTGGCAATGGGGCAGGCGGCTGAGGCAACGGATCAGCACGCTGCTGCAGCTGCTCTCTCGCTCGCATCCGTAGGTCTTCGAGCCGCGCTGGTGCACGCCGCAATTGCTGCTGAGACTGCCGATCGTGCAAGTCCTCAAGCTCCATTGCGCCGCCGTGGAGTCGCCCTGCGAAGTCCGCCCCGAGCTCTGATCGGAACAGCTCGCTCTCGTGAGCGCCACGCATGCGCTCGTCTTCGTCCATGCGTGCTTGGGATGCTTCTATCTTCTGCATTCGCAAGTCCATGCCCGTGAGCATCTTGAGGACCCTCTCCAGTGCGTCAGGCTCCGGGCTCCTTGCGTGAGCGGTAGGAGAGACGACCGTAGCAGGCGCGGCCGCGGCCCTTTCGTGACCGGTTGCCGGCGGCGCCTGTGCAGCGTTGGTGTTGTCGTTTGCTTCCCGTCTTGGGCTCATAACCTGTTCGCTTGCCATGATGCAAGCTGTAGAGAGGAAGTCGGCGGCACTGTGATAAAAGGATTCTGACATTGTTATTAGTGTTATCTTTTTCGTGCTAGCATGATGGACTAGTTGTTCTTGTTCTCCATCACTCTTGTCCAATCAATCACCCATCCACGCACCTGTCCAATCAATCGCTCAACTGATCCTCGAACGCCTTCCTAAGTCGTCAGCCGTTTCCTCAACTGTAACTTCAACCGTGCCTTTTTCTAACACTACGATTGGCAGCGTCCCCGTGCTTCGCGTCATTCCTTCGGCGGTCGCACAAGTCAGTTCGATGGCGGTCAAAAAGGGAGCCACACTACATAACAATACCGTCGTTTCGGCGACCGTGTGCTTCATAAAACGGGCCGCTCGATCGAGCACCAGCGTTGTCAACGCTTAGGATAAGCCAGACAACTCGCAACCACTAACAATTAAATGGACACATCTAATTGTTAGCAGTCATGCTATGTCTCTTTTTCAAAGTGCGTGCGTTTCAAAGTGCGTGCATCTCCGTACCTCGAACGGCAAAGAGCACTAGTACAGCAATCTTCAGGACTAACCATGTAGTCACGCATACTTTTCCGTTGGCATATCGCGTAGCCACGATGATTTCAGTTTGCAGGGACAGCGATAGTCAAAACAAGTGATGAGACTCTGGAATCATAGTTCCGAACACACTCAGTAAGCTATAGTTGAGATTCCATTATCGGACTAATGAACCAAAATAAAGAGGAACGACGATGGGAGGAATGTCGTACCCCTCGCTACCTCTCTGCTGCTAGTGGACAAGTGTCCTATAGCGCAAAGAAAGTGTCACGCGCAAGCAAAAGAGCATGTCGAGTGTTGTCAAAAAGAGATATGACATTCGAGGCAACTTACCAACCGAGGCGGGCTAACAATCTCTACCATTTGAGGCCGGTTGTACCACTAATAGCAAGGTAGACTCGACGATGCGACTCAGCTCAGACTAGAATTTATAGAAAAGTTTCTTGATCGTGAATATGTTTTTGGTCTTTTCCTACGCAGCCAGTGGAAAAAGCAATCGGATGGAGAACGTGCTGTCGCAATAACCGAATCGTATGGCGCTTGGTGTCCGCATATCAGCTGATTGCTGTCCGCGATGTCTGCTGGTTTCAAAGAAGGTAAGACTGTGTAACGAGGCTCTAATTATCGGTGTCGTACGTGTTTCTATTAACTTCAATGCAGAGGCCAGAAATACGATACTGTTATAAAGGTGAGGTTGGGAAGCAAATGTCAAAGTAATAGATTAGAATCCTTAGTTCTCATGTCCTACATGGTACATCAAAGTCTTATCTGTAACGCCTAGTTCCTATCGACATGTGAAACGCTACGCACATCATCATTATAATTTACTGGTAATCAATGAAGTAAAACATTCACATGTGCGGTGTACAATGCCAACAACTGATCCGTTGTAGAGGATCACGAATTACGTCAGTGATGTGTGTGTCGTGAAAAGGACAACTTGCATGGACAGTGTTCTTCGAATGATCTGGATTGTGTGATCAGTTTATGAAGGGTTTATACATTTACTTTAGTAGTAGTTTAACTCTTAATACTACTTTTCATTTGGCAGCACAGTGAAGTAGTTGAGCTATCGTTACATCCGTCAAAGTACCATGACTTCAAAGGCGCAGCTATCGTTACATGCCGTACATATCCCTGCAGTTTACAATGTGTCGAAATTGCTGGCTCGTTTGAGTTCATTACTTATGCGTGTAATGGCCTTGCAGTAGCAAGGTGGATTGTAAGCTTCGCGTAGAGCACAGGGACATTTGTTCTAGCCAAGCAGTTACACCACCCATAACAAATAATAAAATAAAACCTAAAACAAATTTTACACATCAGGCGTGAATGGTGGGAAAGTGTCGTAGTAAAGCGACTTCACGAAGACATTGACGACAACACGACGCCTGGATAGGTTGGCCCAATCTGCTCTCAGTTCTGCATTTACCACTTGGCACACAGAAGCAATTTTCTCAAACGATTCCTCATGGTTCACTTGACCTTGCCAACTTTCGTCGTAGCTTCGGCCCTTTGCAGCCTCGGTCTGCTATCCTCATCTACTGAAGCTCACACAGTTTTACGGGAACCACAGGCTTGTTATAACACGAATGTTCTGAATGCTTTGGGTAAGAAATCGATGGACCCAATTCAGTTTCTCGAAAACGTGAAAACTATCACAGTAGAAAAAAACTTCTCGTCGTGGCAAAAGAAAATGGGATACGCTAATCTCCGTGCTTTCATGGAGGATAAATCGAAATACTCCGTGTTATCAGGTGTCGACTTTGATTGTGGCTGGACCGACCCCAAATGCGCGCCGAAATTAGTTCCGAAATGTGGCATCTTGCGCACCTCGGGCTACTTGCACAACGGACCGTGTGAGGTATGGCTCAACAACAAGAAGGTGTCATCTGCTCAAAATTGCCACCTCGCCTTTAATAAGGCAACCCACTGTATCGACTACTCGTCGTGCAAGGGCACATGCACACTTTATCATTACTGGTTGGCTGAGCGCGAGTTAAAGGGTAAGCCTTCGTGGCAGGTGTACAAGGCTTGTGTTTCTCTGACGGATGGTGGCAAAACCGTGGAACCCTCTAAATGCACACCGATAGGTGCTGATCCAGAACCATATACTCAAAGCTGAATGAAGTTGCTAGAATGAATAGCAAGTCGCCCAAGTTGTACCATTTTGTAGTACGTTTTTTTTTTTTTTTTTTTTTTTTTGGGGTTTTTTGTACGATTGAAAAAGTAAACGTTATGAATTCGATAGCGGTGTTGGTCCCGTACGTAAATGCTTCATAATGTTCAGGTTTCAAAGAATTTTTGGCTGCTTTATTTGTAAATGTAGTAGTCAGAATGCCAACCACTTGGAAGTCGTTCACTCGTGACTCAAGATATCACGTCGTCACGCAACAACGGCTTCAACAACTTGTACTCCGTGAAAAACCTTTATCAGATATCGTCACATACATGCATTTTTCATGTAAATGTTGACACCGGCTCGCTGGATATCGAGTGTTCGAAACAACTCACGGTGTCATTGCAGTAGGTTTTCATGAAGTGTCTTACAACAGTGATCACGGCATCGCCAGGACAAGCTCGCACACAGGATTGAATCATCACGCTTTGAGGCAGCTTTTGAATATACAAGCAGATAAGCAGAAAATCTGTCGTTGAAAGGCCGGGGTTGAGTCAGGTTGATTGACCTCTGGATACAGCCTAAGAGAAGAAGAGTCATTGTTGAGAAAGAACATTGACTTTTTAATGCGACGCATCTGTAATTGCCCCCTTTTGGGTTATGCCATTTACAGTTTCTCCATCTTAAGTAGCTTCCTCTCCAGACTGCAACTTCTTCAGCTCCTTCTTTATACGCAGCTTCTCATGCTTAATTTCTAGCATCAGCTGTTCATACATGGTGGAGTCAATCTGGTCCTTTTGCGCCTGGAAGTTGCCCTCCACCTCGCACAGCGAATCGAGCCGATCCTGCATTTCTTCGCGCGTCAAACGTTGCGGCTCTTTTTTTGCAGCAGCACCACCTTCGCTAGCCGCATTCGCATCCAGTACGCCGCAGTTAATAATCTTGACTTCAGCCTTGGGTTTCCCAGAACGTCTTCCGCAGCTCGAAACGATGTCCACAACATCCATACCCTCTAGCACACGTCCGAACACCACGTGTTTGCCATCCAGCCACGGCGTATCGCCCGTACAGATAAAGAACTGGCTTCCGTTAGTATTCGTGCCAGCGTTCGCCATACTCAGCGTCCCAGGGCCTCCATGAGGCACACTCAGGTTTTCGTCGTCGAAGCGACGTCCGTAAATAGACTCGCCACCACGTCCATTATGCTGAGTGAAGTCGCCGCCTTGAATCCTGCCATATAGTAAGATAAACAGTCAGTATGAGCAGCACTGCACACCTCAAACAATAAAGCGTACATGAAGCCGGGGATGATGCGGTGGAAGCTCGAGCCCTTGTACCACAATGGTGGCCCTGCACGCGATGCACCCTTCTCTCCTGTACACAACGCTCGAAAGTTCTCGACCGTCCGAGGCTGCGCTTCTCCATACAACCCCATCACAATTTTCCCCACATAATCGTCGTTAATGCCAATGTCGAAGAACACCTTGTCTGTCACGAGCAACTGCATAAGAAAGAAGAACAACACAAGACCAACGAAAGAAAGCTCAGCATAATGTCTACAGTCCTTTTGTGAGTCAAAAAGGTCGCTCGTTTTCAAACACCTCTCCCTTGTATTTCGAAGCTCCTCCAATAACTTTAACTCCCATGAGATCTTCGAGAGACGGGAAGGGCCCGAAAAAATACCCAATAGCATACCCGCCACCAAACATGGCAGCCAAAACCAGCGAAGCTTGTTGTAATGATGTGAACTCTGACGTAGCACTAGTATTGCTGCTGGAGGAAGTAAATGCTGTCGGCTGCAGTCAAGAACAAGTGGGATATCATCAAACGAGTTGAATTTATTTTGTACACTACAATCAGAGGTGATTGAAACCGGAAAAAAATATACGACAAAAGAGGAGTAACTAGGACCTGTTTATAGAGAAGTGGAAAGCGTAATGAACGCTGGGGTTGCAATAGACGCAGTGATGGACGTAGCAAGAGAGATGTCATGATGGCCAAGAGGTCCGACTAATTATTAATTTTCAAAATAGAGCAAAACATGTATACATATATGAGAGCGCATTTTTTAGGACCGTATTAGATGTATACATATGTAAAGAGAAATCAAAGGGGCACGTTCCCAGTACAGGAGAATGATAACGCTTTCGACTAAGGTGTGGGTGGGGGAAGAGATGATGCTTAGCAGCATATTATCCTGTCGCAGAGTTAAGCGATCATGTAGCAACTGTTGCGTGGACTTACCGCAGAGGCCCCGACAGTCAAATGCGATCTCTGGGTCCTTGATCATTGCGCCGGTAGCACTGGAGCTTCCGGCGTCAACCACGACTACCTTAATCTTAGTACAACTCCATCTAATGATTCTTCAAGAGAGCGAGATAGGATTCGTCAGACACTATCATTACGGCGAGGATGGTTAATGCGTATTACTGTATTTCTCGTAACGTTGTAGAGCGCAAGTCATGCGTACCATAGAGTTTACTTTCCTCATGAGAATCCCACAATGCTTCAATGGAAAATATCGGTTTCCTGGGATCACCACGTGCATAACTCAACAAAATAGACGATTGACCTTGTATCGCCTACAACTAAAAAACGACCATGCTGTTGACGACACAGCTGGATTTGCGCAACTTGTTTTGACAACGGTTGGGATACGGCAGAGCCTCCATAGCATGGGCTAGCCATTTGACGACATGTCTTGAGCAGTAAAGAAGTTTGTACGTACTCATTCCTGGACGATGCCTGATCTTTACTGGAGGGCTCTTGATACAGATTATCTTCTCGTAGGATCGATGACACATGATAAACAATCCTGTATTACTCTATGGAAGTGACGGAAAAAGTTTGATTTGAAGACCTCTGAAGTTTCTTCTGAGCTCCACGCCGTAGCACTAAGTTTTGCATCCCTGCTTTTCTTTTTAACTAAGCGAGCAGTTTTACTCACGTCACAATAGCTCTTTCGTCAGTATATCATAAATCTCGCTTTGACCAGGCTCCACACGGACAACCGCAACTTTGCAAATCTTCTCGTCAGTTGTGTCGTCAAGAATCACGCTTTCGTCTGGCGAGTTCAGCGACTCTTGTTGTTGAGCCACAGCTGATGCGTTTCGGCACCACGATTGACGCTGAATTGGGCTACCAGCCACCACTACTATAACTTGGTATAGATCTAAATCACGGGACCTCCTCTACATCCTTTCTCCACATCACAACGAAGAAAGCAGGTTGCCTGCCCTTGGTAATAGCCGCGCTTGTTATGAAAGTATCTCGACAGTACACTCTTCTGCTGATGCCCTCTCTACCACTTCTCCTGTCCGTAAACCAGTGCTCATTTTGCTTTTCATCCAAAAGTGCTCAAGCGCTACCGACTGTCAACAGACTGATGCGTCTTCAATACACCATAGTGCTTGCTGCAGCTATCGTTCTCGTCGGCATTGACGCCTCGACCGCTACGAATTTGAAACCAGGCGACGTCCTTCTAAAAAGACGTTTAAAATCGGAGACTTCGTGGACGTCGATGAGGAAGAGAGGTGGTCGTTTTCGACTTTCTTGGACTCTCTCATGTCGCGGATGAAAATTCTGAGCACACCAACGACTCCTATCTCCTTTAATGTTGCCGATGCTGAAGCGTCACGTGCTAAACTTGTAGATCACTTCAATGCTCTGGCGAAAGGCAAGAACTTGGATCAATTTTTAAAAGATGGTTTTTTTGAGTGGGGAGAAGCGCTGACGAAGCACAATAAAGATTACACGACCGCTTTCAATAAACAGTATGAGGCACCGACTGCAATCAAGCTTTTACAAGACTTGTACGGTGACAAACTCATCATGGAAAAGGTTAATCGCGACAAAAGATATAAAACTCTAGGAATAGCCCTGGTTAGGGAGGGGTTCAATCAACGCAAACACTTAGATGATGTAAAAATGCTCGAGAAAGTAATGGAGGAGGAAGGGAAGGTCAAAGAAACGGGAAAAGAGGTCGAAAAAAAGATCGAGTGGGCCGCGCTGTACGAAAAAAAGATCACGAACGCTAAAGCTAGATTTCAAAAGCAACTGGGCGCAGATGTCCTTGTCAGCAATCCAAATAAAATCCACGAAGAACTGAAGCTGTTAGATGAATTAATTAATCCCCAACCTGTCGATTAGCCATATTGTTAATATATCGACATGTTTTTACTGTCACAACAGTCGCTCTTTACTTTTTTAGAATACCGTAGTGTCTTAGTGATGGTACGTTTGGCACGGTGGTGTTGGTTTTCGCCGCGTTAAGTCCTTCATGTGCAACTGATAGTGGTTTTGAAGGAGTCTGTTGTACCTGACCAACCAATACTTGACAAATGAAAAGACACGTATTCTACGAAAAAAAATTTGCCTTCTGAGGAAGACCGTAGAACTGCATTACGCGACAAGTTCTACAGACCTGATAGAGAATGCGCAACATTCCAATAGTGAGGATAGTGCAACACCGGTGGCGATCGCTTCATTTGTTACTGTTGCTAGGGTTTGACACTTAAACATTCGGAAGCTCCATAGCCAAAGCTAAAGCTGTCTAGTGTCTCTAATAGGAAAGCGAACCTGCTGAGATTCTTGCCCTATAGCAGCACATCCAAAATAGAGTTTCCAGTGTTCATGTGGCAACAGCCACAAACCTATGCAAGTTGCTACACTTCCAGTGTATGCTCTCTTCGTGCTAAAACTAAACGAGCTTTGGCACGAAGAAAGCACACAACGCTTGCTTTTTTGAGCTCGACTGAAGGAGCCTGTCAGGAAGGTAACAATTGGCGCCGTGTATACAAAAATTGGTGACATGAATACGACAGATCCAGCTCCTTCGCTAGCGTGCTGCATTGCAGGAAATAACAATGATATCTGGATATTGCCTTGTGTTTTCGGCATAGCTCGAGCCTTCAGGATTTAGATGACCCGAGACTGATCCTGATTAGCTGTAGCACCTACGACCTTGACGACCGAAGTACCACATCTGCATGAAAAGCATTGCACCCTTGGCGTGCGTAGCTTTGACGACGGACTGTGGCTGAATACTATCGGACCATCGGATCCGCCGTACCCGGAGAAAAGAGAATAGGCCCTGTCGATGAGTGCAACACACCCTTCTAAACACGGTGACTTTTGCCTGGGCGAAGCGCACGGGTACCATCTTTGGGTTGCAGTCCAAAGGACGAGACAGCAGGAACTGGCCGTCGTTCCGCCAGCAGGTTGTCATGGTAGAATAAAAGAGCAATTTATATTGCTCCTTACTGGACGTCAAGAGGCCACCTCAAATGCAATCATTGGTACTACCTCGTGTTGACTTATGATTGTCATCAGCAGCGGCATACGTGTACGTGGACGGTGAGCAGGTTTGGGTAACGACAGGAAATTTGCATCTTGAGAGGTAGAATTGACTTCACGAACAGGTCGAGTCAAGATACATCACGGCAGGTGGATATCCTTTTAGCGACTTTGATGAGTTTCGGTTTTACGATGGCGTTTTCCTGCAGCAACTGGCTCAAGGTGGTCAACTGTCACCCAGACGGCTCCACGGGATGTTGAAGTATTCGGGTCTACGAGGATCACAGTCGCGTGAAGCTGGTGGCGTGCACGCGGCCGGCAAACCCTTTAGCATCGTAGCCGTCGACCAGAAAGAGTCATATCCGACGAAGCCATGCCGTCCTCCGTGAGCAATGCTGCATGTAGCCATGTTTTAGCGTGTTGTTGATATTTGTAGCTGTGTTCTTAGCTTGTCGATCCTACAGTTGTTTCCCGCGAAGTTGTAATCCTCGTTAGGTGAAGAAAATGACGTTGATGTAGTGGAGCTAAACGCCTGTATAGTCGAAAGCTATCGAAACGCTTAAGCGTAAGACAGAACGTGTAACGAATGATGCGTAGCATGTTCTAAAGGAGGAGAGTTAGTGAGATACAAGGATAATGAAAGGTATGTCACATCGACAAGAAAGCAGAAGAAGTATTGAGCTTCATAGATTATCCAGTCAACGGGTGCCTGGTCACCGATCGAGTTTACTTAGTTACTGAGCCCATGCGCGAAATATTCCAGACGATCCCGTCAATGCTGGCATGTCCAGTGCGCTTTTGATCAAGTGAATGGCTGTCAACGTACAACCCTTTGCTTTGAAAATGCGTGCTGCAGCTAAGACGGCGGGTCTGAGCTGCAGTTTGCTCAGACCTTTAGTACGTGTTCATTTGCAAGTAATACGCACTGACATGTTGCTTTGGTATGGCACATTCCTTGTATTGGTATCACTCTAGGATGTAGATGAGGATTCTTGGTGTAGCAGCAGACGTAAATTGATCTCAAGCGATTCCTCAAGAGACACTCATTAGAATGAACTGCTTTATCTTGGACTCATGCTACAATTGGAGAGCGGTATAAGGATATAGTGAAGCACACCAGCTTTGGCGTCTACGCGAAAGCCAGGAGACAGAAGGAGGCAAGACGAGCGAAGGTAATAGTGTGGTAGGTTGCTTTCGTTGCCACAAGCAAGTGCATCAAGTACATGTTTGTATGTATCTCCGGCCGCCCATCAAGGTCTCTTGTACAAGCACAGCAAGTAGAGGGGAACCGACAGTAAGAACTCGGATGATAAAAGCACCTACACTATCATCGCTTCACGATTCTCCTCTGGCCATGATGAGGTGCAAGCACGACTACTGTTCTTGGTATCGACTCCAGCGCTCTAACCTATGCTAGAATACATGAAATGTTTGAAAAGCTTCTATAACTTGTATGTACGTCTTAAATAGCTAGAGATTAGATCGTCATGTGTCAAGATGACGGCTCCAAGATCTCGACGCAGAACATGTGCTCACCCGTCAGAGATTTTAGAAAAGCAGTCGTTCAATTCGAAACCAAACGAAAGAGCTTCCATCGTCGACGCTATCAAGCCGGACATCGTGCAGACGATATTCCATGTCGTTTGTAACGATTGATCGTCGGTCATTCCAATAGCTGAAGCTTTGAATGCTCGTGGCCTCTACCGCGTCCCCAGCCCAAAACGATATCTTTGCTGTTGTTTTGGGCAACGAACAAGCGACGGGCGTCGGTCGACAAGAGAAAAGGGTCGGAATGCAGAAAAAAAGCCCCTGGCCCTTTATCTCTTACACTTGATTTCACTATAGTAACAGTAGCGTCGGGTTCCACCAAGAATTTTGGGCTCCTTACTGTCCACAAGTTATCCAAGGCCTTTACGTGGTGGAGATCCTTCTACACATATGTAAAGACGTCATCATCGCTCGTCATTGAGTAGAATCGTGCGAGGAGTGTTTGATAGCTTGGCCATCAACAACGTCGTCGTTGCTGCAAGAATCAGCCCATTAAAAACGGCTTGATTAAGGAAAATATAAGCGCGCTTAAATTAACAAATTACCGCTTATAAACACAACTCGGCGGAACGTTGTTGTCTACTTGTCACACATAGCGCCTCCACTTCCACCTGATCACCGACAGCACACACTTTTTTCCAGATGTAGCATACCGTTCTATGTTGTCTGTTTGTATATAACAAGTCACATGCATACCTCGTGGGTACGTACGTACGTATGTATACAGCTGCTAGTTGTTTTAATCAGACGTGGTCTTTTAAGATCATGCGACGATCCGAATGCATTGGAATCTAGCGCCTATTGGTGATGGCATCTTTCTGTCATCCAGTATCCGAATCATGTTGAAGATATATAGATACTATGGATTGCGATTTGCCGCTTCCTACACCGTGGTAGCACTATCATTTTATATAGTATCCATGTCAGGAATACACAGTACATACTACTACTACTACCATGCTTTTACAGTGTATCGAGAAGCTGTGCATGCGACGCAGCAGGGGCCCGATCAAAACGCCAGATACCTGTAAAACCAAAGCATTAGTTGCAGTATCGCATTCGAACTAATAACGGGCTTGCTCGGAGTGGCGCTTTTGAATCGGTTACAATGTATCACCTTTATTGGCACTAACCATTCGGTTCGGTTTTACGGCTGACAAACTTTCTGGTAACGAGCTTACAATCTCATCTTTCTTCGAAACAAAAGTAAGGCATGTAAAAACGAGCAAACGATACCATGTACTTTACTTGGTACGTCCATACCGTCGTAACTAACCGGCTTTCAAATCAATGATTGTATTGATACATTCATTGTCATGGAAGACGCAATAAGAAGGACAAGACAATATACAACATGCTACAAGAATATTCGGTAAAACCAAATGAAATCAAATAGAACACGTACGTCGCCCATTGCAGACTAGTCGTGAATCTAAAAAAGACCTGGCTCTGAACAATGATGGACAGACAAGACACTTGAGGCTCCCCAAACCACCGCTTTATTCTCTTGGTACCTAAGCCTTCGTGGCTTCATTGAATCGACGAAAAGTTATAATTTACAGCGAATTACATGTAAAATCATGGTTTCTTCCCCTAATACTCTTGATCGCCATCGGAATGATGGCTAAATTTATCTGAGGTTTCGTCACCCCTTTTTCTTTTCACTTGAATTATAATATTGAGTAAAATAACGGCAGAAATCATGAGACCGACTCCGTTTCCCATATATCACGTCGTTTTCGTGATGACCGCGTGTGTGTGTATATTCCAAAACAGCCATTCCCATACGAGCACACGATAGCATCTGTTGAGACCTTACAAACTTACAGGATTTACATGGATAAGTCCGGTACAATAAACCTTCAATTTAACGACCCTCTCACTCCTTTTTACCATAAAAATACACGCTTTTAAAATACAGGACGGAACAAGGCGACTACCGTCTTGTTTCTACACGACTCGGGGGCCAGCTGGCACAATTCTTTTGATCGAATTTGCTTCCCATCATAATTTAAATGCGACGTTTTAGCTGTCCCTTTCTCCGAATTACCGTCCCTTTGGTAAGCGACAAGACAGACGCTTCTATAAATACCACGGCTCTACCGCATAATTTTCTCGTTAAATCGTACCACGAATACGTGTCTCTACATAAAAAAACCGGCCAATTTTCCAAGCGGAGCTTCTCGCTTCTCAATCACTTTTCAATTTGCTCCTTTCGAGTCAAAACCTCTTCTTCTTCTTCTTCTTTTTCTTCTTTTTAAAAGAGTTTCATCTGCTCTAGCACCAAAAAGAAGCTTTTGCCATGGACGACAAGAAGACGGAAGTTGCTGCGAGTCTTTTACAGCCTGAGGCGAATGATATTGCGGAAGATCAAGTACCGGAAGTCTATCGGTCGCTGAATTTTCGCAGTCTTCAAGACCCGTATTCACACAATCATGATACCATGGCAAGTCGATATAGTACCTTACGTGCTGATGATCTCGAGACGATGCTTAATGGTGGCCTTGAACGGTTTTATAAAAAATATGACCATTTATCCAAGAAGATTAATCTTCAACTCCCAACTCCTGAAGTTCGGTTTGAGAATTTATCCTTTTCGGTTCAAGTACCAGCAACAGTTGGTGCTCATGCTACTGTTGGGAGTCATTTGAGTTCAATCTTTACCCCATGGCAAAAAGTACCAATGAAGACAAAACATGCTCTTCATCCAATGACAGGGATCATTAAACCTGGTTCCATGACATTGGTACTTGCTAATCCAGGGGCTGGTAAATCTACCTTTCTCAAGGCAATGGCTGGCAAGTTACAAGATAATTCACAGACGGAGATTGGAGGCGAAATTCTCTACTCGGGACTACGTGGAGACGAGATTGACCTCATTAAACTTGTTGGTCTCGTTGATCAAACGGACAATCACATTCCGACACTTACCGTTCGTGAGACGTTCAAGTTTGCTGACATGTGTGTCAATGGACGTGCTGAAGATCAACCAGAGGAGATGCGGGATATTGCAGCACTTCGTACGGAACTTTTCTTACAGATTTTGGGTCTAGAGAATTGTGCCGACACGGTTGTTGGTGATGCTTTGCTACGTGGTGTGAGTGGTGGTGAACGCAAACGTGTGACCGTCGGTGAAATGCTCGTCGGTGGTCAGAGTCTTTTCCTGTGTGATGAAATCTCCACGGGTCTCGACAGTGCTGCTACCTTTGACATTGTCAAGTCCATGCGCACATGGTGCAAGACTTTGGGTGGATCAGTCATGGTCGCACTATTGCAGCCAACACCTGAGGTTGTTGAGATGTTTGACGACATTTTGATGATTAATGAAGGATACATGGTCTACCACGGTCCACGTACGGAGATCCTTGACTACTTCCATGGTCTTGGATTCACGTGCCCACCTCGTGTGGATCCTGCTGATTTCCTCATTGAAGCGACATCGGGTCGTGGTCTTCGTTATGCGAACGGCAGCGTTCCGACCAAGGACATGCCTGTGACTTCGGAGGACTTTAACAACCTCTTCTGTGAGTCACAAATTTACAAGAAGACTCATGAAGCTATTGGCAAAGGCTTTAACGAGCACCAGTTTGAGAGTGCGGAAGACTTTAAGAAAGCTAAAAGCGTGGCAAAGCTGGCACGTTCGAAGCAGAACTCGGAGTTCGGATTGGCATTCGTTCCAAGCACGATCCTATTGTTGAATCGACAAAAGCTGATTTGGTTGCGTGATCCGCCACTGCTGTGGGGTAAGCTGCTTGAAGCTCTCGTTATCGGTCTGGTCATGGGAATGATCTACTTTGACGTGAGCTCGACGTACTACCTCCGCATGATCTTCTTCAGTATCGCGCTGTTCCAGCGTCAGGCTTGGCAGCAGATCACTATTTCGTTCCAACTGCGTAAGGTGTTCTACAAGCAACGCGCGCGCAATTTCTTCCGTACAACATCGTATGCTATCGCCGAGAGTGTGGTGCAGATTCCGGTGAATGTTGCAGTGTCTCTCGTGCTGTGCTTGTTCTTCTACTTTATGAGTGGTTTGACGCGCTCGTTTGAAAAGTTTATCGTGTTTTACGTGGTGCTGCTAAGTTTTCAGCACGCTATCAGTGCCTACATGACGATGCTTAGCTCCCTGTCGCCTAGCATCACAGTTGGCCAGGCGCTTGCTTCGATCTCTGTCAGCTTCTTTTTGCTGTTCTCGGGCAACATCATTTTGGCTGACCTGATCCCGGAGTACTGGATCTGGATGTACTGGTTCTCTCCGATCTCGTGGGCTCTGCGTAGTAACATGCTGTCAGAGTTCTCGAGTGATCGGTACACGGAATTGGAAAGCAAAACCAATCTTGAGAGCTTCTCGATCACACAGGGTACCGAGTACATCTGGTTTGGTATCATCGTGCTGGTGGTCTACTACTTCTTCTTTACGACGCTCAACGGTATGGCGCTGCACTTCATCCGGTACGAGAAGTACAAGGGTGTGACTGTCAAAGCTCTGACCGACAAGGTCGAAGAAGAGGACAACGTGTATGTCAAGATTAGTACGCCCAAAGCTGGTAGTGATCCGAAGGGGGAGCAAACAGTGGTGGTCTACCATTCACCCCGTCGAATTTGTGCATCAAGGACTTGGAATACTTCGTGACGCTTCCTTCGGGCGAGGAAAAACAACTTTTGAATGGCGTTACGGCGCATTTTGAACCAGGACGCATGGTGGCACTTATGGGTGCGACGGGTGCTGGTAAGACGACGCTGATGGACGTGATCGCTGGCCGTAAGACGGGTGGTCGCGTTGTGGGCGACATTGTCGTGAACGGCGAACTCAAGAACCCGGCTTATTTCAGCCGCATTACGGCGTACTGCGAGCAGATGGACATCCACTCGGAAGCTGCTTCGGTTTACGAGGCGCTAGTGTTTTCAGCCAATTTGCGTTTACCGCCCAACTTTACGGAAGAACAGCGCATGACTTTGGTGCATGAAACCTTGGACCTGTTGGAGCTGTCATCGATATCTGGCGAAATGGTGGGAAGTTTGTCGGTGGAGCAGAAGAAGCGTGTGACAATTGGAGTGGAGGTGGTGTCGAACCCGAGCATTTTGTTCCTTGATGAACCGACGAGTGGTCTCGATGGGCGCTCGGCACTTATCGTGATGCGCGGTGTGCAGTCGATTGCTCGCACGGGCCGTACAGTGCTGTGCACAATCCACCAGCCGAGTATTTCGATCTTCGAGCTATTTGATGGTCTATTGCTGCTGCAGAGAGGTGGGTTCACGGCTTACTTCGGTGACCTCGGTGTGGACTCGGTGAAGATGCTGGAATACTTTGCTTCTATCCCTGGTACGATGGAGATCCGTCCGCAGTACAACCCGGCCACATACATGCTCGAGGTGATTGGCGCTGGTATTGGTCGTGACGTTAAAGACTATGCTTTTGAGTACAAGAACAGCGAGCTTTACAAGTCGAACCGTGAGCGCACGATGTTGTTGGCAGAAGCGTCCGATGATTTTGTGCGTCACTCGACACTGAATTACGATCCCATTGCAACGAGTTTCATGAACCAGTTGACCGAATTGGCAAAGAAGCAGCAGCTTACGTACTGGCGGAATCCGCAGTACAACTTTATGCGCATGTTCCTGTTCCCGCTCTTTGGTGTTATCTTTGGTACGACGTTTTTCCAGTTGTCGGCTGACAGTGTGAAAAAGATCAACTCGCACATTGGTCTCATCTACAACAGTATGGACTTTATCGGTGTCATTAACCTCATGACAGTGCTTGAAGTGACATGTGCCGAGCGTGCTGTGTTTTACCGTGAACGGATGTCGAATTACTACGGTCCACTGCCCTACAGTCTATCATTGTGGTTTGCTGAAGTGCCGTACTTGATTGTGGTGATTATCTTGTTCGTGACGATCGAGTACTGGCTCGTCGGGTGGAGTTCCAATGGAGGTGACTACTTGTTTTTCATGTTCATCTTTTACCTGTACACGTCGGCATGCACGTACGTGGGTCAATGGATGTCTGCCTTGACACCAAATGAAAAGGTGGCGAATGTCGCTGTGGGTGCAATGTCGTGTCTATTCAACTTGTTTTCAGGTTACCTCTTACCCCGTACAGCTATGAAGGCAGGTTACAAGTGGTTTGAATATTTGGTTCCATCAAGTTATTCGCTTTCAGCATTGGTCGGTGTCCAATTTGGTGACGTTCAAGACATGATTCAAGTGACAACAAATGGAGTGACTAGTGAAATGACCGTGGCCAAGTACATTGAGGACATTTACGATTTTCGTCCAGGGAGCAAGTACAATTTAATGGGAGGACTTTTGGTGATTTGGATTGTCTTGCAAATTGCCATTTACGTGACTTTCAAGTACGTGAGTCATCTCAAGAGATAAAGAAAAAATACGACAAGGTGGAAGAAGAAGAAGAAGAAGAAGAATTTTTTTTTCTTGTTCTTGTAGCGGTCAACGGATAGCCGTTATATTGCATGGTTTTAATCTTTTCAAGTAGACTTTACTTACATTTGTACTTCTCTTTTTTTCTTCTTCTTCTTCTACGTATTATTGATTCTGATTCTATATTGACTTATGATAGAAAAGATGTGATATGAATTGACCATTTATATTATTACTAACTGGGGGTTCATCGCTTATTGGAGAGTCGTTGTTATAATGAACAAGTTGATGGCCAAAACCTCTATCATTTAATAAAGGTTGGACGACATTCTTTTGTATAATCAAGAATACCATAGATAAGACAAAAATATCTATGAGAAAACGACACTAAACGAGATAAAATCCTGTTCCTTTTTATCTCGGATTTTCTCACAAAATGCTGCATTCGTAGCCATACGTACTGGCATTATTAAGTTCTCCACAATTGCGGCATCTCCAGCTCGTACAGCCAGCAGGAAGGGGATATGGGGTTGAACATTTATTGCACAGTGCATTATTCTGAGCATCACGTCGGATATTTGCATTATTCGGCACTACACGCGTATGGATAGCAGCAGCAGGATAACCATTGGGCACAATAGGCACAGCCGCGACGATTGGACGACCATAGGCATCTACATGGACGGGTTGGCCTGTACCTGTAGGATATTTCGATCCATCGACGGTCTTCTGTGGCTTGATAGGAGGGTCCATTGTTGCGATATCACAAAAATCGGATAATGAAAAATGGGAAAAGAAGGTGTCGGTTTTTTCGCTGGATTTTTCAGTGGATATTTTTTGCAGTTCATTCAGCTTTACTATTGACACTAAACGACAAAAATAGACTTTTTTTTAAGCACATGGCAACTGTAACCGCAAACATTCTACCAGAGAACCTCTTTAGACTAATACTCTTGAATTTAAGGAAAATATCAGATACCACCGGTATATTAAATATAACAGTGCCTTCGCAATTTCAAAACTTTATCAGCGACTGACTATTAATGAACCCTATAATTCCATGATGAGCTACTTTAAAAAGGATCATGGATGCTTTAAACATGCCAAAGTGATGTCGGCACTAATCTCCATGTCGATCTATGGTAGGAAACCCCTTTTTTTCAAAAGTCCGTTGAATATCTTCCCTGGGTGGAATCGTTGATGTTTTTCACTACTTGATCAGCTCGAGAAAATCCAATCGGGATATCCAATTCACGTGGTCAGCAGCTTCTTGTCAGACTTGGACACTTGTTCCCTGGAAACAATTCCAATCAGGATAGCAAATCCGGGTATGGAAAGCTGGCTCCAGAGAGATGATCAGGCATGATCAAGTGTTTGATCCGAGATGTTTCCACTGTCGACGATGATGAAGAGATGCTGTTGGATGTGCTGGCTTGACGACAAAACTGCTTGTGAAGATGCTGGAATTGCTGTCGTGCACGGAAAGCCTTGGCCTGCAATTGCTGCATTGCATACAACTCCTGTATTTGCACGGCATAGCTCGCGTGCAGCTGATGCAACTTTGCCGCGAGCTGCTTCTTGTGACGTCGCTTCAACTGTTTTCGCTTCAGGTAGTCGTGCGCCACGTTCCGACGCCAATTGATACCGCTGCTCGAAGCTGACGATGATTTTTTTGAGCTAATATGCCAGGCACAGCTGCAGTCTGGATGTTTGTAGATGCGTTCGCGCTCAGCCAGAAAATTCATCTTGAGCCGCTCATTCTCGTGTGAAAACTGCAACAGCAAGTTGGTCTGCTCGGTAATTGCGGCTGCATAGTCAGCCTCGACATCGTCGTCTCCATTAGCCATCTTGATGTCAATATTCGACTTTGAAGCTGGATCAGCGTATTGGTACATGGTTGCAGCCAAAAGTGAGCCCTTGTCACTTATCAAAGGCACGGACTCGAACTCAGGCTCGTACTGCTCGAGTTGCTCCAGTTCCACTTCCAGATCAACGTCTGCATCCTCGACAGGCTGCTCCAGTCCCATGAGCTTGTCTGCTTCTATTGGTTTTTTTGGCTCACCAGGCACGGCATCTTGCGTTTCCGCTTGTACACGGGAAAACTTGTTGGATCCTGCACGGGAGCCGTGCTTGCTGGAGATCGTAGCAATCGCGGTTTCCTTCGACACGAAAGACACCGTCTCAGCCTTCTTCGTGATTTTCGTCTGGGCCACCTCCCAGTTCTTCTCCTTAGTACGGTCTTCATTGTTTTTGTTATCTGTGAACAAAGCTTGTGCTTTCATTCGACGGGCCGTCTTCTTTTCACTTGATATAGTCCTCGTCTCGACCTGCGCTTGGTTACTGCTCGAGTTCAGCTGAGCCAAGAGTGCCGCCACATTTGCAGCGGAATCCATAATCTTTTGTTGGTTGTCCAGCCGTGGCTTCGCAGCTGCAGCATGAGGCGGAGTCCATTCCAGTTCCCTGAGAGCTATGAGTTGTTTCTCCACTCTTGATAGTCTGAGCTGCTCCGGAGTGTTTGGGTTTGAAGAACCCGACCATGATGAAATCGAAACAACCGGAGATGCTGTGCTTGTCGACAACTTGCCGTCACTACGATTCGTGGTGCCCTTGGGAGTGGTTACCGCTGCCATGCTGTCGCTATCCTCTTCCTGGTCATCAACCATGCTAATCGGCTTCGGTTTAACAGACTTCTTCTGTGACTCACTTTTGCTAGACGATAACGGCTTCCTTTTCTCTCCTGACACACCGGATGTCTTCACCCCACTATCTTGCCGACTTCGCTTTTTGTTGCTCCCTCTTTCCTGAGATTTCAACGCATTTTCTTGGCGACTGCGCTTGAGTATCGTCTTGTCCTGCATTTCCTGGCGCTGATGTTTCTTCGTCGTAACACTCTCGTTGTAATCGTCAGAGTCACTGCTGGTCTCGTCTGTGCTACTTTCTGCTCCACCAAGATCTCGCATGACGCTTCTTAAATCGCTCTTCACCTGTGAGTATTCCTCCTTCTGCTGGTCGCGATGCAAGAAGGCCTCCAGGCTCTGCACAAGAAGCTGGTCTTGATTCGCGGCCACAACCATCCACTCTTCTTTCTCTGTACCGGGAAGAGGAAGGATCGCAAGAAGTCCACTCGTGTTGACTCGAGTAAGATCCGAAAATTGCGCTTGAAAGTCCAGGGACGGGTCCACGAAAAACTCTTCGTACCCTTCGATGTAGTCAAGAGGTGTCGCGATCCCAATCTCTTTTTTCGGCTGGTGAAAAAACACACTACCGTCGCTGCACATGCCGACCGTAAACGGCGACGCATCCTGTCCTGCAATTTTGCTCACAGTTCGCATGTGACGTTGTCCAATCGTATCCTCGGCACCTCGTCGACGACTTCCGCGGGGGTTCCATGCACGCAATGGATTGGCAGTTCTAGAGTTGATAGCAGCTTCACGTTGAGCATGTTGTTCCTTTGCAGACAGCGGTAGATCCAAATCCATGCGGGTAGCCGCTTCAAGGTCAATAACAGCAAGGGATTCGCTTCCACCATAGGCGTAATCTCCATATACAGCAACAGCATCAATTGTTTGCTTCACATCTGTATGTGATTTCTTGCAAATCGTCACCGAATCACTTTCATCATCATAATCTTCTTCCAAATGCCAGATCCGTACATTTTGGTGCTCCGACTTGGAAATAAACTGGTCACCATTTGTCGGATGGAACGAAATAAACTCCAATGAAATACCGTTTGTCTGTTTATCAAAGACACACTCCCAGGTCCATTCCAAATTTGCATTGTCTGTTTTTTTCTGATAAAATCGCCACATGTGGACGTTTTTAATGCCAATGCCACACAATAAACGGTATTCCGTTCTATTGTTTTGTTGCAGAGATAAACTCTTTGCGGCAGCAAATCCTTTCAATTTTGCATCTGAATAAGTATGCGAAACAACTTGAGCACTTGGTAATCCAAACACTCGACCATTTTCTTCATCTTTTTCTTTCAAATCATCAGAATCAGCTCTTGTTATTACTGATAAACAAGCAGATTTTTGACTTGACTTCGCTAGAGAAGGTAATACAATAGTATCCATTTCAAAAGCTCGAATCTCAGTAGAACCACGATAAACTCCAGCAAAAATAAATTTTCCATCTTGTGGAATTGAGACAGTGACCATTAATTGAGTATACATTCCACGAGGTGTAATCTGATCCAATAGAATGCCACGTTCAAATGTCCGTTGTTGTTCTTGTAGTAAAGGGTAGAGACAAACCATTCCATTATAAAATCCCACAACAAGAAAATGACCATTGGGAGCGATTGCGACCGAGGAGACAGTAGAAGAGACGGTAAAATGACGTTGAAAGCCACGAGAAAAAGGAGCAGGACTTGAAATGGGTTCTTCTTCTTTTGCCGTGTCCGAATCAGAGGAGTCTGAGTCCTCTGACTCGGAATCAGACTCAGATGCTGAACTGCAGGTTCTTGTTTTAAGTGGTGTACGAAACTCCAATTTCCGCGTCGGGTCGCGAGTTTTGGAACCGTCGGGGACCTTCACTCTTTTAATCTTTTGTTTTGTATACTGAAATTGGGTCGTTTGCAATTGAGTCTTTAGTTTTCGGGTCGAGTGACCACTTAGAGAGAGTTTTGTTGCCACGTTCTTGTCACTTGTACAAATGGATACTGGCGATACAAAAGACATGGTTGAAAAGCGCTTGTTTTCTTCTTTCTCATGATCGTTAAAGGTACTGCTTTTACCAGACGTCGTGGCCGCTACAAGCGTCGCAAATTCACGATTCATTTGGTAATTGATTGATAGCGGGTACGAAATTACAAAAAAAAATTCGCGCCAAAAGGGAGATGTATAATTCAATCAAGAGAGAGGGGGGGGGCAGTCGTGCGTGGATTTTGTACCCATAAAAAGATACTTATCTAAACTATCACAAAAGATTTGAAATATTAGGGTATTAAATTTTGAGCACTTTTGTCAATTTATGTTTTAGTCCGACCAAATTAAGGCCCCTTCCTGTCCAGTCAAATATCGATCGAAAATGACGGATAAAACAACGCAATCGCCCGTACTTGAGCCAAACATTCACCTTAAAACTCTTGGTATCGTTTCTATGGGATTCTTATAACCAACACGCTCTCTTTCTAATGACATACATTCTGTATTACCTACTGTAGAGTCAATGCTGGACGATACAAAGCAGAAAAAACGTCACAAAAACAAAAAATCGGACGGATTATATGAGTGCGTAGGAATACTATTTTGTCAATACTATTTTGTATACTAAAAATAGTATAGCAAAAATAGTATACTACATAAAGTAGTATACTACATAAAATAGTATACCTAAAGTAGTATACTATTTAAAAATAGTATACTACTCAGAATAGTGTACTACTCAGAATAGTATACTACTTATAGTATCGTATACTAGCTAATACTATGCTTACTATTACTATTTGTATGCAACAGAGGGGCGCTTGAAGGCTGGTCTCCTGCTGCTTCTCACGAGACAGAGACTATTTCGTCCATGGAAACGCTAAATCTTGGCCCAATCGCTGTCTCACTGGCTCCTAAAGTCCATTCAACCAGTTCCAGTGACGAAAAAAACAAAATAGTATTATCCAAAGCAGAAAGAAAAAAATTAGCTGCTGAAGCTTTTGCGAAAGCTGGAGGTGTTCCAAAGAGAGAAAAGCTTAGTAAAAGTGAACGTCGTGCTCAACAAGAAGCCAATCGAGAAAGTAAAAAAGAGACGGGTGTCAAGCCAAAGAAATTGGAGATGGTGGGACCTCCAGCAGTTACACCCATGAACGTGAGATTACAATATGATGATGCCAAAAAAATTGCACGTCGTGCTAAAGCTGCCGTTGTGGTACGGACTCAAGCTCAGAAACAAGTGGAAATGTTTTCCCATTTGCCACAATACGAACGTGAGAGCTCCTTGTCACTCAATGTCGGGTTTTCCAATAAAGAAGAAGTACATGCAGCAGTATTATCACTTGGACTCAAGTACGCGGAAGGAAAAATTTCCGGTAGTAATGCACGTTGCATTGCAATGATCACGGCATTCCATCAAGTGATTGAAGACTACGTTACTCCACCTGATAAACAATTACGTCGTGATTTGGATAAACGTCTTCGTCCACTTATTCAATACCTTATTGACTGCAGACCACATGGTATTGGCATGGGGAATGCTATTCGTCGACTTCGACGTGTTGTAGGCTCAACCCCACCCGAATTGAGCGAGGAAGAAGCAAAACGTCGAATTCGTGACGAAATGGAGGATTATGTGCAAAGTCGCATCTTGTTGGCCTCACGTGCGGTAGCAAAGAACGCCCAGTCCAAGATTAGCGCTGGCGATGTCATTCTTACCTATGCGCGTGCAAACGTTGTGGAGAATTTGCTGCTAGATATTGCCAAGTCGTCACCGGACATTGCTGCCACGCTTCGTGTGATTGTCGTAGACTCACGTCCACACTATGAAGGACGTAAGCTTGTTAGTGTGCTGGCTGACGCGGGGCTACAGTGCTCGTACCTGCAAATCAACGCGCTGTCGTACATTATGCGCGAAGTCACAAAGGTGTTCCTCGGTGCTGCTGCTTTTATGAGTAACGGTGTGGCTGTGGCGCGTGTTGGCACGGCTTTGGTAGCGATGACTGCTCATGAGGCTAACGTACCGGTCCTGTTCTGCTGCGAGACTTACAAGTTCTCGGACCGGGTGCAGCTGGATGCAATTACTCACAACGAGCTAGGTGACCCCGATGAGCTGGTGTCTTCATACTGCACCGACAAGCCACGCTCGCGACGCCGAAATGGTCGTAGCGCTCCTGACAACCAGTCCAGCAGTTCCTCGAGCGGTCACATCCTCTCTGACTGGCGCGATCTCTCGGACTTGAAACTGCTCAACCTAGTGTACGATGTGACGCCGATCGACGACGTCTCCATGGTGGTCACGGAGCTGGGCATGATTCCTCCTACTTCCATTCCTGCTGTGCTGCGTGAATACTCTCGCGATGGTCTCGTGGACGGAGCGCTCTAGTCGTAAGTCAAGTGAGTCCACCAACACAATGACATCTAACAATTGCAATGTTTTGATTATGCCTAGCAACGTTGCGATTATCGCAGATTTAGAGTTGCTCGCCGCGTGCAATGATCTTCTATTTCTTCTTCTCTTCGCGCTCCTGTTGTGCTTTGAGACTAGCTACGGCATCGATATCCCCCGCTTCTTCATCATCCAGCGTCATCAATTGCGTGCACACTTCCATCAAGTGTGGTTGCCGTAACTCGCGGAAACGCAGCGACAGCATGTCGATAGCTGTTAGCACCTCCATGGGAGTTTGATCCACATCAGATTCGTCGCATGAGGTTGAGAGCACTGCCATCTTCGGATACCGTTGGCTGAAGTGTGTGAGCACCAGGTGACGAGCTTTTGCTCGACGACCAACTCCAATAGCTTCAGCCATTGTGCAGTGGGCTTTGTCTTTGGCCTCCTTGCTCAAGTCATCCTCGAAAGTAGCTTCGTGTACCATCAAGAAAGCATTCATCGCCTTCTCGGCCAATTCATCGCTGGGACGGCAGTCACCCGAAAACGCTAACTTGGCACCATCGACGAAAGTCACCACAGCCGCGTATGATTCAAGTGCGTGCTTCACGGGGACGCACTCGAGCTGGGAAATGTGCAGTGTCTCTCGTAGCCAGGCGCGAACACGTGCTGCCTCTGCATGAGTCTCGACTTCCGTAAAGCGCGAGTCGTTCTCATCAAAGCTGTAGTTCTCTACAAAGGAGAACTTACCACGCACCATCGGGTCCAGGGCTGCATACTCGTCGAGCCAAAAGCGAAGTGCCGTTGGTCCGATCACGAGCAACGGTTCCATGTTTACACCGTCGGTGCGATGACTGAACAACCGAAGCAAACCCAAGTGGTGATCAGCATGGTTGTGCGAGATCCAGACACATTTGAGGCGGTCCACCAGCTCCTGCAGTCGCTTTTTATCACCGCCGGCGTAGCGGTACATCTGCCCTAGACTTCCTTCGCCACAGTCCAGCATCAAGCCTGCCCAAGCAGAGTCCATGTCGTCATTCTTGTCAACGGGTAACTCAAGATACATGCCAGTGACATTGCGATATTTTGAAGGGATGGCGCAGCCTGTGCCGAGGAACGTGATCCGACCATCGATGAGATCATCGTCTAGATTATTCGCCTCTGATTTCGTCAATGTCTTGGTTACGATCTCCACCGACGAAGCAACGCTCTCACGAATCATGTCAAAATCAAGACGTGGCCAGCAACTCGATGTATCGAAACCACGGCGAGCTTGAGGAGCTAGCACAAATTTCAGCATACCTTCGCCAAGAACCACGTTCGATGTTGCTGGATTTGAGCCTTCTTGTTCTTCGCTAGAGGTGGCAGTGAGTTGCAATGAGGTGGCGTCCGGCACAGCACGTGAAAAAGGCACAGAAGCATCTCTCAGCTCATGCTGTTCGTTTGACGAGAAAGCGCTTGGAAACACAGTGTGCATCTGCGCCTGCAGCATTGCTGAAGCGCGATACACCGTCTTCTGCGCACACGCGTCGTGTCCAAGCACGACATGTCGTGCTTGATTGCCAAAACTTCGTGTCCACTCCGCATACTTTGGGTGACGTAGCACTTCACCACCTCCAAGATGAAACACGACTTCCACCTGGACGTGGGCACGATTTCCTTCTCTCTCTCGGTATCGGTCAAAGCCGTTACTACCGATCAATGCCTCCACATGCGCCGTCGTAGGACAACTCACAATCATACACGCAGCAGCAGGCATTGACGGCAGGACACAGTCACTTGACTTGACGACTCGACCATCGGGCAGCGTCACGTCCTTTCCTTGATGCAATTGTCCAAATAACTTTCCCTTTGGCACACCAAATGCTACTGCTTGATCCACCAAGAACTTACCTCTCTGTGTCCTTGTTTCCACCATATAACTCACACTCATGTGGTTGTCCGTCTCGTGAATGGACGACAGACTGTCATCAAGTTTTCGTTTGGTTCCGGCACGAGGTTTTGCTATCGCTATAGCAAACACCACGACCTCATCATCTTCATAACAGCTCTTCATCATCTTCTCCTTCTCTTCTTCTTCTTCTTCTTCTTCTTTAGCATCAATTAGCAGCACTTCCGATGCTTCTAGTTGAAACTTGGGACGATAGAAAAAATGACGGGTGGCTTGCAGATACTTCTTCGTACCTACAGGTCCGTGCACATGTAACCCCACCTTGCCAGTGTCTGATACAGTAAGCACCATACCAGGTAAACCCCCCAGTGTATGAGATTGTAACTCAGTCAGGAAAACGTGCTGCAGTTTCGCAAGTCGCACGTGGTGCTCCATACAAAGACGTTGAATCCCATCACCGACATTGAATAGAAAACTACGATACGATCGATAGAGACAACGGTTAGTAGAATACACTTGCAAAGAGAGTTGATAGGAATGGATAAAAACCTACCGACATGTTTCCGTGGACAATAGAAGACTCGGTGTTGTCTCAATGGACTGTACACTAAGAATCTGCAGGTATATGACCATCTTTGGAAAACTTTGAATGGCTGACTGGTGTCAAATGATCAGGAGTTGGATACGTATTTAACAGAGGGTATCGACTGGTGGTGGTTGTCCACCATCGACATGACCGTCTCGCAATTGACCGAGGAAGTTCACTTGAAGACGTTTTCATCGACCATGCGACTTGCAAGTGTTTGCATGGTGAAGCCGAAAAAAATAATGGTTCTGCAGCAGTGACTACCGAATCATTCGAGCCAAAGGAGTGATCCCATCCATTCACGTTGATGCGTGCAATCAGCCAAGTCGGACCGAGACAAGGCAGTTAGTAATGAGGCAGTCAGTCATGCGATTACGGCACCACTTCTTGCCAGCTGGTTTGTCCGACGTGTTTATCCGACGGTGGTTGTCATAACTCTGACACATGAATGGACCTGGTCCTTTCATTCACCAGTCATGTCTATCGAGACGAGATAGATAGATATGGACAGCAATCACTTTCCCATTTGCGCGTTCACGGGCTTCATCTCTTTCCAACCTTGCAACCAAAGAAAATGGCCGACGAAAGCTGTTGTGGCTGTGTCTCGCTCAACGTGGACAATGAGTATGACATGAGGCTGCACGTTAGTGCTATCTTCATCATCTTTGCCGTGTCTGCGGCAGGTACAATGATCCCCATTATCTCGCAAAAGATTCCTCAATGCAAGACCAATTCGGTCATCATGGAAGCAATTGGTGCTTTTGCCTACGGTGTCGTCATCGCTACTGGTCTTATCCACATGATTAACGAAGGCATTGAAAAGCTGAGCGATCCATGCCTCGGCTCGATAGTTGAGGAATACGAAAGCATCGGACTCGCGGTTGTGCTGATCACGTTGATACTCATGCATTTCATCGAGTGTGAAAGCTCAGTGTTTTTCGGTGCACAAGGCTCCATGCTTCACGGCCACGGTCACGCTGGGCCTGTTGGTCAGGAGACTGTCATTACCCCACACGATGCAGCCACACCTCGATCTGCTGGACACCACTATCACGAAAAGACTCCCGACCATCTTGCACACGACTCGAAGATTCGCCGTAAAATAGCCACAATCATCTTTGAAGCCGGCGTTCTCTTCCACTCGGTCATCGTTGGCCTTGACTTGGGCATTACAACTGGCTCCGACTTTAAAACGTTGCTTGCGGCCTTGTGCTTTCACCAGTTCTTCGAGGGTGTTGCAATCGGAACCTCTGCACTGAATTCGGTCGAGAGCAAGAGCAAACTGTTTTTGCTAAACCTTGCGTTTGCCATTACGACTCCAGTGGGCCAAGTCATTGGCATTGGGATCCGTCACACCTATTCGGAATCATCGTCAACGGCTTTGTGGGTGCAGGGCACATTGAACTGTGTTGCTGGTGGTATTTTGCTGTACACGGGTCTCGTCGAGCTTTTGACGTACAATATGACCACGAACGGCCAGTTCCTGTCTCGACCGACGTCGCAGCGTTTTGCCTTGTACATTTGCCTATGGTTGGGTGCTAGTGCAATGGCTCTCATTGGCAAGTGGGCATAAGACATCAGCTGGAACAGCTTCCAAGTGACGGAGGATGAGCTCTCGATAAGCGGCTGCAAACAACATAATCTATTCAGTAGCTGCGCTTCGATCAAACATGATATTGTCGGTACCTTTGAGTCCTTCTTGTTATTGATCTTGAACACTTGCAGCTTTGCTTCAATCTCCTGTCGATGGACAATAATCAATCTCGAGCATCATACATAGTGTGTCAAAATGGCAGGAATGTGAGGAGCTCGTGAATGAGTATACCTGCCTTGCTTGCCAAACCTTTTTGCCAGCTAGCCTACATAATCGTGGTCGATATACTTAGTGAGATAAGCGACCCAGTTCCAGCGTAACATTCATTATTACAGTATTCTACTGCGACCTCGAACGTTCACAGTGCAGCACAAGGCACCTAGCAGCAAACGAGGTCCTTTCGTTTGACACTGTCGCTGCATTCTCTATTGCTTCAAGTATTTGCGCTTGATATTGTCCATCCAGTTTAGCTGATCCAGCGTAACTTCACCACTCAGTGCATGAACAAACAGCCGCGATGTCTTGGATTCCCCGCTCTCGTCGTCGCTCGAGCTCTGTTTCATAAAGAAGGACGTCCGCATCGCATCGTCCTTTGCGCTCTCCATATTAATCTTCCCCGTCGAAGGCGAGGCCAGAGTTCCTTCTTGTGCCTGAAGTTCGCCTGTAAAGACGGCGTAGTCGTCATCCAAATGGTCCATTTCACTGCTTAAAAAGTTGCATTCTGTCCCGAGTGTGACCTTTGCACCGTGCAATTCCACATCAATTGGTGCTGCAGGTTGCAAAGAGACCCGCACGTCTCCACCAACCAAAATACTACTAGAGCTCTTGTCCGTCCACGAATCAAAGTGTGCTACAACGTGACACTTGTCTCCACTGTCCTGCATGTCCAAAGCACCCGTCACACTGTCCACCTGGACACTCTTTAGTCCTTCACTTGATACTCGTAAATAGCCATGCATATTCCCAACTCGCAACGCCGTCTCTCCAGTCTGATCCGTTGACGTGATGCTACATGTTGATGCATAAATGGCTCCAAAGTTCGAATCACTCTGTCCTTCTTTCCCAAGTTTCACCTGTGCTTTATCTGCCATTAATTTCTTGCAGTGGATACTGTCACTGGCTTCCAAGTGCACCGTCTCACCTTCAATGACTGCCGACACTTGGATCGTTCCCCCATTGGTCTTTAAATGGACCAGCTGGCCGCGCAGTTTATGTACAGTAATGTCACCACATCCTACGACGACCTTCACGTCACCTTCAATCTTGTCCTGCACCACGACATGGCCATTGGCTACTGCCACATGCAAATCAAGCGTCGGTGGCAGCAACAGCTGTACCTTCGTGTCACCTCCACTCGTTTTCTTCACAATCCGTAACGTTTTTGTGTCCACCATGTCCATGGAAAATGTCTTCTGAATGTCCACATCATGTGACACGCGCATGCAACAGTCCAATACGTTCAATACCGGCACAATCTCAACATCAACACGTGCAAAATCAGTTGCTGCTTGAAAATGCACACGACTATGATGCAATAAATGAGAAAGTGATAGAGACGATGTCGAGACAGCTTTTAGACACCGGGACCGCAGGCCGACGACACGACGACTTAGCACCAGCAGCATTATTGGCACTGGAAAATCAATTTTAAACCAATCACGAAGGAATCTAATTTTAGCCAATCCGACACAGGTTTGGTCATGGATGAGTGTGGTTCACCTAATTCATTTTACGTCCACCACATTATTATTTTGTTGGTGGGGAAGGGCGTACGTCGAGACTGTATCCATTTATCCTCGTGTCCGTCTTCTTCCTCTCTCTCTCTCTCTCTTTTTCCTCTGTCCTTTAGCATGCGTCCAATCTTATTAAAAGGTCATTCGCGGTCTTTGACCATGATTAAATACAATCGGGAAGGTGATCTTCTCTTTTCTTGTGCAAAGGATCATACACCGAATCTCTGGTACAGTGATACAGGGGAACGTCTTGGCACTTATGTAGGTCATTCGGGAGCTGTCTGGGCCTGTGACGTGAGTTATCACTCGGAAAAACTATTAACAGCTGCAGCTGATGCAAGTGTCAAGCTTTGGGATGTCCAAACAGGCGACGAGCTCTTTTCATTTCCTCATACGGGCCCAGCCCGTAGTGTGAACTTTAGTACGGGTGACAAACAGTTTGTGTCTGTAGCTGACAAGTTTTCAGACCGACCGGCAGCTGTCTTTGTCTACGAGCTAGCAGACAATATCGCCAATCAAAGTGCAGAACCTATCCTGACCATTACGAACCATGGCCATGATGGTCGTATCACTGGTGCCTACTGGATGCCACTTAACAAGGCCATTTTAACGACAGGTGGAGACGGAAGCATGAAATTGTTTGATCCAACGACGGGAGAATTGATTTCTAGTCATGATATTCATACGGGAGAGATCACGAATGTGGCATTTAACAAGTCCAAGACATTGGCGATTACGTCGTCCAAGGACAATACGGCCAAACTATTGGACGTTGAGACTTTGAAGGTGCTTAAGGTCTACGAAACGGACCGTCCTGTGAATTCAGCAGCCATTTCCCCCATTAAGGAACATGTTGTGCTTGGTGGTGGACAGGAAGCCATGAGTGTGACTACAACATCGGGTCGTGTCGGCAAGTTTGAGGCACGTTTCTTCCACATGGTTTTTCAGGAAGAATTTGGACGTGTTAAAGGACATTTTGGACCGATCAATACGATTGCTTTCCATCCAAATGGAAAGAGTTATGCGTCTGGAGCAGAGGACGGATATGTGCGACTCCACCACTTTGATAACGACTACCTCAAGCTCGATGCCAACAAGTAACAACCAGTGCGTATAGACGGATGGACGGACGGACGGACTTAGCCTTTGGATAGAAGCAGTTTTTCGATTCAAGGTGTCTAGAAGCTTGTGAGCTCGACCAGATGCAGTGTTTACAGGATAGAGCTCGCCATCCGTGCACTTTTGCTGCCGTAGGTAGTTTTAATGCAGCTATATTACCTCAGTGTCGTCCTTAAGCTATATCGGATTCAAGAGGTGAGCCAAAACTTGTTGGTTGTCTAGCCATCTTGTCCGAAGTTTACTTTATCATCAGAGGAAGTTTTGTGCAGAATTTGAAGAGTGAGTTACGATCTGATTCCCAATCGTTTCTTCAGTGGTGGTCATTGATGTCTTTCCTATAGGCTATGAAGTCCAAGTTGGTGTCAAATTGGCGGTGACGTAGCACACAAGCTACGCAATCGTGCTTCTGCAGCTTTGAACTTTTTTGTGAAAGAAATGAGTTGTACATCGAGGTAAGTGTTGTGCCGTTATCTCGATGAATCGTAAACATTCTCGCATTGTGAGCGACATTCTCGTGGTATGAAGATCGTGACAACGAAGGCGAAGGAAAACACGATGGGTATTGTGGTTTCTATTTATAATGGCAAACCTCTACTATGAAGCCATCAATGAAGACGAGAAAGTCCTTTTCTTCGAAGGTTCACGTTAAGAGTACGCATACTCATCGCAGCAAAGTCATAAGGAATACAAATACTCTGGTCATCAAAGACATCGATATCATGAAAGAATGTTCGTCTTCATTATACTACACAAACTGTATTCAGGAAACATACTAGACGATGAAGGACTTCAACGATGGGACCTCAAAGCACAGGTGACTTCAACAATGACAAAACGTCAACTCTAGTTGCCATCACCGAAGAAGTGAACGCTATGCTAAAACCTCCATTCTAATCTACGTGCTACAGAAAACATTGTTGTCGTTTTTCGGATCTTTTGCTATTGTTAAAGGCTACTTGAACAGAACTATCACCCGGTAGAAATTGAATGCTACTAAACAGATGTGGATTGCTTACCGTGGCTGTGGCATGTGGGTTTCAACGATAACATCATGAGCAATCATCAAGCAAGCAGGATGTTGAGCTGCTGCATACTTTGTCCGACTTGAATAGTAACGAGTGGATGATGACAACATGCTCGATTACGCCCCTTGATCGGCTTTATACATGTGTAGCAATCAATATCGATGGCCAACGCCCATGTTCGTGGTGCAACTAGGCGATACGAATGGTGTCACTTGTCTCAGTATAAGTCGCTTATGCTCTAGAACAGGTTATTCGATGACGGCCTGAAGACAGGACGGAGCCGAGGAGCGTAATCAGTGAGCTATTACGGACTATATTATACAAAAGTCCATGTCTCATGGGTCAAATTCCCATGAAGCCGGTAGCAATCTGCTGTGCTGAAAGCACGTTCAATTAATCTTCATGTGTTCCACGTATAAAAAGGTTGCATAGAGCATTTCACTCAGTATCAGCGTCATTCGGGCCGCGTCCATGTCGTTCTTACAGCGCCGCCGACCTGAAATCAACACCCTTTTTATCTCCAGCAGATGGTTTTCGGGAAAAACATCGACTTATTCATAGACAGCGTAATCACTAGCATGTCGCAGCAAGATGGCTTCAGTCCTCTCGAACAGCATAGAACAATCCTTTTGGTAAGTTTCTCTGGATGTATCGCACATTTAACGGTCGCATTTCTTGACCCAACGCCCAGATCTGTCATTCTTAATTTTGCGCCAAACTAGACAAGTGACAATTTCTATTCGTTTGAAAAATGACTTTTGAAAGTACCGTGGAAATCACACGCGGCCGCGTAGAAACGAAACATAGTGCACCGTCACAAGAAAAGCCAGTGGACGAGACTGAATCGGTGCTGACGTTTTCCATTCCGGCTCCGATCGCGTTGGTACGTGCACACATCCGAGCGTTTGAAGACGACAGCATGTACAAGCTACTACAGCGTTACGATGGCGTCGACGTTTTACCGAATGGCTGGCGCCAGGGTCCATGTAATAAAGGAATTCAGGTTGTCTGTGGTGAAGTCGCTGGCAGTGAGTGGTATACGATGAAGACGACGGGTACACTTGACGTCAGTGCTTCTAAAGCTGCTGCTATTCTTATGCGTTGTGATATGGTGCCCAAGTTTGACGACATGACAAAGGAAGTAAAGACTGTGGAAAAGCTCAGTGATGCCTCTGAAGTACGTCGTGTGACTGCAAAGTCAGTCATGTTTACAGCAGCTCGAGACTTTTCCGTGGTCTCGACATATCGTGAAGAACCCAATGGTCGTTTTCTTATTGCCACTCGCTCGGTCGAGCACGTGCCTGAACGTAAAGGTTATGTTCGTGCAACCATCCATATCTCAGGTTACGTGTTGACGCCGCATCCAACCAATCCCGACATGTGTGAAATAAGTGTCGTTGCCCACATGGACTTGGGTGGTAATATGCCTGCCATGGTCGTACGTTATCTTGGGATGTCGGCACCTATTAAATTGGTCGAGAAGATTCAGGAGGTGACCATGCGGGCATAGCTAGCTAGCTAGTTAGCTAGCTTACTCTCAGAGTATACACAAGTCAAGATTAGTTTGTATTAGTAGTAACCTCACGAGCTCCTTAATGACAACAGTTTGAAGTATTATCTTTTTGTCGTGGTCATGGTCGTCTCGACCTGGTCACTTATGTCAGGACAGAAAAATACCATTCTACCAAAAAACAAAATGTTTTTTTCGAAAATTGTCAAATTGATGACACAAAAGAAGTACCGTTCACTGCAAAATGACACACGCAGAGGAGACTCGACCTTTTTTATCGTCGTCTTCCAAAGACAAAAAGCATTTATTAATGTCGTCGCTATCATTAACCTCGAGACATCGTATTCTTACGCTTGGTGATGGTAATTTTTCGTATTCATTGGCATTGGCGAAGCAGTTGCGGAATCAAGGAAATGATCCAGTAAACATTCAATTAATAGCAACGTCTTATGATACGTATGAAGAATTAATTGGTAAATACCCCGAGAGTAAACGGATTTGTGCTCAATTGACCCAAATGGGCGTTACAGTCTGGCATCGGGTGGATGCGACGAATATTCACGAGTCCCTCGTGGCAGCTGGGGCAGAGCCGAAGCTTCGGTTTGACGCTGTGGTGTTTAATCATCCGCATTGCGGAGAAGAGAATGTTCGACGACATCAGAGTTTGTTATCACACTTTTATGCGTCGGCGTTGGAAGTTTTGGAGAAGAAGGAAGAGAAGAAGAAGGAGAAGGAGCTCAGTGGGATTTTATTGACGCTAGCGGAGGGACAACCGGAACGATGGCAAGCCGTGCAGCGTGCACTAAGTGCTGGATTGACGCTGTATCGACAAGTGGACGATGTGGACAATGACGATCGATTTGGACTCGTGTATGAACGCAAACGGCATCAAAATGGCAAGTCTTTTCATCAGGTTACGCTTTATGGCGAGAAGATGAAGCAGACTAGCACACTGTTTATTTTCCGACGACAGGAGGATGATATGGATACTAGATCTGCTACGGGTACTGCAGTGTGGTCGGTAGCTGGCAAGGAAAAGATGATACCGACGACACGGAAGCGGAAGGCTGAGAAGGACCTGTGGCTCGAGTTTGCGTGCACCCAGTGTGAGAAAAGCTTCAAGTCAGTGCAGGGTCTAAAGACGCACGTTCACATGGTGCATGAGCTTGAAGCTGGTAGTGCATCGATGAAGGTACTTCTTTGCAAATTCTGTGACCGTACATTCAAGAAAGAGGACGCCAAAAGACAGCATGAGCTAGCCAAACACGGCAAGGACCCACTTATTAAACCGGATTGGTTTGAAACGCGGCAGATTATCGATTCGACAAGTGAATCATGTGCAGCTTCTTCTGTTCGTGTAAAGGACGTGCCAAGTGCGACTACGACAAGAATAACGAGCGAGCCGAAGACCTGTTTGATATGTGAGCATTCTTTCATATCAATGAAAGATTTTGACGCACATTGGCAGAAACTTCAACCACGAGCTCCAATGAAGCATATATGCTCGAGTTGCAGTCGTGATTTTAATGAGGAACGTGCGCTACGTCAGCATCAGAACTTTTGCACCCAGAAAACTACCCAATAAATACCAACAAAAAAGTGTCCGACCATCGGAAAAAGTGTCCGACCAAGAAGTGGTCCACCTGTACGACAAGTCTCAGCCAGTCATGTCGATAACGTTGCGGCGAATGTCGCGAGCAGTGACATGGACTTCTCTCTCTCGTCGCTGGTCATCAACAACCCACGTCTCTCGTCTGCGTGATACACCACATCTGAAGCGTAAATTAGGGCAGCATTTGCTCGTATCCGATGACATTTTGAACCAAATCGTCGCAGCTTCCGAGCTTCCGACCATTTCGTCCACTTGTCTCCATGTGCTGGAGATTGGTCCAGGAACAGGCAATTTAACATCAGCATTACTTCAAGTGAGTCCAAGCGTACGAGTTCATGCTGTTGAGTTTGATCTTCGTATGGTCGAGCAACTAAAGCTTCGTTTTCCATCGGAGATCGAGTCGGGAAGTCTCGTAGTGGAGCATTCAGACTTTGATGCATTTCAATTTGTGATGGACAAGAAAGACGAGAGAAGGTTTGATGCTTGTGTCGCCAATATTCCATACCAATTGTCGTCACTCGTAGTATCTCGACTCTCGAATTACATCCATCGTTATCCAACAAGCTTCAAATGTGCAGTGCTCATGGTTCAGGAAGAGTTTGCATTGAGATTACTTGCTCAACCGGGAAACAAAAATTACAGTCGCTTGAGTGCCAATACGGCATTGGTCGCTGATGTCACGTCCATTCTGAAAGTATCACGGCAAGACTTTTTACCTCCACCAAAGGTAGACTCGCGAGTGATTAAACTTGTCCCACGTGCTGCTTTGACGCCAGTGTTACCCACAAGTGACGAGCTTTTCTTTCAAAAGTTTGATGCATTGTTGAGATTGTGCTTTGAACGGAAGAATAAGACACTGAGAGCGTTGCTGCTGGCAAAGACGGCGAGATCGCAGTATTTGTTACAAGCGGCTGAAGGGGAGGACAAGCACCAGGCGATTACCAAACGTGTAGAAGCCGCGCTGGAAGCAAGCGGACTTGCGTCTAATCGAGCAGTCAAGGTGTCTGTGGCTGAGTTCATACAATTGATGCAAGCATTGCACGAACGCGGAATTGATCTACGTCCGAGCACTACACGTCATTTCCAGGATTAGACGTATTTACAATGAAATCATCTGACCGTTTGCAATCACACCGATACGAGTTGTTGTTGTCAGATATCTCCATTTCTTCTTCACTCTCATCTTCTCACTTGTCTACATGTGCACAGAAGAAGCTGAAATAATTAGGCTCGTATGCTTTTGCTTGCTGTCACTCCAACATCCGAAAGACAACTCGCGTTTAATGGGTACTGCCGCTCTTCTGCCGCTTGCTATGATGATGGTTGGTGTGATGTCGATGATGCACGTGAGATACATGAAGTTCTTCTGCAATGGGAGACCCATCATTATCTGCCATTCCTGTCGGGCTTGCTCGTGGCCGCTTGAGTAAGCTCTTTGTACTGTGGTCGCTCCGCATAGGTCCTCCACTTTTTTCTCCACTAGATGATGATCCAGACATTCCCGCCCCTGATGTACTCTTCGACGAAATTGCCGATGCTGACTTCGATTTGAGTGTGACGATCTCCAGAAACCCGTCACCTACTGCAGGACACAACTTCTGCTTCTTTAAATTCGGACACAGTGGCTTCACATTGTGATCACCGTTGTTGTTACAATTATTACTGCCAGTTTCGTACTTCATTCCAAAAGCTGCACGACGCTTGCGCGTTTGGGGCGTAAAATCCGTAAAAGTACTACTTACTGATCTTCGCACTCTCAGTGGTGACTTGATACGTGCCTTGTGTCGTTCTCCAATCATCTCATTTTCTTCTCCATCTACGTCTTCATTTACTTCTACTTCTTCATCACGTTCATCCACTTCTTTCTCATCATGTTCATCCACTTCTTTCTCGAGTGTATTACCCGATGAAATCGACACTTGTCCAATCCGTTGACACAATGACAAGGACGTTTCATTTCCATCCTTCTCCGACAACGGAGATGCCATCTCAGCTGCCGGTATCCCCATCGTCTCTGTCTTTTTGTCAACCTCGTGCTTCAACTTTTTCTTCTTCTCCTTGTCCTCACTCAAACCAACATCCTTGTCTTCTTCTCTCTCCTCCCTCAATTGTCCACCTTTTCTCTCACTTTTAAGCTCCTTTTCTTCTTCTTCTTCTTCTTCTTCTTCTTCTTCTTCTTCTTTTCTCTCAATTTTAGCTCCTTTTCTTCTCCTTCTTCTTCTTCTTCTTCTTCTTCTTCTTCTCGACTCTTCATTTTCCGTGTAAGTTCTTCAATCGCTGCCAACGAATCAAGTCCCTGACGTTTCAATCTTCCAAGCTCTTGCTTGACAATCAAAGCACGCATTGCATCATCATAATTCATCTGAAATTGTCGCATAACACTGCGTACAGCCGTCGCTTCCGGTGGTTCCGTGCTCGCTACAATCCGTTTTAACAACAACTTGACGGCCTCTTCACGCTTCATTCCGTCCCCTAACAACAGCTGAAGCTCATGTTTGACCACATTCTGAAACGTACATTGCGCTTCCATCATTCGTGTACTGGAGAAACCTACGCGTACTGCTGCCACCGGCCGCTTGGTCGTCGGAAGAGCAGGACGAGTCTCCATCATGGGTCGTATATGTGCTGAAAAGACAGAAAATGCATAAAAAAGAAAGAAAAATTTGCTGATTCGTTGAAAATCTTTTTTTTTAACGTTGTACTTTCAACCAATGACTAGCATTATTAGGATTGGTGATTACGTGATGGTGGTACTTTAGGATCTGAAGTACACGTACATCAACAAAGACAAGCGAGTTATTGTTACTTCATCAAGTGTAGGTGCGAATGGCCCGTCGCATGTTGCAGAAACGTCATGCCACGACGTACGAGCGACCAGAGCTGAGTGAAGAAGAAGTCGTGGAGATTCGAGAGGCTTTTGGTCTTTTTGATACGGACGGTAGCGGCAGAATTGACGTGAAAGAACTCCATGCGGTCATGCAATCGCTAGGTTTTAACGTCAAGAATCAGATCATTGACGACGTCGACAGTGGATTTATTAATTTTGAGGAGTTTCGGGATCTGATTAGCGCCAAAATGGTCAGTTTTGCTAGTAATTTTGATAATTGTGATGGCTTCTTGTGAGACGTAACTATTGGATGCAATTTGAAAGAGTGACAAGGATTCGAGAGAAGATATTCAAAAGGTATTTGAGCTCTTTGATGTTGACGAGACGGGCAAAATCTCGCTGCACAAGCTCAAACGCGTGGCTAAAGAACTGGGAGAGACATTGACAGATGCCGAGCTGTTGGAGATGATTGAGCGCGCTGATACGGATCAGGATGGAGAGATAAATGCCGACGAGTTCTACGCCATCATGACCAAGACGACTTATACGTAGATCTCCACAACTATAATGTAACCATTTCAAGCACCGAGACAGGAGTTCACTTGACCTTTTCTCCTCTAGCACACATCTCTTTGCTCCAATGTCCTACTTTTCCATTTGCTTGGTTCAATCTGCGACGGCATCATTTAGTGCCACACAAATGACGGCCTTGTGGTGGCCGCTGTACTGGCGAATGGCCTCACCTTGACTCAAGTCCCAAAGTCGAGCGCTTTGGTCCGACGAGCACGTCACCAAGTACGACGAGACTGCCGAGAACGCGCAGTCCCAAACCCATCGCTGGTGACCCTGCAGCGTATGAATAAGTCCACTGCTGCTTGGCACAGAGGGTGCTGTCAGACTCAGCGTCGAGCTCATGCTGGAAGACCCCATCTGTTTCTGAGAACTAATAGATCCATTGCCGTGCATGTCAGCTTCAGGCGGCACTTCGTTTGCCAAGGCAGCCATGACTGCTGAAAGATTCCAGACCTTGGCCGTTTTGTCGGACGAGCACGTAGCTAGAAATTTGCCGTTCGAGCTGATTCTTGTCTTTAGAATATAGCCATTATGCGCTTGAATCGAACCATGCAAGTCATAGTGACCTTCGGGTTTTGGACGGTAAAAAAAGCATTTGCCATGATTGTTTGCTGCTACCAAAGCACTACCGTCACGCACAATGTCCACCGAGCGAATACTGCTCTCTCCTGTATCTCCAGTTGGTGGTTCCAATTTGGTCACCAAAGTATTAGCTGTCAGGTCATAGACACGTATATATCCATTCTGATCTCCAACAAGTAGCTCCGCCTGATTCGGATGCAGCACGACCGAGTTGAGTGGTACGCCAGCATCGTAGCTACGTTGACAGCCAGGAGCTCTCAAGTCCCAGATTTTAACACACCCATCGTCCGAGCACGAGTACATCCATTTGCCATTACGTTGAAAGCCCACCGACGTGACGTTGCTTGCGTGGCCATCGTAGCTCGTCACATGATTGGGATTATTGCTGTTTATCTCGAAGAGACGGATATGAGGGTTACCTGCTGCTGCAATATATTTTTTATCCGGTGTAATCTGTAAACAATTAACTTGCTAGATAAAAAAAATATTAAAATATAGAGTGAAATAAGTTGTAGAAGGATGTGGTTTAGTCAAGAGGTTTTTAAGAGATTTTCCTACTGTAGAAAGCCAAAAAGATAGTGAGAAGTAACCTACCGAGTCTGGATACTTGACTGTACGATTACATGTACCCGATGCTGCCTCCCAGAAGCGTATAGTATGGTCGTAGCCAGCTGTCGCCAAGACTACCCCTGCCATGTTGTATAACTTGTTGTAGCATATATTAATGTTCACAGTATCCACCAAATGTACCGATAGAAGTGGTACATTGTGTAGAAATGGTCCATGTCAGACTATTTTTTTTGTGACTAGTTAAAATTACTATAATAATGTTAGTGTTTACAACGGTAGTAACGTAAAATTTACTTAATCATGGTTATAAACCACCGTTATCAGGTAATATTTCCTAATTGGTTTTGCAAATTTTACTTATACACAAAGTGTTTTTCACAATATTTTCAAACGACAACAATGAAGGTGAAGAAGGTATTTACGATGCTACTGGCGCTCTGCGTTGCGATATGGACGCCCGTTCGAGGAAAAGAAGGCATAGTCAATGTCGTAGACGACTCATTAAAACGTACTTTGCGTCAGGAAAGTGCTTCATTTGCTTCTACAGCTGCTCAGACACAGGACTCGACCAATCCATTGCGACGTCGTGATCAGGCGCTAGTGTCGCCCCATCGCGTGTACGATCCGGTCTCTGGTCTAGCTTGTTCATTAGTGGGAATTTGTATGGAATGTACAGAGGCTGAGAAGGATGAAAGCTATTGTCGTGAGACAGGATTCCGACAGGAACTAGAATGTCCTTTACCTAATGACTCTAAGCTACTTGCCAAGTCTGAAGGTCATGGACGACAGACACGATATAAAGTTTGTTTACCTGCAGATGTAGCACGACCGGGTCTTGCAGTGGTACAATTTGAGGTAGGAAGTGTATTGAAATGACTGCAGTGAAAGAGATGCAATCCTATAAAGACTGACGGATGTGGTTGATTCTCTATGGATATCAGGCGGTCATAGCAGTGCTACTAGCTGTGTCAGTTGTACTGCTGCGACGTGAGCGAAAGAACCACATGAGTTTGTTTGACCAGAGGAAGGATCCAGGGCAATGTGCGGGGCTGCTCGGTGGCCCGGCTACCAGCGATAAAAGCTCCGATTGAAAGTCAAAACAGTTCGTGGCAAAGTCTTGCAGTTTACTGCTAGCTGCAATTACAACCGATGCAGCATCTGATCTTGGTACGAAGCATATGAACTTCTCACATGTTACAACAAAAATAGCAAAGTACTCATCTCTTTTGTATCATGCTGTTCGTCGTAGCTACTTCTTCGCACGTTTCATACCTCGAGCTCCAGTAGCTACTGTCTTCTTCTTCTCTGCTTTAGCCTTCTCACGAGCAAGCTGGTCTGCACGCTTCTTAAAGATACCCGAGAGCTTGGGCATAATCGGTGGCGCGTCGACGCGCTCACCAAAGTGCACAGGTGCTGTGGTCTCAAAATAGTCCTTCTTCGTATTGCCTGTGATCTGATACTCATGCTCGTACCGTTCCTGCTGTGTCATCTTCTTGTTACGCCCCTTTTCCTTTTTCAGAGCCAAGTACGTCTTGCGCTTCTCACTACTGCGTCTGCCTTGCTTGGCCGCGTCGTAAATGACGCGCTTGACCTCCGTACTAATGCGCTTGTTGAACTCACGCATTGTCTCGCCTTCTCGGATCGATCCAATTTGCATCTTCTGCTTCTTCTTCGAGTGAGACGCAGCCTCGTCGTCATTTACTGCCGATGTGCGCATGACATACTGCTCCATGGCATCGTCGCTCAACATCTTACGACGACGTTTCTTCGAGCGCTTGGACTGTGTGGGTGGCAAGTCATACGTCGTTTGTTTCTTGCCATTGTCACGTTTTCCCTTGAAAAACGGGTCGCATTGCTTGAGCTTCCTCTTGGCACTTACTCGACCCATGACAATGAGACGGAGCTCCTTTGCCACTTTGGAATCGACTGGGCGGTACTTGATCTCTCTCTATAAGAACCGTCTATAGTTTTATCAGAGTGGTGTTCACAATCCTTCAATCAGACTTCATCATAGTAGTACATTTCTCTTGAAAAACGTATGAAAAAGAAAGAAAATATTTCATTCCGGATTCTGACTGTGTTCTACCTTTTGGGAAAAATGCTCAACGCATCGACAGGGACGCCCATGGAGGTAGACGATCACGCTGCAGCGCTGTGGCGTGAATTTGTGGATAATAGCATCGAGTGCGAGCTTTGCAATGAGCCATACGATGATAACGACAGCGACGAAGGTCATATCCCGCGCCTCTTGACGTGCGGTCACACTTATTGTCAGGTAGAATTGTTCTACCTTTGTACCCCTTTCCCTAACCTATTATACTAACTTGAAACCACTTCAACATGATATTGTAGAGTTGTTTAGATGACTGGGCAACAGCAGGTGCGGGTTATACTGGGACTCAGAACGGAGAAATGGCAGTCATGGAGTGTCCGACGTGTCGTCGAGTGACGCGCTTTCACAGGTTAACGGGTGCACGTGCTCTACCCAAGAACTACGAGCTAGTGCGCGCCCGCCAGGAGATGGAGTTGCAGACTCAGAATCAGTTACGTAGACTGAAGGATGCGTGGACTACTCAAGTAAAAGAGAAGGAACTGTTGGCAAAAGAAGCGGAAGAGCACGCGCGTACAGCACAGAGAGAAAGTGTACAAGCTTCACAACGTGCCATGTTTTTGGCAAAACAAGTGGAGATTAATGAACAAGAGAAGAAGCAAGCACAGAAATTAGCAGAGGAAGCAAGACATCGTGCTTTGGTGGCGTCGCAGCAAGCTGAAGCGTTGCAGGAAGAGACGGAAAGTTTGAAACGTCAACTGCAGAATGATGCGGCACAACTTGCTCGAGTGCAACTTGATGCCTTTAGTGCTGCAGCTGTGGCAAAGGAGTTGCATTCCAAGGCGGAACAGTTGCAACAGCAAGTAGATTGTGTCCGTGCGCAGTTATCGCTGCACGCCGGAAGACATGATCCTAGCAAATTGGTGGTGCTGGTGTGTGAACCGACGACAGTGGGCTCATGGTTGCTTCCATACACGAGGTACGCCGTGATCTGCATCGCCAGTGACACGACAAAGGGCACAGCAGCCATTGACGCATACCAAGCTGCTAAGACGTGGACACGTCTCCGTCAAGTGGAAGAACCTAGCTCTTCGGTGAAGGTTTACCGTCGATACAGCGATTTTGTGTGGCTGCATCGTGAACTGCAACGTCAATTTCCATTCGAGCTGGTACCCTGCGTACCGGGGAAACAGCTCTTTTTTAACAAAGAAAAGGAGTTTGTAGGTGAACGCATGCGCCTATTGCAAGCTTTCTTGCGTGGTGTACTACGACTGCCGCTTCTCGCGGTGACGGAAGAAGTACGCGCTTTTTTGCTGTCAACCACGGAAGAGCTTGACAGCCTTCGACGCGCTACTTCTATCTACTACAGCAGTTTGGACGGTGATGATCTGTTGTCCTTAGACGAAGATTCACCCAGTGATGAGGTAGAGTCTCGAAAGACATCACCTCCAGATAGCAGCCCTCCATCAACGTCGAACGAAACAACACTGAGTAAGCGCAGCAGTAGTTGGAGTGCATGGGGTGCCGTTTCGGCCATGACTTCAGGTGCCGCAAAGCTAGTCACCACAACTGGCACGGCTCTTACTGGCATGAGCTCAAAAACCGGTCCAGCAGGCCCTTTGGAAGATTCGGATCTGGAGTTATCACGGAGTTTTTTGGAGGCTGAAGGAGCAGATGCAGCAACTCGGGCATGCATCGAGCGTCGTCGTAAATATGTCGACGTGGCAAGATCGTATCAATCAGCAGCTCAAAAAGGAAGCCAATTATCACGAGCTTCGCGTCAACAGTCGTACCACTTGCACCGCATGTGTGAACTGCTGCATGACATGAACAAGCTGGACCAAGGTCATGCACGGCGCCGCCGTCATAGACTTGCAGCATCTGAGGACGTAAGGTCCCGTCTGGATGATGAAGATGACGACATGGAGACGCGAGCCTTTGGTGAACGAGCATCCGATGTATTCAGTGCCATTTCTCTTAACGCGAAAAACGATGCGGACTGCATGGAGTATGCGCTGTTGGAGGTCGTTCGCATGCAGACACTGGAGTTAGGAGGCATCGAGGATGCTTTTGCGCGCGTGCGTCGTCGTGAGGAGGCACTTGAAACGCAGCAGACATCAATTGCATCGACCATCAGTCCGGCGATAGGCAACATCTCGAACAATAGTGGAGCTTCGCTTTCTGCATTGTCCCTGAAACGCGAAGAGTTGGTAACACACAGGCGTGAATTGAACGAAAAGGTGGCAGGCCTGGATCCAGGCCGTTCGCAGTTTGTGCTGGATGTACTTGGCAAGAACACGAGCGAAATGCACAAGCTTGCAAAGACGAAACGAAAACTCTTTCAGGCCTCACAGCAGCAGCTTATTGGCGTGAGGCGCTAGACGGATTTTGCAAAGTCTATGAGCTAAGGAGTGGACGAGGTAAAAGAAGTGAGAAAGCAATGGTAAGTTTGTATAATATATTGGGTGTGCGGCAAGCTGCTTGTCACACAATGCGCTTTTTCACGTTTGCAATCTTCTTGGCGGCGTTGTCGGGAGGTACGAGGAGCGCGGTGGTGCTTCTCGCTTGCAATACATCTGCATGAACGTCAGACACGGTCACGGGGCGATTCAGACAAGTCTTCATCTCTTCACTGCGTCTTCCTGACCACTCTTTTGTACAGTCATCATCGTCGTTGTCAGCTTCAGTTTAATCTTCTGGATGCGGATAAGTGTGCTGATGACGAGATCCTGGAGCGTAGCATCTCTGCATCGACGTTTGTAACACGAGCTTTATACTCGGGCAACGGTGCAGTCGTTGTACTGCCGCCAAGTCGAAGGCACGCGAAAGACTTGACGTCAATTCTCGAGTTGTATCATCTGCAGAGCAGCGCGCAGGCTGCCACTGTCCGAGAAGCACTGCATCAATGCATCAGTAACTGCTCATTTGCGTCTCGATGAAGAAGCATAGCGATGCATCTGCGTTCGCGCTGGAAACGTCTGATGCTGATCAGTTGCAAGACAAGCGCCACCCGTTAGCGAGTAAACGAGCCGCACATGAGCGCTGCAGTGATTAGGCCATCGCCACATTGACGTCCGACGAGCTGCGCCATGGGAACCGCAATGGCTTCACTAGTGACCTGTTGAAGTTGTCCTGGTCAAGCACAGCAGTTGACCCGATGGGAGAAAACGAGTGCCTCATTAGAGTTTGATTTGCAATCGAATCATTTTGCGAGAATACGACGCTCTACGGATTATAGTCCATCATAATGATCACGTCTGTCCGGGCTGTAGCACGACCACAAATGCAAGGAAGACGCTTTTTTCCACCGCGAGTGCGAGGAAGGTGCTTTGTATCACTGCAAATGCAAAGAAGACGCGTTTTCCCTCTGCAAAATGCGACGTGGAGACAAATCGGGAGCAAAAATTAGCTGTGCGGGAGCGAACGCACCGCGCATGTTCTGCGAACGCCACAAGTGAGGACACCCGAATATTGTCGGATTGTATATAAAACCCAAGTAGTCTTCATTATGTATTGCACTCCAGTTCAGGATCTGCACGAGCCCCTGATCTGGCGCCAGCAGGAAGTTAGCAGAAGGTCCACCCCCAGTGTGCAGAAGAGACGACCGGGCGGAACACATATCGTGGATACATATATGGTCGCTATTGTGACCACCAGGAACAGCCATTACATGGCATCCTGCACGTACACTACATGGAACACACGTCCATGTTAAACGTAGCTTATATATTGTATCCCAACATGTCCTGCCGTCTAAATGCTCTGTCTTGTCGATGCATGTTGTGTCCCGTCTCTTAACACATGCGAGAAGAGAGCAGGAAGGAACAAAAAAAAGACGACTCCCGTTTTCTCAACGTGACAGGGCGCAAGCGATCCTGCCACTTCACAGTCCGCTCAGTCCATGACTTCCCAGCAGCAGCAGCAGCAGCAAGAGTGGATGGCACGAGTGGGATCGAATTCTACCTTAAGCAAGACCCATGATGAAGAAAGTACCTGTCGATTTACTCATAATCAGTGCGATAAAGAACTCTTTAGTAGCGAGTATTTAAGGTTGGCAATCCATTTCATTGATTCTGCTTGAAAGGGGGAGGGGGAGGGGTGTTGTGATATGATACTAACGAATGTATACATTCGGTTCTGTGTATACTTACTTTACAGAAGTAACAAAGCCAGTGGGCACAAGGTGACATTCTAGCTCTTTTTTTTATTTTACGGTAAACTATTTTTTTCTTACAATGTCTACTACTAACAAGACCAAAAATGTCCACTTTATTTTGTGCAGAATCTACGCTGTTTTCCTCATTGTTGTGGTGGTCACAACCCCAAAAGTTTCTGTGGCTCTGGACTTGTCATGGAGTGTTCACTAGTAAATTGTACGCTAGTATTGGGCAGATTTGAAGAAGTAGCCAAGCAACAACCAGTTCAGGTCAAGACTCTATCGTCTTCTATACCAGCAATTGACTCGGGAAGTCTCGGTCGTCATAGTCTTATGATTGGCCGAGAATATCTTCGTCAGGAGCTTTTTGATGATGTCAAGATGCCGGATCAACCTTTTGGATGCTGGTTTCGAGGTACAGTAGTACCGAATGGAGACTCGACGGAATCAAACTGCAAAAGCTTTTTGCTCAATGGCAATCGACAATCGTGGCATTATGGATGGCAATCCTCACGACTAAACTGCAAGAATTTGCATGTGTTCAAGGTTTACGTCTTTGATACAAGTGCGAGCGGAAATGACAATGTTTTGACGTGCATTGCTGCGCTGGCATCTCCAGCGTTTCGGATTTCGTCCAGTCGCAAGGCCAGGAAAACGTTTCGCTCGCCCATGAACCAAACAGCACTTGTCAATGGAACTACATCGAATTTAAATGGAGCAGCGATGGGAGTGCAATTGCCTCGAAATGTGACGCCCGTTGCGAGAGGATCTGGAGCAAGGTCGCCATCAGAACCACAAAGTGCGAGGAGTGTTGATGAACTCTTGGGAAACGCAGCGAGAAGTAATACTATTGCAGCCAATGCTACTGCTATGTATGCTGCATCTCAGCAACAGCAACGACCGCCGACGGGCTTCATGTCGAGACAGCAGGATCCAGCTCGACGTGAACGGAAGCGTTTGACTCGATCAGCTTCGCTCAAGACGGATTATTACTCGACCGTCTCGTTCTCTACACTTCAACAACAACAGCAACAGCAGCAGCAGCAATTTCAGCCACCACAGAGAGTATCACTTTCTGCAACGCATCCACCGTACTTTGAAGGCCTCCAAGAGAATTGCGTTTCAACACCATCGTTGCCAGGCGTTGGCTCCTTTCTGAATAGCTCCGCAGCAGAAGGTAATCGAGCGTTTCACGCCCGACGATCATCCCTAGCTGCTCTTCCGATGCCCGTCCCCAACCCGCTGACCATGTCGCGCCAGCACCAGAGGTCATTTCCCGTGCTTACTCCAATCACAGGCATGATGCAACTTCGACTGGAGAATCGCTCGCCTTACACAAGCACCCCAATGGGGAGCTCAACTCCGCAATCGTCGAGTTCTGCGGCCTCCTGTACTGGCACACGGGTCCCTTCTATGAATACAACGCACCTCACGGCTGCAGCTCTGCACCAGCATGCGTATGCTTCTGCCAGGCCGTACCTGTACGCGCGGCGTGATACTTGGTTGAGCAGTTTGCAAGGAATGATTCCTGAAGGAGGTGGTATCCCAATGATGATGATGTCACCTGGATTAACAGCTGATAGTTACCTGAACCGCAAGCGCAACCGCTCCACAGACTCAGATAAGGCGATCACGGCTGCTATTGAGGCCTCCGAGAGGATTCGCCCAACTTTATCGCCTGTGTCATCACCTGGGTATTCACCTCTAATGGTAGCCCCAGTTCCTACGGACAGTGAGCTTTACCGTCGCGCACGAGTTTTGCAGCTAGCATTCACTATCGTAAAGCGTATTCATCGATTTGAAGAAGTTGCAGCGAAGCAGAAGGATTTGAACCAAAAGGTGTATCGCCACTCGTTCGAGATGATCACTCCACCAATGCCGAATACATCTTCGGTTGAGGCTTTGAGATCTCAGCGCAAGAAATGTACGCTGGTACAGATTCCTTTGAGTAACCCGAAGTTGCTGCATTTGTGCTCAAACCTTGTGACGGTTTGTACATCGCTTGTGAATTCTGGACGGCTGGAAGATTTGCGTGAAAAGATGCACGAGTGTGCCCAGGCTGGACGTGGTGCATTAGCTGCTTACGCACAGCTTGTGAATTTGTTAAATGATGCTGTAGAGGCCGAGATGTTGCGTCTACCGCGTCGAATGCACAAGTCGTGGGGCGACACTGAGTCTGCTGACGAAGGTGAGTGGGATTTGTACGGAATGCTGAAGAGTTGCGAGCCATGGCTACTACAAGAGCCATGGTGGGTGGTGCTGGATGAAGATGATCAGCAGCAAGCAGGTGATACGGAGGAAGGCGCATTGCGCCCACTACCGTACATGAAGTTGTTTGCGGACTACTATCACGCGATTCGGGATGCTATGCCTTCGCCCCACGACCTGGAAGTGGCGGCCTCGCTGCGGAAGGCAGCGGTTAAAGGTGCTACGGGTCTGACTGGTGAGTGGAGACGCCAAGGCGAAGCCGACGAGCATCATCTGCAGCAGCGCCAGCGCGTTGCCTCTGTTCGATCGGCAACGGCAGCTTCGTCGCTTTCGTGGTTAGCACGTTGCATTCATGCGCACACAACTAAAGTGTTCCACATCACCGAGACGGACACGACTATGACGTTATCGCTTCCGAACAGTTTGGTTTCTGCTGATGCAGTTTTCCTATTGCAGTTGAATCAGCAAGAACCAACGGTGGTTCTTTCGCAAGACTACTTTCCGTTTGGATGGTCTCGTAGGCGTTCATTGATGGCCTATCGTGCCTGGCGTGTTCGTGGTATTGGTGACTCGAACGGCAGTGCCGTAGCTGTTCAATTTATGCGTTGGCCTGACGATATCGAGCTCGAAGCTGTTGAAAATGATGAAGAGGAAGAGGAGTTGGATGATGATGATGCCGAGGACTCTCCTGTAGAACCCGAGGAGGAGCCTCATGGTCGTCGTAGGCGCCAGCCGAAGCGTCTGCGCACACGAATTACCATCTACTTTTCGGTATTCTCCACGATGACTCTTCAGCTGCGTACAATTGTTGAAGCGAGTCTTGCCCCTGCTGCTGCTTTGCCTGCCTCCGCGTCGGCGCAGCCCACCGAAGAGGACATGCTGCGATACTTCAAATCACCGTCGTCCTGGGAAATGCGATCGCAAATCTCGCAGCAGTACACGAAGAAGATGTAATAGCGGTTGATGATCATCCGTCGGTTCGTAGACGCACCTCGCTCATGGAGCGAGTTACCGATCTGAGTTGGCACTCCCAAGCTATGTGCTTCTGGTCGACTTTCTCGTTGTCGATGTACGTCCGTGCATCAGTACCTAGGCCGAATGGTGTCTACGGTTGCATTATTGTGATCACAGATAGGTAGGTTACAAGCAGGGGCAGGTCAGGCACGCTCAGCTACAGCCCCAAGGAGCTCCAAGAATAAACTCAGGTAGAATTCAATCAATAAATCTTCGTTGCTCATAGCTCAAAGACTTTTTGTTGTTGATGCAGCATGTGGACTCGGTGCTGCTGGTATTGTCTTCACTGCAGGCGCCTTTGTCGTTGTTGTCACAGCTACGGACGGTTTTGCAGCAGCTATCCCTGTCCTTGCAGGTGTTATCCCCTGTGTAATTCCTATTCTTGCGGACATGCTGGAATTCGGTCTCGATATCGTCAAAGTATTGGCTAGTGGCAACGGAGTTGCCGGCTTCAGATTCGCATGTGCATACGATTGTGGCAAACCAGCACTCTTGCCTACTGCCGCTGCCTTGGCAGCATTTGCAGCAATAGTTGCAGCGGCAGCCGCCGCAGCTTTTTGCATTGTCTGCTGCTGGATGAGTTTCTTCCGTTCCATCTTCTTCCGCGCTGCGGCATCTTGGCTGGCCTTGACCTTCTCATTGTATCCGGCTAACACTTGGGCATACGGCGTGAATCCTAGATTCTCCATGCCCTTCACGACATCAGTGCCAGAGATTGACAGACCGACACCTTTTTTCGTTCTCCGATTCTGCATCACGGAAAGATCGCGCGCCTCGCTTGTGATGTACAGAAGAAACTCCGTCACGCATTCTTGCATAAAGGTGACAGCCTCATCGCTGATACTGACTGTCTCTTGCGAACTAGATTCGTGCTTTTGCAAGCTGTGTGACGGAGAGATGGCGAGCGATAACGTTCTGCCTTTTCCTTGCTCCTCCTCGCGCTTAGTGCTTACTCCACCAGCCGCAGCTTCCTCTTCACGCGCACCGGGAAGGACCTTGGACATGATGTTGGACACGACCTTGAGTGGTAAATACATCTTGTCCTCAGACTCGGTGCTAGTTCGCGTGGTCCAATCTACATCGTAAAATTGCTGCGCGGCTCGAGGAGTGATCGGAGTAACAGATGGAGTCGAAGGTCGGTAAACAGCGGTTGAAGGACTTGATGGCAGCACATACCCATCCGTCCGTTGCTGTTTCTTGGCGAAAGCAGGAACATCAACCTGCAATGGGCGCTTATGTGTCACTGGTAGCATCGCAACTGTTGTCTCGCGGTTACAGATGACGCCCATCGCTTTGGCCGCTTCTAATTTTGCAGCATCTCGTTTCGCCTTTGCCTTCTGGTTGATCTCGACCTGCTTGGCTTGGAGTTGGACCTTTAATTCAGCGTACTCGCGCTCAATCGCTAGCATATCACGTTTTACAGGAATCTTGACGGGTCGGACTAGCGTTGTTGTCGATGGCAACGAATTCGTTGCAACAGGCGTCGCGGATTTTGACGCTACCGCTGCTGGCTGCTTTGGGACAATTGTGGACGTAGCAGCGGGAGCGATACTAGTAACAACCGTTGTCGAGGAGCTACTAGTACGATTACCGACCGTGGCCGAACAACCAGCAGAAGTAGTGGTGATGGCAAGAGTAGCAACAGGAGCAGTGGACGTAGCACCAGTGGTGGCGGTGGTGGAACTGAAAGAGATGGGGCCGTTAGCTGAAACATTGGAGGAGCTTAAGGCAGTAGCAACCGCACACTTGGCAGATGCAGCAGCTTGTACAGCAGCTTGTACAGCAGCTTGTTGCTGGGCAGCTTTATTCTTTTGTCGCAACAAGAACGCACCCAACATTTGTGCGATTTTTTGCGTGACATACTCGGATTTGACTTGGAGATCTAGTGGCCATCGGCCTTGTTGAATAAGCAACGGTCGGCGGTGAGCAATCGAGTCACGATAGTCACGCTGTGCGAGTCGTAGCAACGGAAGCTCCGTACATCGATGCAACCACGATGTCATTTTCTCCAAAGCTTGACGCATTTCGCTGTCGGTTCTTGCGTTGGCCACCCGAATACAGACCCTTGCCAGTGCTTCCAAGTCCATATCAAGTGTATTCTTCATCTGCTTCTTCTTCACCGAGTAATACGTTGGTGTAGTCGTAACATAAGACTTGGCTGATACCTTTGGCGTCGGCGTCGTCTGCGTAACCGTAGCATTTGTCTCCCCGTTCTTCTTCCGTTGCATCTGTAGTTGCAGCTGCGTTTGTTGTTGTTTCTGCTGTTTCTGCAGCATATCTCTGAGCATCTGCTGCTGTCGAATCACTTGTTGCTGCTGTACCAACAAACTGTCGGCAATCGACGTGGCCTTTGTCACATGATTCCCTTTAGGTTTCTGGCTCAACTGCTGTTCATGAGCTCGCAGTAACTTCATGTGTTCCTGCTCCAGCAACATTTTATTGCGCAGCCACTCGTCATTTGATCGTTTCTGTACCGCCTGCGCCGTAATGGCAGCTTGCCGCTGTACATTCTGCTGTAGTCTCGTCAGCAGTTCTTGTCGGAGCTTCTGCAGATCCTCTGCCGTCTTGGTCACTTCCATGACACTTGTAGTACTTGAGCTAGTAATAGAAGTACTAGTTGCCATCGAAATGGACGGCTTCTTCGTCATATTTGACTCTGTCTCGAGCTGTTTTGTCATGACTTGATAGTGCTGAACCTGTTGCTGTGCAAGAGCAAATTGCAGCCGACGCGCCTCCTCCTGCGCTCGAAGCGTTCGGTCCATGGCGGACGCATCGGCACCTGGTTTGACACAGGAAATCAACGTGTTTCCACTCGTTTTCACACCAGTAGACGTCGTACAAGTTGCGCATGGACTGGAGAAATCTAGAGTCGTCTTGTCAGTGACATTTTGAGACTTCTTGGAAACAATAGACGACAAAGAGGGTATGAGAGGATGCGTCTGTGTCTTGGCTTCAATGTGAGAGGTCGTGGATGATGGAGAAGGATGTACTTGAGCTCGTGGCGAGGACGTCGTTCCGGTCGTCGCTGGATGGACCATGGACTCGTTTTGAGGTTACGCTAGAGGGTAACCCTTTTTTTGAGAAATTGATCGTACACTGCGGTTCGTACAGATACGTGTAAGTACATACATTTGATTTGGACTAATTTGCGCACATATTGCGTACAACACATTTCTGAGAAAAATGGTCCCTAAAATATAGAAGGTCTTTAAACACTTGTCCAATTTACATACGAAACAACTAATTCAACTAAAAATTCAATCATAGTCCAAAAACCCCATGAAAAATTTGACCTTAAAGTTACAACCCACGGAAAAACAAAAACCGCCTCTAAATCAAATAAATAATAAAAAGAATAGCTACTAAATAAAATTTTACATCAATCACTTTTCTAGCATCATCATAAGGATTAAATCCACATTCATAAGCAGTTAACTTTTCTAAATCATCTTTTTGTTTAATTAAACCAAAAGATAAAATGAAAATTAAAATAGATAAAAATAAACTTAGTATTAAAAATATAAAAATATTGGAATAATTTAATAACGTATTTATAAAAAATTTTAAATGTAATATAATTAACGGTTGAGCTGAGGTGGGGAATGTATGACTTGAAGTGATGATACTACAGCTTCAGTCTTTTTTGTTACAGTAGAAGAACATTGAGGTATTGGTGAAAAGGGAGGCCATGGCCTGTAGGCTTTTATGCGTGTGGAAGTAGGAGGCAGTGGATGGACAATAGGATTCTGTATCTAAACTTGTTGTTTTCTCTTCTACCTGCTGTGTTCTCCAAAGCTATCCTCACCACTCATCTTGCCAAGCAGCTGCTCTACCTCTTATCAAAACGGATGACGCTAATCGAAACATCGCGCCGAATCTCCGATCCACCGAATAGCAAATCCCTCGCTTTCCTACATGGCCTAGATCAGCCAGTAAATTCAAGGAGATACAGCGACAATATTATCTCGTAGGATAATACTGTAAAATATTACTCGCTAAGACAATATTCACATTGGCATTGAAAATGTGTCATGTAACGGGCTCACCCAGTTACAAAAGGATATTGGCTATTATGCAATGGTTAGAAGCATAATTGTTTGGATGCGCGTCACCACGTCGCGATCTTGAATATATTGAAGCTCGCGAATAACGCCCGTCCGTTGGGCGTCATCCTTTTCAATGTACATACACCTTGTGTGTATCACATACACACGATGATTTACCTCACTCGAGTCCCAGGTCTTGGTACGACCGTGTTAGAAAGGACCGTGTGTGACAGCTGTCAGGTTTTCAAGGCTCAAATGTACATGGGACGGTCTCACCTGATCGGCCGGTTTTGTGGCATATGGGACAGGAAGAGACAGGGCAACAGCTGGACAGATGGGACGGCTAAGCAACAACTGAACAGTTGGGACAAGGCGATACGGCTGCAATATGGGACCACCGAACGAGATGGGCAGGTAAGACGGATGCCATCTGACACTTACATGGTCAAGTTCCAGTGTCGAATGGAGTGCATGTTGTAGTATAACAAACGAAAGTAGTTAATGCTATATATATTTACTTTTACTTCTTACTACCTCTGCACAAGTGCAGATCAAGACGCATCATGAATCAACATACTGTACTTAAGACCTATACTTTTAAGCGCCGCGGTAACGGACGTAGTCCCGTTACACTACCATTTTTTAGATGCTGTAAAAGTCTACAAGGAATCCTGCCGCGAGACCTCACGAACAAATTGCAAAATGAGTGGTGTGGCGAAGTGAAAGAGTGAATTTCGCCAAGTGTGATCGCATATTTTCGGTTAAGTCCGAAATGGCCAATATTAATGAGTCGCGATCTCGTGGCCAATATTGATGAGTCGCGATCTCGCAGAAAGGTTTCAAGACGATGTCAAATAGGATGGAAAACAGTGAATGGAGTAGTTTGCACTTCTATGTGGGGTCAAATATGGCCTAGAAACTACGCTATTGCGATCTCCAGTATTTCCGATGGCGATCCGCGTGAACGCGGTCGCTAAGGAGGAAGATGGGTACATCCAAGCATGTGGAGGACGGTCTGGTGTGGATCACGTCGCTATGGAGGACTGGAATGGTGGATATGAAATGTCACATTGATGAACTATCTCACATGACCTGAGAAACGGTGAAGAAGACAAGTCGTGATCCGGCGGATCGCGATCCGATATTAATTATTTAGTACCGCGATCTGGTATTAATTATTTAGTACCGCGATCTGGTACTAATTATTTAGTACCGCGATCTGGTACTAATTATTTAGTACCGCGATCTGGTACTAATTATTTAGTACCGCGATCTGGTACTAATTATTTAGTACCGCGATCTGGTACTAATTATTTAGTACCGCGATCTGGTACTAATTATTTAGTACCGCGATCTGGTACTAAAATGGTATTATATCCGAGTGAGGTAGCGATCCAGATCGCGGCTATATTGGAGTGGACCACATTCCGAGATCTGATTTTTTCCGAAAGGGCGATACGTGGCAACAGATCCTGAGCTACAGATAGTCAAGATCATAGGTTTTGGTATTTGATTGGTTAACATTAACAGAGTTCAATTTGCTTCTAAGTACACGTGTCGACTTCTCTTCCGGGCTGGATTCTTTGGCCTCCCGACGTCTCAAGGAAGTCTACATACTACGCAAGTCATATCCCTGGATTGTTTGGCCAGGGATTGCAAGAATTCTCAACAAAACAACTCAAGCTGCGATTGGACGCAGAGGACTAAGAAGTCCAGATACAAGATCGCGAGACGGCTCAAGTGGTCAGAAGGCAAGCGGATCAAGTATCTACATTTTTGGACAAGGCGATCTCAAGGGAGATCAGGGCGACTCAAATAGAGCACCCCAAGAACAACTGCGATCGTGTGAGGAATTCCACGCGATCGCCCCCCCCACCTATCCCTAACACAATCAAGTTCAACATCGACTCAAGTCTACCGAGAAGAGAGCAACCCGCCCTACCGACGGGTACACAAGGTGAGGAAGGCTATACACACGGAATCGGGGTACCCCCTCCGTTAGTCGGTCGTCCGGGCGCCAGTGGAGAGTTGGGATCGCATCAGCAATTTTGCGAATCCCACTCCACCACAATGGTGCGCGTGCCCGGATCTTCTGGTGACTCGGGATTTCACCGTGAGTCCCTGAGAGAAGATGTAAAGGTCAAAACTGAACCTGGGATTGAAGCGTCAGCGGCAAAGGGATCACCGCAGACGTGTGAAGAAAAAAGATCCCCGGATCATCAGCGTTTTGGGAGGGGCGCAGATGAAAAGAAAACCAAGGAGGAAGATCAAGAGATTGATCTGGAAGAAAAACCTCTACCCCCTTCCCAGGTCCTTTCGAGGACCCCTGCGGATCGCGTTGCAAAACGCGATCCGCTGGATAAAAATCCTACGGTTAAAACCGAAGGAAATTTATCCAAAACCACTCCGAATTCGAAGAAGAAGAAGAATTCGAAGCCATCTCGAGTGAAGATGAAGGCGCCTGAGTCGGATCATGATGATATCGACGTGAAGCCAGCGCATGAGGAAGACAAGGCGAAAGGATGGCAACTGGATCAGCTGGAATGGTGTTTTCATTGGAAGGCGCTTAAAGATCTGTTGTCAAGCGATCCCGTTCTAAAGATTTTGAAACCGAAGTTGATTGGATCGCTACGAGGACCAATTTCAGCTCCCATTCCGACACCGAACCAGTTGGAAGCGATCCGTCGGCTTATGGAGTTGCTCCAGAACGCTGGATTCACCGCTGGAGCTTTTGACGCGCAGGTGCTGTTGGAATGCGATCATGATCGGGTGATCCAAGCAGGGCGATCTCTGTTTTCGAAGCTAGTTCCTCTAATTGGAGAGCGCGATCCGGTGGATCAGACGATCCAGCCGATTGCAGATATACCAAAAGGATATCATACGGGATCTTCGCAATATATGTCAGCGGAATCCGAAGGGGAGTCGGACGACTCGATTAATATGCAGCGAATGTCACTTGGACCGGCTGGTGCAGCGCATATTCGCGAGCGACTGGCACCGATTAAGGCCAGAGAACAATCGACGACGGCACTCACAGCTGAAGACATGAACGTGAATGGATCAGGTCAATTGCAATCTTATTTTGAAGCTGCCATGAGAAAGTACGAGCAGGATCAAGCTCGCATGATCGCCAGTCGATCCGCGATCCCTACAAACACCCCAAAAGTTTGCATTTCGGATGTGGATATGGAATCGGCCGGATCGCGTCAATCGCGATCCAATAATTACGATCCAGACGATTTGGGTCTGGAGGATCTAAGACGGCCACAAGTCGCAAGTGCAGGCGCTGTACCTAATGGTGGACTTGTCACGCAGCGGATTCGAATGTCTGCGATCGCAGATCTGAAAGAATTTACAGGACGGGACAAGGATGAAGATCGAGCGAGAAGTTGGGTCAACAAGGCCAAGTCGGCGTTCTTACGCGACCAAGCCCCGGATGATGAAAAATGTCTAGTATTTGGTGATTTACTTACGGGGCCGGCACGAAATTGGTATAGCCAGTTAAGTCGATCCACCCGGAATTCATGGAAGTCGTTGCTGGAAACCTTCATGATCCAGTATTGTGGATATGGTATGTCGGTCGGGAGACAATACTACCATGCGAAGAAGCGATCTGATGAAACTCCATTGGAATATTTGTATCGACTGAATGTGGCCGCGATCCGAGCAAAAATCCCCATTCGGGAAGGATCGCCCTCAATTCGCCGAGAACATGTGGAACATTTCATTGGTACACTGGATGATCGCGATCTGGCTAAGCAGTTGACGTTGTTACGCCTTGGAGACGCCGATGATATGGAAGAAACTCTGCGAACATATCAACGCATGGAGGGAAGACAGTATCCGAGTGCAATGGGATCGAGCAAATTTCGTCAGCGATCTGCGTCGGCATCCACTCCGGCACCCTCGAAACCAACTCGTGCTGTGAGAGCGATTCGTCTGGAAGGCAGTAGCAGTGAGTCAGACTCGGATATTAGTGGATCAGACGCCGA